CCTGTGGCAATCGCATCAGCCTTCTGACCGACTTTCTGACGACTTACGCACGGATTACTGGCCAGAAGGTGAACTGTCAGAAAAGCCAGCTTGTTTTCAGCCGCCAGTGCCCGGAGAATGTTCAACGACAGCTCCAATCGGTGACTGGTTTTGGCGCAGCTGAACTCCCTCTTACATATCTCGGCGCGCCCCTCTATGTGGGCAATCGGCGCAATATTCTTTATGAGGAACTCCTTGGAAAACTCCGTCGTTATCTGCAGCGCTGGGATCGCTCGGTTCTATCTCACGGGGGTCGATTACAGTTAATCAGGAGCACTTTGTTCTCGCTCCCCCTATATCTGCTGCAGGTACTTTGCCCCCCCCCCAGGCGGTACTTCACTCTGTGGAGCAACTTTTTGCTCGTTTTTTCTGGGGTTCTTATCACGGGCACCGACGCCGCCATTGGATCTCCTGGGCGGATATTGCACGGCCACAGGAGGAGGGTGGGCTTGGCATTCGACGCCTGGCCGATATGGTTCGGGCCTTCTCGTTTAAACTGTGGTGGCGACTCAGAGATGGCTCCTCCCTTTGGGCTCGCGCGCTTCAACAGAAATATTTTTGGAATTCCTTTCCAGGATTTGCACCCTGCAGGAGCTACGACAGCCCGGTTTGGAAGCGCCTCTGCCAGGTTCGAGACGAGGCACAGACTCAGATCACTTGGAATTTGGGGCGTGGGGACTGCTTCTTCTGGTATGATAATTGGTGTGGAGATCGTCCGCTATGCGCTGACCGCCAGGACCGCCCTCCGCCGATACGGGTGAAACAGATGTGGGTTAACGGGACGTGGGACTTGCCGCGCCTCCGAGCTTATCTCCCTGAAACCCTTGTTCAGCAGGTCTCGGCGATTCCTTCTGATCTCCAGATTGCGGATCAGCCGATCTGGAAGGCCTCAACCACAGGTACTTTCTCTACATCCTCAGCATGGGAGATGAGCCGAACTGCTGGAGCACGGAGCTGGGTCTCTTGCAGCTTGTGGTCGCCGCTTCTTACTCCTACAATGTCGGTTTTCCTATGGCGTTTATTTCGCCGTCGGATACCCGTCGATGAGGCCTTACGGAAGATGGGCCTCCCTATTGTCTCTTGTTGCCAGTGCTGTCGGGAGTCTGAGACGATCGAGCACTTATTCTTCTCGTCGGCGGTTGCCCAGCGCGTGTGGCGCCATCTTGCTGATCTATTTCATATCCAAATCCCGCGGACACATGCGCCCCACCTGATGGTTTCCGCTTGGCGTCTGTCCTCCCCACATGCGCGGAGTATCCGTACTTATATACCGCTCCTGGCCTTCTGGTTTCTTTGGATGGCACGGAATGACGCCAAACACCGAGGTATCCAGATTTCATCTGACCGGATTATTTGGCGTATTCACTGTCATTTGCAGGTCTTAGGCCGTGCTGGCCTCCTTCAGCGTCAGCACTGGCCTGGGGAGGTGCACCTAGCCTCTAGTCTCGGTCTTCGCCTCCCACCTCCGGTTCTTCGGCCGCCGGTCATGGTACGCTGGGAAGCCCCGTCTCCAGGCTGGTTCAAACTCAACACTGATGGGGCATCGCTTGGGAATCCAGGCGCCGCTGGAGCCGCGGGCGTCATTCGGGATGCCACCGGCGCCCCAATTGTGGCATTCCAAGTTCCCCTTTTGAATACGACGAACACTTTGGCCGAACTGCAGGCGATTCGATCTGGAGTTGACCTGGCGGTTGCCCGCGGCCTCCTCCCTCTCTGGATCGAGACGGACTCGGCCAGCAGTATCTCTCTCATCTCCTCCTCGACGGGACACTGGACTCTCCAGCCTTGTCTCCACCACCTGCGCCTACAGCTTCGCAGCATCGAGTGGAGGATCTCTCATATTTTCCGTCAGGGCAATAAAGTGGCGGACAACTTGGCGAACACCTCTGTTGCCCTTCCTCATATGCGGATCCTTGAGCCGGCGGACATCCCAGCGAGGACCCGTGGCCTCATCCATGCTGACGCGGCGGGCCTCCTGTGCTTTCGCTTCCGTTAGCTTTTAGTTGCTTACAATCTTTATTTACATTTACAGCACTTGTACCGAACTTTGCAGAACTACGTATGGCTTGATCCCGTTGGGGTACGTAGGCAGCTCTTTGAGCCCAGCCAAAAAAAAAAAAAAAAAAAAAAAAAAACCCTAAACCCGAAACCCGAAACCCCAAACCCCAAACCCCAAACCCCAAACCCCAAACCCGAAACCCTAAACCCTAAACCCCAAACCCTAAACCCTAAACCCGTCTCTGTAAAATTAATGATTATAAATAAATATATGTATTTATAATAATATATTTAAATAAAATATTATATTTTTTATAGAACTAATAAAATATAATTTAATATAAATATATATATACATATAATATTTCTTTTGTTGTATAAGAGAATATAATAATAGAATGTAAAATGAAATAATTCTTTTGTTGTATAAGAAAATATAATAATAAAATGTAAGATGCTTGGAGAATTTTAAAATCTCATTATTTTTTTAATTTTATCATCTATTTTTTACCAAATATAAATTCTTTAAGATTTTAAAATATCATTTAAATACTCTCTATGTTCTATTGGAATTGTGACATTTGTTTTTTTAGCGTAGATTTTTAAATATTAATATTATATTGGATTGTAGTGAAAAAAATAAAAATATCTCTATTAGTATAGTATAATATAAAAGTAATGACGTTTGTGTAATATATTGTAAGTTGAAAGAGTATTTATTATATTAGGTAGGTAGTACAGTTACTAAATTAAGAAATGGTAACCTTGTTTTGGGACGGACGAAAATAGAAAATGGTAACCTTTCAATGGGACAGAGGGAGTATAAATATATATACATATAATACTCCCTCCGTCCATAAATTAATGTCCTACTTTCGTATTTGGGACATCCAACAACTATGGTCCTATTTTCTTTTTTTTAAAACACAAATTTTACATTTTTACTCTTCATTCATTTATTACATTTAATTTTTATCATATAATTAAGGGCAAATTTGTACATTCATAACAAAAACAATTACCTGAAAAAATGTACAAATATACTTTAGTACAATAGATATTGGACGGAGAAAGTATTAAATAAAAAAAAATTATTTATTTAAAAAATTAATAATTTAATACTTTTTTTGTCATCCAAAATTTTAAAAATATATATTGTGGACAAAAAATTGTGTTATTTTTTATAAACACAATTTGTACAAATTATATTTGATTTGAATTTAAAGCGGGTCTTATTCTCTAAATGGGTCCTTTGATTCTCCTTCCGGGTCGATTAATTTTCCAACTTAGTTTTCGATGGCTTCTTTGATCCGAAGAGGTTTGGTTTTCGATTTGACTTTGCCGGTTTTTGAAGAGCTTTGGTCTCCGTGCGGGCTATTTGATCGTCGGCTTTGGATTTGATGTCTTTTTTAGACAATCCGAGGCTTTGATCTTTGATTTGGCTTTGCCGCCTTTTGGAGATTTGGTCTCCGCGTTGGCGATTTGATCATCGTCTTTGGATTTGTTGTCTTCTCTGGACGATCTGCGACTTTGACATTTGTTTTGGCTTTGCCGCTTTTAGAGGACTTTGGTCTCCGCGTTGGCGATTTGATCATCGTCTTTGGATTTGTTGTCTTCTTTAGACGATCCGTGACTTTGACATTTGTTTTGATTTTGCCGCTTTTGGAGGACTTTAGTCGTGACTTTGACATTTGTTTTGATTTTGCCGCTTTTGGAGGACTTTAGTCTCCACGTGGGCGATTCGATCGTCGGCTTTGGATTTGATGTCTTCTTTAGACGATCCGCAACTTTGATCTTTAGTTTGCCTTTTCCGCCTTTTGGAGAACTTCGGTCTCCGTGTGAGCGATTTGATCCTCAGCTTTGGATTTGATGTCTTCTTTGGACGATCCACAACTTTGATCTTTAGTTTGCCTTTGCCGCTTTTGGAGGGCTTTGGTCTCCGTGCGGGTGATTTGATCCTAAGCTTTGGATTTGATGTCCTCTTTAAACGATCCGCAGCTTTGATCTTTGAGAAGGTGGATTTGGTGCTCCATAACGCTTTTGGTGGCATGTCCTTTTGACTTTTGAATCGAAGAGGGCAGAGTTGATGCTTTGTTGAATAACGCGATGAACATCTTGAAGTTTTGAGAGGAACTTTGAAGACTTTCCCTTGGCTTTGACGAATTTCTCAACGGCTTTGAGAGCTTTGATCCTTCCTCCGGCTTGGACATACGACGAAGAACGTTAACTTCATCGATTCATCAACCAATATTTGATCATTTGTCCAAATCAGTGACTTTCGACGAAAAACGCTTCGAAGGACATGAAGAACATAAAGAACAATACAGAGAGAGTCTAGAGACTTACCCTTTGCTTGAATCATCGATGCAACTTCGGTGTCTCAAATGAATTGGCAATGGCTCCTATTTATAGGAGATGGGTAGCCTTGGCTTCCATCGGATGCTGTTTTCCATTCTAGACGAATTTGATTGCGCACCTTCCTTTTTCGCTAAAATCTTATGACTTTATTTATGCACGTAATATTTGTACGATATCTTCCATTTTAAGCAGATTTTTGTATTAATTGTTGATATTTATTGTACAAAAATTAACATATGTGCATAATTAAATATCATATATTTATTTTATTAAAATTTTATTTTCTTCCAAAATACAGTATATTTAATTGATTTTAGACATATATTTTTAGTGTCTACATATATATATATATGTATAGATAAATTTTTATTTTTTTGAATAAAAAAATTATAATATTTTTTTAAAAAAATTAGACAAATGGTGTATAAAATATTAATTTTTATAAAAACATAAAATGAACCTAAACATGTCCAAAAATATAAAATGACCACAAGCATTGTTTTCACATAAAAGAAGGGCAGGCTTAGTTTGTGCAATTCTAAATTTTAAACGATTCATTTCATCGAATTAACATATTAACTTAGGAATTGAATCTCAATTATAAGTTAGGCAGACATGATTAAATTTTCAATAATAATAATATGAAAAATACAATCCCACAATAAACAGCAAGCCGAACACAAGGTAGATAGTATACTATCGGCTTATGTTATGGGAGTGTAAACTGCTCTTCCTTCTTCCTTTCAACATATAATGCAACGCCAGTCGACAGTGTAGTAGGAAACTGAAAAACTCTTCACAAACTCAAAAGAGAACTCCAACTTTTATAGATCAAAGATCGGTGTACATTTTTATTGGGGCGGACATCTAATCTAGATTCTCGCTCAAGCATCCTAGCATAGTAAAGCTGGGGTGGGGGATGGATCAATGAAACCAAACCGACCATCAAACCGTAGCAGCAGCCACCGGGGGCTGGGCAACATCAGGGGCACCAGGAGTCAAGAAAGAGAGCAAGCCTGAAACGCCGCCTCCCTGCGGTTCCTGCTCATCGAGAAAAAGATCTTCGGGAGTCCGGAAAGCACCGTGCAACGAGACAAGCCCCACTCCAACCACAAGGGCGGAGACGAGAACGGATCCGACGCTGGTGAGGAAGATGATAACGATGGTAGAGAGGATCAAACCGAAGAAGGTTTCGCGATCGGAGAATTGACGACCGAAGAGGGTGAGCGGGGGATCAGAGGGCTGACGGAAGAGGCAGAGGAACAGCCAGGCGGCGAGGAGGGCGGCGAGGAAGATGAGGGAGAGGGGGTTTGTTAAAAGCGAGACGGCGAGGACGGCGGAGATGAGGACGGCGTAGTTGATGCGAAAGTAGTTGTAATTCTTGCGTAGGCGGAGGCAGGCTTCGGAGAAGGAATCGGGCTTGGAGAAGGCAGAGCGGTCGAGGAGCTCGGGCCAAGGGCGGCGGTTAGCGAGGCCGGATCGGACGGTTTCGGAGATGCCGGATAAGAAATCGCGGACAGACGATAGGCGTCGGTCGTCGGGGGAAGGGACGGCGGCCTGGGAATTGGTGACTGGGAGGACACCAGGGGAAGGGGAGATGGTAGCCATCGGATGTGTTTGGACGTGGTCTTGGGTTTCCTGAATTTTCTCCGAGCAAGGAGCAAGAGCGAGCGGCTTTAGAGGTTTACCTGGACTGGACTGGACAGACTGGGCCACTCGCTTAGAGTAGAGCATACACTATGGCCGCTACTGCACATGGGCCTGATATTTCTTCTAATGTATCAAGGCCAATAAATCTAAAGGTACATAGTTATCACGGTAGCTTTTTTTTTAATTTTCTCATCTCATACTTTTTTTACACACTTCTTCTCCAAATAAAAAACATCGTTCGTTGTCCCCGTTAACCCTACCTCCACTGGACTCGTTTGCATCCTATGATGAGTAATTCAACACGAAGTGCCCATACCACTCTTTCAAATACATAATTATTCGGTTCAGTTACTCTATCATGCCTTATCAATCAATTATTAGCCATGTATATTTTTAAACAAAAAAATTAATTAAAAAAAAAATACTAACAACAAATTGCATATTGTAATTTTTTTTAACTTAAAAATACATATATTTGACACAATTTTTAATTAACTCACCCCCGAGATTTCGTAGCTTTGCTCGCGTGGAGAGTAAGGAGAGAGAAAGAAAATTTGTGAGAAAAAAAAAAAGATTTGTAAATGGCGCTTTGAATGCACGATATGGTATTTTGTTAGAATATAAAATTGATATTTTCTACTTTAATAATAGGAATATGTACATATTTCAATAGTCCTATAAATCTCTTATTCCATATACGAATTTGAATTCACCAAGTTTGACTGAAAGTGATGTAGACGTCCACTGGATCAGAGTTAAAAGCAGAACTCTCAACAACGTTAGAGTTGGAAATAGGACTCGCTTGCTCGCAACAGAACTAGAGCCGAAAACAGGACTCGCTCACTCTATAGAGCTAGAGTCGGAAATAGGACTCGTTCGCTCACAACAGAGCTAGAGTCGAAAAATGGGACTCCCTCGCTCTCAATAGAATTAGAGTAAAAAACAGAACTCTCAACGGCAGTAGAATCGAAAGTAGACTCTGTTAGTGGAGTAGTAGAGACGGAGACAACATGAAAATAACAACATGATCATGGATACAAGCAAATACATTACTAAAATATAAAAATATATACGGGATATGGAGGTACTTGGAGAGAATTTGGCTTTGATACTATGTTAGAATATAAAATTAAAATTTTCTATTTCAATAATAGGAATACGTACGTATTTTAAGAATCCTATAAATTTCTTAAATAATACAACTACCATAAATATAATATATTGCTTCTAAATATATTTTAACAGTATCGGTGTAAAATCGAAAAAACATCGTGAAAATTGAAGCCATTGCATTGTAAAAATTTCGAAGGGAAGGAAAAAGCCGTCAACGTGCATAGAAAAAACATCTATTTTAAAGTTATAATGCGTGCTCTTATACAAGGTTTTGATATAAATAGAACATTTGAATTTCTTAACGTTTTCACGTAAGTTTCATGTCTATTTGATTTTTACGAAGATTTCTTTTCTTGGAAATCCAAGAGCCTCCTAATTTGTATAGACAGGGGAGCATTCCTCAACATTCGTCTTCAGAACGATCTAATCACAAGTTTTTACTTCTCAATGAGTAAAAAATTTGTCCCTGGATCTATGAAAGTTTGTATAGTAGAATTGTTTTTATTAATTTAAAAGCTTTATTATTTAAATTTAACACAAAAATATTACTTTATTTATCTTATAACAAATGATATTATTTTTCAATATACTTAATTAACTTAAAACATACTAATATTATACATAAACTAAACTCACTCAAAACTATCTTATTTCAATTTATTTTTTCACTCGCTTTCTTTCAATTTTTGCACCGGGTCTTTTTGAGTTAGTTGAAGTTGGTTAAGTTATTGATTTAGTGTAAAAGCAAAGCAACACGTGTAGGATTGATTCCATCGTACAATTCTTTTAGAATATCTTGGCGTAAGAAAGGTAAGATTGGTTCGGGTCAGATGAACTTAACGGGGTCTAAACCGGTAAGGTGTTGGTTGGTTGCCTTTGTGAGTGGGTCTGATGGGCAGTAGCAACTTTACATTCCCAGCGCTGCTAAATCGTCCCATGCTCGCCCACGCTCTATGTTATGTCTGTCATCACATCATACTAGTACTTGTTAAATCTGGTGAGGACTTGCATCGATGAAAACGAGTTGGTTGATTCAGGTGTTTATTGTATTGCCATTGATCGGGATATGTTAACCACTCTGTAACTTTGGGAGTTGACAGAGAGAAAAAAACGCCTTTGAAGTCACGGAGAAATTATTCTGTGCAATGCTTATCATGAATTGTTGAGTTTTGTCATGAAATTCCCTGCTTATCTCATTGATCACGTCCATCCTTCTGCGAAGGATTTGCAGAATGATCGGTGCTTGTTGATTATTGCCTGCAGCATCTGCAACTAATAGCAACAAATAATGATAATAATAATAATAATAATAATAATAATAATAATAAATCAACTAGTGGAGCCATAATAAGTTTTAAAATGTGTTTGTTTGAAAATTTGAGTTTAAAATATTAAAATTAAAATAATTATATAATACAATAATAAAAACGAAGAATTGAGGTTAAATCCCTCCCCATCGTATTGATTTGGGATTCAGTCCCTAATCCATATTCATTTGGCTGCACTCCCCCTTTTTCCTTCTTCGTTTTTCTTCCTCTCTACTTTTTTTTTCTTCATTCTGTTTCTTTTCGCGCAAAAAATTCTTCTCAATCTGTTGTCCTCTTCCGTGAGCTCGAAAGCCACATCCCGCGTAGGTAAGGTTCTTAATTGTTCGCCCGATTTTACATCGCCGCTTCTTGTCTGGTTCGATTGAAAAATTTCCTAGGGCACTCTCCGAATCCTGTTCCGGTTCCCTATCATCGGCGGTCGGTTGATTCAGTCGAAGAACTCCCGAATGCTGTCACCGGTTTCCTGGCCCGTCTTTCTTGTTCTCCGGTGAAATTAGATGTACCATGTGTGTTTTTGTATCGGTATCTTAGTTGAGAAATTATTATTTGGAAGAAAATGTTTGGGTATTATTTTGGGTGATTTTGATAATAAATTTTGTTGCTATTTAGTGTTTAAGGGTAATATTTATTTTCTAAAATGGGTAATTTGTTGCTATTGAGGATCAAGACATTACTAGAATTCCGTAAGAACATATGATTTTAGTGTATTCTGTGTAAGATTGTCTAATCGCCCATACGACCTAATATAGTTCATACACCCATTGGTTGGATCGTTAGGTTCCGATGGACATGGAGCAAAGTAGTCTGAAATTATTAATTATATGTTCCTACAAAGGTGAGCATCATGTAATTGGTTTAGAAGAGGGCACCATGCTGGAAGATCTTTACCGGAATCTATCAAAAAGATGGAATAAAGTGAGTATTGAGGCGGTAAAACTCTAATATATTGCACCTATTCAGAAAAGCTACGTGACGTTATTGTGTGACGATGATGTCGCCAATATGTGGAGAATGCATATCTTGTTAAAGGTAATGTTTGTGGATATGATTGCACGGTGTAGAAGCGAGCACCAGAGCGTGCCTCTCCGAAGCACGGTTGGACGCAGGTACGTTACTCATCATTTGTAATTGAGTAGTCTTCATTCAACTTTGTTATAGAATGCAGTCACAATTGTGCCTTATAAAAGAATGCAGTCTGTAAGCACTTATAATGCAGTCTGTAAGAATGCAGTCTGTAAGCACTTATAATGCCATGTTTAACACATCTAAAAACATGTTGTTTATAGGTTACATTAGTAATAATTTTTTCATGATATTGGCATACAACAATACCGTGGTATATTGTTGCGATGTTGTTTGTAGGTAGTAAGTATCCACCTCCGCGATTTTGTAATAGTGCGGTGCAGAACGAACCACTGAAGAGATTGTAAAGATATGTAGTGGGGATATAACTTCTTGAAGGTACTTAACGATTTTTACTTCTTCTTTACACGCCACTGTCAATATCCTCTAGCAATCCGGTTTAGATAGGTGTACCATGATCGATGCGTTGAAATTTCCATAGCCTGTGGCATTTACTGCATCACGTAGCCTACTGCAGTGAATAGATGCAGTTGTTCTTTTAAATACCCTGGATGACATGGTAGGTAACCGTAGACACCGTGGACATACTCGGTTGAGTAAGATGGGTACCCATGTTTTTCTATTTACGAAGAAAAGATCTATTACCATATAGAATTAGAAGTATTTACATCTGACAGAATTTTCATTCTTATTATTGTATTTGTAATGCATGGGTGAGGCCGAATGTTCGGGATTGAACGAAGATGGCGCATATGGTATCTTTATTCCCGACGAAAGTACTAGTCTAATTGCAATGCAAAGATGCATTGTCGGGGAAGGTCACACATTCAAGGGACCGCAGGAGTTTAGAAAGTTATTGAAGAATTATTCTATTGCCACTCAGAAACACTTCAAGTACCAAAAGAATGATTCGAGCAAACTTATTACGGTGTGCATCGACAAAGGCTGTGGTTGGCGTATTTATGCATCCTTCCATGCTCGTGATGCGTCATTCAGCATTCGTAAGTGCAATTTACACCACACATGTACTCTGAGTCTATTGCAATCAAGAGATCATCCAGCAGCCGATGCGAACTGGATTTTTGAAGTCTACAAAGATAAGATAAGCTCTATGCCAGCGTATAAGGCATCTGACATCCGGGAGCATATCCAAACAGATTATGGGATTGACGTGAAATATCATAAAGCATGGCGTGGCAAGGAGAATGCAATAAGGGCAATTAATGGTGGAGGTAGAGACAGTTTCTCACAACTTTCTTGGTACTGTCATGCACTTCGGGAGTCAAATCCGGGAAGTATTATAGACTGCAAAGTTGAGTAGGCAACCAAACGTTTCCAGTGCCTTTTCGTTTGTTTAGATGCATGCCGGCTGGGTTTTTTGAGGGGTTGCAGGCCCCTACTATTTCTTGATGGGATGCATATAAAAAATAAACACAAAGAGTGTCTGCTAAGTGCAATCGTAGTGGATGGGGATGATGGGATGTTTACTTTAGCATTTTCTGGTACGTAATTTGATATTAGCTACGGTTGTCATTTTGTTATAATGTTGGGCATAGCTGTTCGTGTGTGTTGTTTTCCATGCGATCTTTTGTTTGTTAAATATTTACCTGCAATATTGTTTCGAATACCCTTACAGCATTCCGATATGCTCTCTTAGGCACGTATGTACCCTTATACGCTGGAAAAATTTGTAGTTATTTGTGTTCTTATTTGTTGACTTGCAGCGGTGTCTAAGGAAAATGATGAAAATTGAGAGTGGTTTTGCTGGAAGCTGCGATCTGTTTTAAAATGTGAAGGACGTATGGATTGGAAACAGTACACATTCTTCTCGGATCGGCACTCGGGTTTACTAAAGTCAATCTCGTGCGTCTTTCCCGGAGCACATTATGCGTATTGTCTCCGACACTTAGTGGACAATTTCCATACCCAGGTATATGTACGTCAATATTAATTTGTAATGAACATCACTGGTTATGATCAGCCAAAAAATGTCTTTTTTTTAGGTTATGCGGAAATACCCAATGCATAATAAGAAACGATGGACCGTTGTCTTTGTCAACCCACAAATGACTAATTACCGAACAATTCACCAAAAAACCTAAAATATGCAACTTCGAGTAACTAAACAAAATATACATCTCCAAAATTAACAAAATCAAAGATAAAACAAATAAAATCACCCATAATCGGTGCATAAATAGAACACCGAACCGGGTTTCCTGGCCAAAAATTCGAACAATTTCAAACCCGTTGAACAAATACAACACCGAACACCCAGGGCTCCTCATCACCAAACCGAGGCATACAAACACGGGACCAAGGCTTCTACCCCAAACAATCGAATAAACTACGGTATAAAATTCGATTGTCAACAAAATCATAAAACGAAAAGGGTTTCAACCAGACACTTACTTCTCCGAACTCTTCGTGGGGGATCGCGGCGGGTTTGTTGTTTTCCTCACTATTTCGCTGAACGAATATGTTACTGCTTGATCGTCGAGTTCTCAATGGTCGATTTGCTTCTCGAAGAACTAGGGCTTGGACGGAGAGTGAGGGAAGTTAGGGAAGGTTTCAACTCTTAAATCGTGCGTATTTTTTGTGATTTTTTTTAAAAAAAAATCGCAAAATAAGGTACGCAGTATTTAAATGGAATTATTTATCGTATACTAGGGTAGAGCGGGAGGTAATGTATGTATATATTATAAAATTGGAAGTATTTATTAAACAATCGTAAGTATATGTTGCATATACAATTGTGATTGGGGAAAATACAAAAAAAGAGTTATAATATATCTAATCAATAAAATAAGGACTATTAATTTACAGAAACTGAATTGCAACTAAAATTTTAGTCCAAGTCTCCCTAATAAAAATGAATATAATATTTTAAATATTAAATTAATTTTTAATATAATGAAAAGACAAGAACTTGAAGAGAAGATGTACATTGCAGTGAAGAGAACTAGGAGCTGCGCAGAAAGGAAACTCGAAGCAAACAAAACAGCCCGTGGCACTTTATTCCGACGTCAAATTCTTGAATGACGGTCAAAATAGAAAAAAGACTATGCGATAAAATCATGTACACAGTGACAAATCAACCACCCACCACAGACGGCAGCAGCAGCAGCAATGTAATGTAAATGTGCACCAACCAGACCAAACAAAAAATAATAATCATAAGAATCGACCCTATGTTACTACAAGCAAGCGCTGCCTAAACCAAAGAACAAAAAAACAATAGAATGGATGTATAGTGAAGGAAGGAAGCAAGAAAAATACACAAATACACGCCCTCTCCAAGTCTATGGCACATATTCAGTCTCCAGCATTGGCTGCGTCCTTGTCCCTGTAGCCGCTGGCGCTTTGGTGTTCCCAAGAGAGGTCATATGCAAAGCTTCACCAACATCCGCCGCCCTCTCCATCTGATGCATTTTCTTCCCGTGCTTGTACTTGCTTGCCCAGACGGCTATCAGCCCCAGCACGACCAACAAAGTGAATCCTCCAAGCACTGCTCCTGCAATTATCCAGGCCTTGGAATGATCACTACTGCCCTGCCTCCTCCTCCCCTTGCTTAGGGCAGGAGGAGGAGGAGGGGAAGGAGGGACCTCAACTGATTCCACCACAATAGAGATGTGGCCCTCCTGGAATGTTACGCAAATGTTATCGGATGACACATTACTCAAACTGACCGTGCCGTTTAAGTTGACCAAAACACACTTGGGAACTAAACCGTCCGGCACAGGCCTCCTCAGCCCTGAAAAATGGACGGATATGGGTTCGCCGGATGCGCGGATATCCAGCTCGCGCAAGTTTCTAGCATTCAAATCCGAAGCGTCGTAAGCAAGGAGACCTAATACGGGGGCTAAGTAGGTGTAACCCTGGAGGGGATAATATGTCATAGACCAATTGCCCAGGTTCTGGTATACCAGAACAAGCCTCTCCACGTACGGCTGCTCTATCACCCCCTTGGGAATTTCAAACTCCTCATACATCTTGACCCCCCTCGTTCTTAAGCTACCGCTCCTGAGCCTCATTGCCGAAACCTTAGTTCCGGTGAGGTTGGAGGGGACAACCCCAATGTAGACAACCCCAGTCCTCGGACGAGTAAATGCCTGGTAAGCAAAGCCTTGGAGAAGAGCATCAAGCGCCCGTGCCTCCCTAAGCGAAGCGCTGCTAAGCAGCTGGGCACTCATGGTTGACAGTGAGGCCAACAACCACGTCCAGATCAGGAGAAGAAGAATAAAATTCATTGCGAGAAATCAATATCCAAATTTGGCAGATCCGGAAAACGAAAGAAACGTTCAAGCCCAAAGTCAACACAGCAGCAGAGTATTCCGAAAATGCATTTAGGAGGAGAAAGCCCTCTTACGGGCGGCGGCAAGCTTCTTCAGTAGGACTTGTAGCCGTTTAGAATCCCTTTCTGCTTTAAAGGAGACCTCAACCTCGCTCTCTCGCAGAAAAGCAAATCAAAGCGAGGAGGGGAAGGGGAAAGGGGAAAGGGAGTTAAATATAAATATATATATATGTATTATATTCACACAAAAACAGAAATCAAATATGCAGCAGTCGCCGTATTCGTCGTCGTATAAATAAAAATAGGTAAAACAAACTTGCTCCGAGTACAATAATCAGAATGATGATTTGTTGTGCCGCATTCTGCAGGCCGCAGGGGAGAAATAATGAAAGAATGGTAGACGAACAGAGGAGCGGGATGAGGGTACAAGATGGGTATGGGTAGGTTTTGGACTGGGGGGAGAGGAGGGGAGGGCGAGCAATCCGCAAGTGCAACTGCGCTCCGAGAAGAGTTGCCGTGGTTGTGCCCGTGCCTGTAGGCTGTAGCAACAAACTCTTCAGATCCAAATCTAAAAACACCCTCTCTCTCCCTCTCTCTCCCTCTCTCCTTACAGAAAGGCATTCACCCTGACCCTGCTGTCTGCGGTACTATTGCTACACCCAGGCCCAGCACTAATTTTTATTATTTTTTTTTTTATTTTCTCCATCCTCTTTCGTTTTAGTTCAAAACTGGACGAAAACAAAGGAAATTGAATGATTGAATTGACAACAATACCCCTACTTGCTTCGTGCATTCTTTCCCTATTTGAGTTGTCCGTGGAGGTGGACATGGACAGCACAGGACGGGATGATTTGTGGAGATGCTACCCGACTTTTGAGTGGGGTGGGATGTGGCTTAAGTTTCCAAATATATAGTATTATGTTTACGTCTGCTACCATTTCAACCTTCTAGTTGGAGCAATCACGGGGCTACGACTGTGAATGTGAACGTGAATGTGAATTGGTTCATCTCACTTCTTCATTCATTCATTTATTGGGGTATTACTTTTTCTTTTCTTTTATATCTTTTTTTTTTACTTAACCAACTGAAAATCCGGGGAAAGAATACATATACCTAACTCTATCCATAAGTTTCATCTCCAGCTCCTTGATATGTATTAAAAAAGAGAGAAAGGATTTTCTAAGTAAGTAGGAGGATATAAAAAATCAATATATAAAAATAAAGTATAATAGAAAATATAAATGAATAAATGATCTTGCACAATTTTTTTTAAAATTAAAAAAAAAAAAAAAAAAAAAAAGACTAAAAGGTAAAATAGTATATACTTATTTATATAAATATAATTTGTATCTTTCCCAATAACATTTGTTGCTATTGCATTCAACACGTTTACTGAGTGTACACTCAGTGACTGAAGGTTCTAACGTAGAAGTTTTATCCAAACCGCACTCCCGAATAACAATTGTAAGTTCTGACATCATCAATATATATAATAACTAAATATTGCATAGAAAATATTTCATAATAGGCACAGGTGCAAATTAGCAGAAATCACAGAGTTCAATCACAAGGATATGATTACATGAAGAGAAATTATAGATGCGGGCGGACGCACGCCTACAACACGGACTGTAAACAATATATAGATTGAGAATCTAATTCATCAATATCATACCACACACAAGCATTTTACCTTACCATTCACAACCTTGCAACCCCAACTATGGCATCAGTCAAAACACACCTTAATTATATCAACATGGTAGACACATTATATGGATTAAGTTTTTTCATCTGACTCGGCAAGCCCCAGGGCCGCCCGGGGAGCAATTTGCATTGGAGGATCGACAGCCAACACCAGTTCCAACAGCGCCAGTAAATCCAGGATGCATCCGGCTGGCAGGAATCCTTCCTGATACAAATGGACTACCACCACATAGAAGGGTAGGAGTTGAGGATGATGATGTAGAAACTTCATTAGCACGATTGCCTTGTAAAGGTTCCAATGTTTCAACCACGTCACTCATCAAAGGTCTAGCTTTTGGGTTCTGGCTCAGGCAATAGTACGCCAAACTGCAAGCTTTCTGAGCTGCACGCAGTGAGTATTGATTCTCTAATCTAGGGTCAATGATTTGCAGCATTTTTCTCTTGTCATTTAGCTTTGGTCTAGCCCAATCTACAAGACTTTGCTCCTTGCTTGGTCTCGTCTTGTCCACAGACTTCCTTCCTGTCAACAACTCCAGAAGGACAACACCAAAACTGTAAACGTCACTCCTCGCAGTAAGGTGGCCTGCACATCTCATGAACGCATAAGTGAGAATCCGAGCACATATATTCTAAGCACTCTGATATACTCATGATAACTGTTAAATATTAAATGTCCACCTCACTTAAAAGTTTATGCTAGCAGCGATATACATCATTATATTACATGTTATAGTTTCCAACAGTACCCAACCAAAATAATGAAAGCCAAGACCCACCACAGTCCACACAAATAATATTACAAAACTTTGGCATATTTATTTCTGTTTATTTGTTTTTTGGTTTTGTTTCTTCTTCTTCTTTTTTTTTTTTTTAAAGATGAAATCATTCAAAATTGGTAGATTGAATGGCAGAACAAATGGTAGAGAATACACAAGCAACCAAAACTATGCAGATGACTAATATCTAAAATGCAATTGCTGCCATCAAATTGAAGGACGTTGTTGTTCCACATAGAAATTATATTATAAAGAAAAATATTTATATACCAGAATCCTACAATTCGTAGGTCTAAAAAATATAAAATTGAATAAGTACTTCTGATCTGGAGCGAATAAGGAAAAAAAGGTAGAAAAGTGATAAATAAAATAGAAGATTTCACAATGTCTTCCGCATGTGAGTTAAAACAAAATCTCAAACAACAAAACTATCCCCCTCTTTTCAAAGATAATAGTATTCAACAGATGTCCCTGTACATTGCTTGTCTGAAATCTGACATAGTACCAGTTCAAATATTTATGCGAACACAATACTAAGGAAAGTCAATTGCAAAATGCCACTATACAAGAAATGAACATGTGAATTTGTACAATTAGTGACACAAAGGAATTCATGATAACAGATTTGAGTTTGGATATAAAAGCGCGCGCACACACACACACACATATATATATATATGAAAACCATTTTGAAACATGTAACCACTTCATATGATTATAATTTTAGAAAATGCAGGAGAATAGATTGATAGAATGATAGGTGAAGACATTATATATGTAAAATAAATGTTGAGCGAAATTCTCAAGTAAAAATTTAAATAAATATTTGTTTGAAACTCAAGGCCTATTACATAAGATTGATGGAACAAAAAAGGATACAGCTTTTTTGCCACAGCAAAGACTTGTTATAGAAAGAGCATATAGTAGTACTCTAATGGGAAATTTCCCCATTATCATTCAACATAATAATGCTGTGCACCAGCTAAATGCAACAACAAAGGAGAGAAAAGAACAAGGAAAAGTGCAAGTTCACCAGCACTCACTTGTGTTATCCTCAGCTATGTTAGCATCATAGGCCCAAAATCTGAGTGGAATTTAGGCATAAGTGGAGTAGAAAAGAAGAAAAAGACCAAATGAAATTTCCTGTCCCTGCCCTAAATGACAGTAAATTGAGACTTCTAGCTTTTAGTATCTAGACATAATAAAACTCCAAGCATGCATTTCCACAACTTCCTCAATCCAACTGTTGCAGTACCAGGGGATCTATCCCAAAATAGTTGAGTCATAAAGAATATTCTAGTCTAAAGCATTGAATTATACACAGTAAGTTGTACCAGTCATGACGTATTCAGGGGCAGCATAACCATAGGTTCCCATTACTCTAGTTGATACATGGGTTTCATCACCTTGCGGCCCTGCTTTTGCAAGCCCAAAATCAGACAGTTTGGCCATATAATCCTGTTGCAGAGAAAATTGACCTAAAACATAAGATGCAAAGAACCCTCCTATCAAAGCAGCAAATTTAAATTAATAACGATGAGTACAGCTTTGTAATCATGTTAAATACTTAATGACTGTCAAACAGAGGTCACAATTTGCTCAACAGATGCACTTGACAGCATGCATTGTAGTCCTCTTTGTGTGTAGGTGTGTTAGAGAGAGCAATAGAGAAAAACATGTACTTGCTCCATCCCATGTCTATTGTCTCATTTTACTATTTCCATTTCTACCAAATCAATTATCCCATTACCATTAAAAGTAAATATGGCCCTTACATCACTGTAAAACTGCCCTCACAATTCAATATTATAACACAAATATCACTACTTTTTACACCTAAATCAAGACACACCACCACCATTTCCCCGAGAGCAAAGTGGACAATTTAACATTATGTCGCACCCACTACCCATTAAACAATCAATATTCCTTAACTATGTGCCAGAAAAATACTGGACAAATACATATCGAAGAGTATAATTGAACTGATAAACTTACAGAGTCTAGCAGAATATTAGATGTCTTGAAGTCACGGTAAATAACAGGCCTTTCAGCATTATGAAGGAAAGCAAGCCCTTTAGCTGCCCCAAGAGCAATCATCAGTCTTGTTGACCAAGATAATGGAACAGTAGCTTCTGGAAGCCTCAGAAAATTCCAGGTTAATTGTAGTCAGCTATGTACATATATATGTGTGTGTGTAATGCTCCATGTTGATTGCAGTAACACAGGCAGTGATTTTGATGTTTGTAGGTGTAGATTGAAGTTAATAGGAGTTTATGCAAACACAAATATTATGCTAAAGCATGCAATCCGTATAGAAGAAAATCAAGTACAACATTCAAAACAGAAGGTTTACCCAATTATGCGTTCATTTCCCAATTATGAACTTTGTTCTTTGCTGTTCTCCCCCCCCCCCCCCCTAACCACTCGTTTTCAATACAAAACACCACTCAACCATTATTCTACCTCAAAATTTTCAAAAACAAACCTGACAAAAAAAAAAAGAACACACCCCTAACCAATAATATGTTTTAGGCAGGCCTCATCTCAATAAATTTTGGATTCATTCACAGATGTAAAGGCTTTTAATGTGAAGCAAAGCTTCTCTATTTTGTAATAACTTCTAAATAAATACTTATCCGCAGAATTATATAGCAGGAGTTGGTGAATTCTGGTGGCGAAAACAGCAATAAATATGACAGAAATGGAGATGGATCGTACTTCGGAACAGGTGATTCTCAAGGCTTCCCCGGAACATGAATTCATAAACAAGTAACCTGTGATCATCCTCACAGCAATAACCTATCAGCTTCACTAAATTAGGATGCCTGAGCTGGCCAAGGAAGTTGACCTCGGTCTGAAATATGGAGTTACGAAAATAAATAAAAATAAAATAGATGGGCAGGGAAGGAAGGGCAGCTCAGCTAAAAGAGCTCAAAGGAATAAGGAAAACTCACCAGCCATTCACGGTGGCCTTGAAGACCTTCTTTGTTTAGCACCTTGACTGCAACAGGGAGAGACTTAAGCCCGACTCTAACATTCTCATCAATGTAGCCTTTGTAGACTGTTCCAAAACCACCTTCTCCAAGAATGTAGTCAGAGCGGAAGCTCTTCGTGATGGTCTCCAGCTCGAAGAGAGTAAAAGCAATGACGTGGGTGTAGAGCAGGGAGTTCTTACGGAAATCTTCGAAGTTGTGCGGTGTCGAAGAATCGATTGGATCTGAAAAGGAGCGAGTCTGCTTTCTTCCGGTAGCTGAGTGCCTAGAGGACAATGAGGAGGCCTGGAGCTGGAGGTGCTGCTGCTGAACTGCCCATTTTTATATCTTTTTCTAGTTTATTACTCGTTTCAGGAAAATAATGGAGAATAAATGCGAAAGACTATGAAAACCCTAACTTCTCAGTCCAGAGTGATGTATTGAGCTGCAATTACAGAATGTTTGCCGGCTAAAAAGAGAATAGTTTGACTCAGAGAAGAGAAGCAAATAAATCCGCACATTTGCAAAAGAGAAAAAAAATCAAGTAGGTAGTGATTGAGAGTGAATTGGGAAAAACCTAGATCTGGTGGGCAACAGAAACTGAAAATTAATATGCGTGCCGCCGTAAGAACAGAAAGGAACTGAACCTTGATATTGGGGGGCTGTAGAGACGACGGCCGACTCCTCCCTGGTGCCGCAATTGCCCATGTCTCTCTCTGTTAAGCAGGATGGCTCATCCGACAAGACCAGTAGCGGCGGCTCTCATACTTGCTTGCTATTGCAATTGTTAGCTACGCCTGGTTGGTTTCAAGGATTCCTAATAGTACCTTTGCAGCAGCGCCTCTTGTCTTGTCTCACTGGCTTGTATTTGTGCGTGTTCACTCGCGTACGTCTCATTTGCTTCATTAACTATTTTTATTTATTTTTCTTCTCGGATTATTATCACAGCAGTATAGTAATAGTATATCGTCAAAATTGGCCCGGTGACGCCGATAATGATACTGATATTGATACACACACGAGCACGGCACCGTGGAAATGGGTTGGGGTGGGGATGGGGGCGGGGGTATTATTAATTTGGTATGACTCAACTCGATATCATATCGCATCCGAATAAACTTTATTGATAGTTAAGAGATCGCATGGTATTATTTATTTATGATAAGCAGGGCAAGAGAAATAATAAAAATGGCATAAACAAATTTTAAAAAGATTGCAAATACAAATTTTGAAAAGAAAACAAGAAGGAAAAAAAAAAAAGTAAAACTTTTCGCTATTGTTATTTTGGTTGACGTTCGCAAATGGTCCGATCTAAGTATAGACTCCAGTGAAAAGTTGTGGCTCATTTAACATGGAGCGAGTGATCCATTCAGTTGTGGTTCAAATCGATCAGACCTGTGTGTCTTCAAAAGGAACATCGATTGTAAGATATCTACTATAATTGATTGACAGATTTTAGGAGATTTAATTGAGAAAAAATATGAAGTCAAATTATGAAGTTATTGAAAGTGATTTCTTACTTTATTTGACGATTTTACCATGTTCAGAATGTTAGATTAGAGTAGTAATCATAGCGCCATTGGGTATGGTAAACTGAGAAAATTTTGTGATGTGATGAATAAGTTAATAGCTAGGGGAACAAGGAATTGAATTGGAGGAGGTTGTAGATGTGAATGAGTATGCTATCAAATTCTATCTAAATGATAGAGCTACATTTATGAGGGCAATTATTCACTCAACAATTTTGTAAGTTTTATTCGTTCATCATTGAGTATTAATCTTTTTGGGTTGGTATTCCAAATGTAGGTCTTCAATGACCAAACTGGGTTAACAGTTGTTTTGTATCTGATGTTCTTGTCGTCACCCGTATGTGTATTCGCAGTTCGATCTTCCAGCAAATAACGAGTCTATGTTGAGGGTTTTATTTTTCGATTTTGTTTTTTTGAAGTAAGTTGTTTTTACTACTATGTGCTTGATCGATTTCAGGATCAACATAATTGAATATCGCAAGAACATATTTTAATTATATTAAAATAAATTGCTAAATTAAAATTAAACATTTGTTGTTCTGTTTCTAATAGATAAAATCACAAACAAAAGCAAGTTTGCATCCCGGTTATTAAGATCTACTTGAGATTAGAGCTAAATGTAAACTAATAATTTTAAATAAATTGTAGACAAAAATATTTATAAATTGTACGGAACTTATTCATATTTTCAAAATATTCGAGTATAAAACTTTTTTAGGAGATTATATGTAATATTTTCAAATTACGAAGGAATTTTGTACAATTTTAATATTTTTTAAAAATAATAGTGATTCAGTGAATTATAAGTAATTTGTCTAAATAATAATATAATCATATATAATGTGTAACTATGTATGCAATAATATTTAATACAAAATAATATATTATATTATTTACTTTAATATTACTTAGTCAAAAAAATATTTTTAAAAATAATTGATAAAAAAAATTCAACAAGTTATAATAGTATATAAATAGAATAATAAATAGTTCAAAAACTACATTAAAAATATCATTTACTTGTCAAAAACTTATAAAATATAATGTATGTTGTTGGTATAAAAAAAATCAATGAAATGAAAGAATAGTAACTGTTGTGACTTTTGAAAATAAGACAGTAATAAAAGCAGTGACCAACGGATTTTATTTTTTATCTTTCGTTTGTTTTCTCGTTTGAATCACTAGTTGTATTTTTGTAATCTACATTATCAATTTAATATAATTTATCGTTATATATTCTATCTTGAATTGTTTTATATTATCAAGACTAATCTTAGAAATTTTATCATTACGAAGGGCCTCAATTTTTGGCTCACCTTCAAGTACTTCAACAACCCGCATGATCAGTAAAGCATTTCCTTATTCTTTCTATCGAAAGTGAGGAAGTTGCTCACCTCACCGTGATGTTTTGGCCTCAACTCTTTTTGTGTGTTCAAGCTTGCCAAAGGTCGTCCATAACTTAGCACAGGCAATAGGTTGGGGATAATTTTCAGTCACTATAACTATCTTTGTTTCGCCCTTCAACCTCATGGCCTCCGTTTAGTGTTGTTGGCACTTTTTATGAATTCGGTATAATGATTTATGTTTATCAAGAGATGATTGACCGCAAAACTTCTATATGTTGCCTTTTTTCTAAACATGTCCGTCTAGTGAGGGGTGATCACAATGTGATACATTAACGGACCTCCATACATGTCCGTCTTCTCAAAGCTTATCTTAGTGATAGTGCTCGAATGAGCTAATCTATCTTATACCGAAGTATTTTGTCATGGTCGAGGCATGTGTCCCAGGTGCTCAAACACAAGTCTTTGAAGAGCCAAAGGCTTCCGAATATTCTTTTCCATGCCATTTTTTGTGGAAGCCCTTTTTTAACCTTACACTCACCATATTTATAGGAACTGCAAATATGTAACCTTTCATGTACAACCGATTTGTGAGAGACACAATCAGCCTTCCTTTGATTGACTTTTGAATTGCATTTTGAAAGGCAACCTAATTTCTTACGGGATGTCCCGTGCCATTTGTAATATGTTATGCTATTCAATTCACATTTTCTATAAGAATTTTATGTTTGTCCTTCAATCGGAATTATTTGTTATTTGAATAAGTAAAAGCAGAGAACCACAAAAGAAAACTATTTCGCTTCGTAATTAAAATCAAAATAATGGTTGTTCATCCTAACATGACTTAGATGCTCTTATTCAGGAAATTGCAAAAAACATAACACATGTTAAAAAAATATTATGCTAGAGTAGCAATCAAAAAGTAAAAGTAATAATTGATAAGTATGAGTTATTTATTGAAATTTTCTTGTAGGGTGATATTCAATTTGCCTCCCTTCACTGAGGTAGAGGCTTCTGCGCGTGGTAGATTTTCTGAAGTCATCAGGGGACGCACATTCACCCGCATTTTATCTTTAGCCTTTTGTCCTCCAAAAGGTTCGGCAAAGTGACGCCTGGAGGCATGCTGATAGTGTAAGAAACAATGTCGGTGTACTTGAGTAGCGTCGCACGTTGCGACTTGAAGTGGGGGAGAGTGACACGGGTTGACATTTATGTCCTAGGTTCTCGGCCACAGTTCATCCCATGTGTGCGAGTCCCTTGTCCTATACGACTAATTACCGGCATATGTCTAGGTGCAAGTACGTATTCCACATTATTCTCTCATACGTCATGGTATATCAGACATGTTACGCACAGAGGACGGCTAGTATGGGCCTCAGCGTGCGGGCATGTCAACTATCGGGCACGTTACATATGAATGGTTTCTCCAATTTCTTCTAGAAATGATTTGGAATCATATTACACTGGAAACAAGAACATAAAATCGAAGTAAAACGACGCAAGACCATGTAGATGTGATTGAATTACTAATATGAAAAATTAATTGAACGAAATCGAGTAGAAATTGGTGTGGGATTGCTATGTGCAAAGTAAAAAAGAAAGTGCAAGAATATATTGAAAATTAATGGCTAAAATCGATCCCAAAACAGTACAAAATTAAAATGAAGAAATTCACTATAGAAACTCTAACAAAACCTCTTGTATTCCTCCCAAAATTGTGGAGTAAATATCCTTTTGGTCCAACATTGTTTTTGACTTTCTTCGATCCTCGATACAAACGTAGGTCTCCTTTAGAGCAATAGCAATGATCTGTTTTTTTCAACGAAGGCTTTTTTTCAATCAGATAATAAAATAAAATTACATAGTAACTTTATTATTGTGGGTGAAAAATAGCAGGACTTGGCAACGCTTTGGTGTAGGCGAATGATATATGCGATATTAGATAAATATTTCGCTATATTTTAGACGGTTTTTGGATGCGAATTTTGTATATATGCTCTTAATGTTGTGTTTTTGAACTTTCTACTAGGCATTAAGGAGTTGGCAAATTTTGGGCATATTGGAGAGAAAAGCAGAACACAGGAAGTCCTTAGGCGTGATCACGAAGCAGGAAGAATGAAAATTGCAAAAAGGTCCTCCGGGGTTAATTAGCAATTTTAGAATTGTTTGGTTTAAAGTGCAAAGGGGATCTAAAGTGATGAATTGAAAAGGAGAGTTAGGGCCAATAAAGAAGGGGAAGAAGAAATGCAAAGCCACGATCTCACCTACAACCCATTTCTGAAATAGAAGAGAAGGAAGGAGAACACTACGGAGAGGGGACTTTTGGAGAGCAACGCATAAGAATTTCCGGGCACCTTTTTTTCTCATTTCTTAAATTGGTTTGTTGTCGATTTTTAAACTTGAAGGCATAATGAATTCTATGATTTATTTTATGTTTTTAATTGCTATGGATTGCAAGTAGTTTCATTTCTAGTGTAGGTATGAATTGATGTTCGGAATTGAAATTGTGAGACTTGGTTTCGATTAAAATTGGTGTTCATCGATGTTGGGTATTTTTAATTCTTCTAATTGATGAGTTTAGAAATCTTGAATTGATTATTGCGCACATATCAATTTAGGGTTTCATAGCTATATTGGAGATTAGCATACGTAATTGTGTAATTTTCCAATTGACGTAGCAACCTAGAGAAGAACATTCTAGGGAAGAATTAAGATCAATTTTAGACAAATCCTCGTAGGAGCTTGTTAAATTGAATTTGGCCTTTCTAGTTTTTACTGCTGTCGAGTTAGAAAACTACGGTTGTACTTAGGATTCTTTCCCGATTAGAGATATAGCTAACGGCCGTACCTTAGCTATCGAAAAAGTAAGGAAATATTGGTTGTGAACGCGTATAGATCAACTATAACCAATTTATCCAACTAGTCGATGAATTTGACTTTTAGTCGATGATCAAATTTCATATCCCGAATGAAAAATTCATGCATATGCTAGAGTTTAATCATATTTGGTAACCGTTAATTTTGCATTCTAGTTAACTAGCGTTGTCAATCACACTAAAGCGGAGCACCCAACTATGATAATCAAATCCCTATTTAGTGTGATAATTTTGGTAACCGTTAATTTTATTCTTCCTTATTTAGTGTGATAATCAAATCCCTCCAATATATATTAATATAATTATAATTGATCAAATAAAAAAAAACTATTGTTTCCATGCGGAGACGATCCTATTCACTACTGCTATACTGCATATTGTGGGACGTAGAAATTTATATTTTATTTTGCAACAGCGAAGCCATGTTGATGCGGTCTTACATCATTATCTTTTGCCTTGAGCCACTACATATTTATTTGTTATAATTTATTGTGTCAGAATATGAAAATTGACAAATAAACACCACATTAGCGGACTAAGGCATTTTTTCATATTTCCCGTTGCAATTGCTCTTAGCAGGCCAGATTTGTTGGGCCGCCTCTTTTAAAATAATATACAATTTTATTTAAAATAAAAAAACAAACACATCTTACCAATACAAATATTCCAATTATGACCGGCCCTAACTTTACATCAGCCCAGCCCAGACCAAATTCTTAATTCATCGATCTGACGGGACTCCCCGTTATCTAACCCACCCTCTCGCCGCGGTTTAGCAAAGACGAAGATCTGACAACTCTGTCGATCAGCAGTTTCTGCGCGCAAGTTTTGGACACAGAACCCAAATCGTCGTTAGAATGACGCTGATGTGGTTGGAAGCCGTGTTGCCGCTTGGAATAATAGCAGGGATGCTTTGCGTCATGGGAAACGCTCAATATTACATTCACAAGGCCGCTCATGGGCGTGTTCGTACCTCAACGACCATTTGTTTATTTTCTTGTTTATCTCTTTCTTTCTGTTATATGCTACGAGTTGAGCATCCGATCTATGATTGTTTGTTCATCTTTCGCTGATTATTGCCACAATTGTGTACGACAGCCCAAGCACATCGGGAACGACGTTTGGGATGTGGCTATGGAAAAACGCGACAAGAAAATCATGGAGATTCTTTCTTCTCCTTCAGCTTCCTCTTCCAATTAGCTTTGGTGCTCCCTCTTACTTTTTGTGCTTATACTTCCATCTCGGCCCTATTCATTTGACTTGCCTGGTTATTTGTTTTTGGTAAACACTTAACTGAGAAGGGGACAATCCCCCACGATTTTAACTCCATGTGTGACTATTGTACATAATCTCAATAACTTTACATTACCGCCTAAAAGTATGTTACCAAGCATGATTGCCTTATGTGAAGTCTAGTCCAACGGAGATAAGTTTGTGTCCACAGTTCGTTTGTTTACCTGATTGAATATTTATGTTTTTCTGAGCTATGCTATAAACTCTTATGCTAAGTATTTTTAGCATTTATCCAAGTTACCGCACTTATTTGCGGCATAGTTGGGTTATGAATTTTTAGATTTTGGTTCTCAAGCAGTATAGTCGGGTTTTACCGACCCGGTAAATTTTCTTTCGAGCATGTGCCTATTTGCTAAAGATGCGGAGTTTATATCCATGGACCATGGATCCTTTTGCAGGATAGAATAATTTTACTTAGTTAATATCTATGCATTGGTGAGGCACATATTGCTTTTGTCAGACAAAATATAAATATACTAGCATTCAAATCACACATGATCATTCCGTTGATAAACAGATTACACATACACCCAGTCACTAGTCCACTGTATACCTGACTTTTGGCCTTTTACATTGGGAAAAAAGTAGGTGTGCACGTAGAATATTATGATTACAAAGTATTGGTAGTGCTGTTTGACCTGTTCATTTGAAATGTTTACATTCCTATATTTAATCAAAGCATGAAAGAAACTAATACTAGCACAACAAGGTTATCTTATGTAATATGGCTACACGTAGTTTGCTATTCTTTTCTTTTTCTTTGGCTATTGTTCATTTCTTTTGTGTATTCCTGATCTATACATTGTTTACGCAACTTGCTTTTGGAATTTGCATGTATGAGAAAACTAGGCCTTCGTTTACTTATGTTTTTAAGACTATTTTCACCCAATTAATCAAAATTTCTCTTTCTAAAAAATATCACATCAAAAATATATTTTGCATTTATTACATCAAAAGCATATTCTCTATTCAAAACATTACATCATAAACGGATTTTTCATTATTATATCAAAAACATATTCTCTATTCAAACCATAAATATATTATTATTTTTGCATATTTTACATCAGAAAACATATTCTTTCTTCAACACATCAAATCAAACACCTATTTTCTATTTAACTTTTCACTATTTCCAAACTACCTAAAATTTTGAAAAGCGTCCAAAACATATCTAAACCCACACCCTAGGTATGCAAAAAGATTATTGTGATAAATTCCGATCAAAAAGAAAAAAGAAAAAAAGAAGAGTATTATGATAATGCAGATTTGGTATTTTTGTTTTCTTCGGGCATGGTGAAACATTGTCTGCTGGGAGTCTTGAATATTTTCTAGGTTCAAAATGAAATGGTTAAATATGTTTATGTTTGATCTGTACTTATAGTATATATTAAGATGCTTTAAAATGTAAACTATGTGTAATTGAGTTTTTGAGCACTTCAGGATGCCATATGAAAAAGTGTAAACAATATAATGTAATTAGATGGTAGTGTTTTATCATGGAGAACAATCAAATCTGGAATACATGTGTGTTTCTATGGAAATTCAAATATTATTTTTTGCATGGGAATAGAGTTGTGAAAAAAATTCTTTTAAAGTGGTTCAGAATTTACTAGAACGTTTTAAATGTTAGGTGGTGTGTATGCTGCATACTTGGATTATACAAGAATGCTATTTTTCTCTTATCAAACTCTTCCATAGATGTTTAACCTATCACCCCCCAAAGACAGACAGTACACTAGTAATTTCTCTTATGTAACCTGTAGGATTTAGTAAAAGACTTCAAAGTATTTGTGATGTTAAATCCCCCACTCTCTTCTTTTTCTTTATTAAACTCACAGCATTACTTCCAAGCTTGGTTTGGGTCCAGGAATAATCCAAGTATTCGTGTCGGAGAGTTTGCAGATGGGTGTGAGGCACTTAGGGTGTGTTGGATTTGGTTTGGCCTCAGTCTCGCCCTATTCATCATATTTTTTATACTCCTAAAAACATTAAATCAACACAATTTTTATATTATATTCATAATCTATTTTACATTCAAACATTACCTTGAAAAACTATTTCAATCCATATTTACTATTCCCACCACATCCAAATCACATGGTTGGAAATTTTCTTTTGATTTTTGCACTGACTCTTATTTAGTTGCTAGTTAATGTTAAATTGATTTATTTGTCTTTGATCTAGTGTTTGGACTGCAGTTTCTTTTTCTTTGCAAATTATTTTCATTTACTATCTATGTTAATGGGGATTGAATTCCTGAGGAATTACAGGCCTGCAAAATTGTGGGTGGAGGTTTATTCCTAAGTTTGACTCAAGTCTTGCTTTTCGATGCAGGTGACAAAGGTTTGTTCCAAATGAATGGTTTGCATGGCCTGTCTAGTGGGACTCTTACAAACTTTTATTTACTTTCCATTCTCTTCATACTGTGCACTGGCTTGGCTGGTGGGACTCTTACAACTCATGGTTATTTTGATGCTAAATTTCTGGATATGGCATATGGCCCTATGATAATGCAATAAAGACATCTGAATTTTATTACAAGGTATCTCGAGGCTTAGTGTCAATATGATTGTTATTTGGGACTTACGTTTGCAAATTAGTGTAAATGCAAAAACATAAACAGGACATCTATTGTTGATGATCTAGCTTCTTTTCTCCTCAAGCAATTGAGCCAATTGGAATATCTTGCCTTAGGAAGCTAATATTTTTCTTCTAGTCAGATGAACTGGCTATGAACTAGTGAGGTTGTCTGGTTCCCATAAAGATATGAACTCATCCTTTCTGAAGTTGTCATTTTCAGTTCTGTTATAATTTTCTTATGCTCACTCTCTATGTTATATCTATAATCACATCCTAGTAGTTAAATATGGCAATGACTAGCATGAAAAGAGTTGGGCTGAGTATTGTATTCTGTAGTTGATCAGGATATTAGATGGTTGTCTGGGAGGCTCATTCTGATATTTGGGGGTTGAGACACACCTTGAATTCTTGGGTAGTTATGAGTAATGTATCTGAATTCTTGAGTTGGAGAGCCTGAGCTTGTTTACATAGTTGTACTACTGCAGCTGTGGAACCTATGCCTAATGCCCGGTTATCACGTACCCTTCATTATTATGTGAAGGATTTGCAGAGAAATTGTTGCTTCCTTAACAGCTCAAGCAGTATTGTAATCAATCAAAGGAACTGATGATATTCTTTGTAAATGAGTACAAGATCTAGCGAGCTTTAGGATCCAATTTGGTGATGAGATGCTTCAACCCCCTCCCCTTCTCTGCCTTAACTTAACACCTGATTTTCAATCGTAATTTTGTTGAGATGACAGGCCTGCCTAAACACATGTTAGTTGATTTGTTATCTACTTTGTTCTGGTCATGTAAAGTTCTCTTTACTTTGATTGTTTGTACTTAATTATATATATATATATATATTTTTTTCTGTATTGATTAGAGTTTTAACATAAACTCCTATTAACTTCAATCCACACCTGCAAGCATGAAATTCAATGCCTGTATTACTGCAATCAACATGGAGCATTGTATGTATATATTATTATAGCTGACTACAATTGACCTGGAATTTTTCCAAGTCACCCAGAAGCTATTTTCCATTATCTCAGTCTACGGGAATGATGATTGCTCTTGGGGATGCTAAAGGTCTTGCTTTCCTTCATAATATGCCACAAAGGTATGTTGTGTACCTCGACTTCAAGACATCGAGAGCTTGTTTATTTTAAGTCTCATTTATTTTTCCTCCAAAACTATATAAAGCAATTTTTTATTTGATATATTACATAAAAAGTTAAATTTTCAATCAAAACATTGTATCAAGCTTTTATTTTTATCATGTGACATGTCAAATAATATTTTAACTTAAATTTTTTTTATTATTTCCAAATTCAAATCAACCCCTGGGCCTCGAATAAACATACCCCAAATATTTTGCAAGATACTGTAAATTATGTTATTTAATTGTACATCTCTCTCTCACACACACACTGTAGACTACACTGCTGTGGAGTGCATCTATTGAGTGAATCGTGACCTATTTATTTGAACTTCTGTTTGAGAGTCATCATTAAGTATTTAATTGGATTATGAAGACTTCTCAGTATTGATTTATTGTTGTTGCTTAGATAGGAAACTCTTTGCATCTTATGGTTAGACCAATTCTCTCTGCAACAGGATTATATGGCCAACTCTCTGATTTTGAGCTTCACAAAGCAGGGCCACTAGGGATTAGCCCATGTACGAGCTAGAGTGATGGTAGTGTGTGTTATGTTGCCCCTGAGAGCACTGATCATACGACTTACCCGGTGTATATCCAATGCTTTAGATAGATCCTCCGGTACTGCAACATTGTGGATTGAGGATGTTGTGGAAATGCGTACTTGGCGTTTTATTTGTCTGGATACTAAATGCCAGGAGTCTCACTTTATTCACATTAAGGGCGGTGATAGGAGATTTCGTATGGTCTTTTTAGGAGTCTCAATTTATTGACATTAAGGGCAGTGATAGGGTATTTCATATGGCATTCTCTTCTTGTCTGCTCCACTATGCTGCAGACTCCTCGCAGATTTTAGGCCTATGAAGCCAGCATAGCTGAAGAAGCTTATAACACAAGTGAATGCTGATGCACACCTGCCTTTTTCCCTTGTTCTCTCATCTCTTTTGTTGTTGCATGATCTTTTTATTATGTTGAAGGGCAACCGGGAAATTGCCCATGATTATAGTTCTATTTGGTGATAAGTCATTCAAACTCCCATGTTGAAATAAATTGAGAGTCTTTTGTATCTTTTTTATCTCTTAGATTCAATCTCCAGGACATCTCTGATTCACTAAGATCTTTTTTAGACCCTACAATTCATTGGATTTTTGAACTTTCTATTTTTTACAATATTTATCTGTGCTCCTTTAGTTTGACTGCATTTTAGATGTTAGATATCTGCTTAATTTCTAAATATACGGCATTTATTATTCGTGTGGATTGTGGTGGCCTTATCCTTTATTGTTTTGGCTGGGGTGTTTTGCTGAAATCAAGCTTACATTTTTCATCCATTTGTATACATACTCTAATTTGATTGATGACTTCTCAATTTGTTTTATTCCTGTGTCTTATGATCAGTTGAATACTGATCGGATAGATAGATAATCGTGTGTTTGAATGCATTGTGCGTGGCTTGAACTAATAAACCAATCAATCAATCAATATTTTCTTAGATGGTCAGATGCATCTTCAAAGAATCCAGCATGCCCGTTCCTATACATATTTTCGATTTGCTCACTCAAGCTAGGCAATATACATGCACGAGCAAATAAAATAAGCGAAAAAAAATCAATCAAAATCAAAAGGCGTGATGCATGACCAGCTGAGAAGATGTAGATGATGCAATGGAGGAGGAGGAGAAAGTCACCGGCAGCGAGTTATGGCATGCACATTTGGGATTACGTATGGCTCTCTTTATTTGAGTGTCCACTTTTGTGCAAAACACACAATACCTTTCGATGTACAATTCCGCATACCGACCTTCTATCTTGCTGCCGCCGCAGCCGCCATCATATCTGACGTACCTGAATCCATATCTGGGAATGATGAGCTTCAGAAATCGATCCAGGTGCTCATTGCATTGCTCCCTCCACTGCTTGCAGAATGCAAGAGGGGCAATGGCCAATGCTGCTCCCACCCCGTACCCCAGGCCGATGAAAATGAACTTCCAATCAATATCTTGATCCATCATCATCACCGAGTGTGGTGCTGAAGAGTTACAAACAGTGCTCAAGGGGAATCCGCACAGCCCGCTGTTTTCGGAAAAGCTTGATGGAGAGAATGTCTGAAGTTGGGATCCCCTTGGAATCATTCCTACCAGCTTATTATAGGAGAGATTCAAGAATGAAAGGAATGCCAGATTTTTTATCTCCTTTGGTATCTCCCCTGTTAATTGGTTATGCGACAGGTCCAGAGACTCAAGCTCCGTCAAGTTCCCTATCGACTTTGGAATCTGACCGTTCAGGTGGTTGTTTGACAGGTTTAGGACATAAAGAGCACTGAGATGTCCGATGGTGTCGGGTATTTCGCCCTGAAAGTAGTTGCAAGAAAAATCAATGGATGTAAAGACTCTCAAGATCTTGACAAGCTCCACCTCTAGCCCTTTGGCGGTCACACCCACTCTGTCCTGATAGTAGAAATTATTCATATCGAGGAAGCTAAACCGAAGATGGTTTAAACTTCTCTCTGCATCGGTGTCTACAGCCATTCCCTTCCAACTTGTGATGCCACTTTCAGACAGCTTTCCGTTGAAGAAATTGGAAGCTACGTCGATGATCTGGAGATTAGTCCAGCTCTCATTTTGATAAGCCCCAGAACATCCGAGGTCCCCGTGAAATCTGTTTTTCCGCAAAACAAGAACGCGCAAGGTGGATGAAGCCCTCAGCATGCAAGGGAATCCTCCCTGGATTTCATTGTTCCCAACATTCATAACTTCTAAAGATCTGCAGTTGGCCAGGGATGTAGGAATCTGCCCGCCCAAGCGATTTCTGCTTAGGTCCAGCGTTTTCAGACTACAGTTGACATGGAATGTGTCGGGAATGTCACCATTGATGCTGTTTCTCCCAAGATTCAATACCCCAAGCCTTGTGATACTCTCCACCAGGCAAGGGGGCAGACTGCCACGGAGTCTGTTGCCAGATAGATCAAGAACTTGAAGATAAGTAGCATTGCAGAGAGACAGAGGGATTGTCCCGTTAAGCTGGTTGCTTGCAGCAGAAAAGAACATAGCAAAGGTAATGTTGTTACCAATGTCGGATGGAATGGGGTTCTGAAAGCTGTTATTAGAGTAGTCCACGTAGATAACTGATGCTGGGGGAATTGGAAACTCGCCGCGAAGTCTGTTTGAGTGCAGGTCCAGTACAGATAAAGAAGGCATACTGAAAGGCCTTTCGAAATCCTCCAGGAGATTAAAAGAAAGATTTAAACGAGCCAGAGCTCCGTTTCCGATTCCCCAAATCCAACTAGGGACCTGTCCTGTGATTTGGTTATTGGAGAGGTCCAAATCCACCAGTTTGAACTGGTTTCTCAGCAAATGAGGATAACTGTTCAGGTTGCAGGAAGCCAGATTCAGCTTGCTTAGCTGGGGAAATTGAGACAGGCTTGAATTGCTGCTGCTACTTGCATCAACTGACAAGCGGTTATATCCAAGCTCCAGTCGTGAGAGGTTGCGAAGCTTCTGAATGCTTTCCAGGTGGACAGTGCCATTGAAGGAGTTGTGAAAAAGGGAGAGAACCTTCAGCTGTTCAAGGTTGAAGAAAGCCTCAGGAATAGAACCTCCCAGCGCGTTGCTACTCAAATCCAGGGTATCCAACACGTTGGAGGAGGGGTTCCAAGCAGAATAACCGACTTGGCCACTGAATTTGTTGTTAGAAAGATCAAGCACCTGCAGTGAAGGTAGGCCAAAAAGAGACGCGGGAATTGTTCCGTTCAGTGCATTGTGCCCTAAGTTAATGACTGACAGATTCCCGAGGCCTTCAAAATGTGAAGGGGAAAGGGATCCGGTGAGAGCATTGCGACCGATGTCTATGTAAGCAAGCTTCTTGGACATGGGGAAAGGAGGGACTGAGCCGGTGAAGGAGTTGAAGGAGAAGTCGAGGTGTCTCAATTCCGTCAGGTGGCCGATAGTGGACGGAATTGTGCCCGTGAAGCTGCAATGAGAGAGCTCTATCCTGGATAGCATGCTCAGATTGCCGATGGAGGCCGGTAAAGGACCAGAGAAGTTGGTGTAGCTAAGTGCGATGGACCTCAGCGATCCGTCACTAGGAAATCGGGAGATGGTGCCGGTGAGATTGACGTTATAGGTCAAATCCAGATGCTGCAGGGTGGGTGCCTGGAAGATGGCATCAGGAAAAGTCCCTTGCAGAGAGCAGAAGCTGAGAGTCAAGGTCGTGAGGTATGTGAAATCTGCGATGAAGTCTGGAACCACCGTCCTCAGATCGTTGTCGTCGAGTTGAAGCAGGGAGAGATAGCGGAGGCGGGATAAGGAAGGGTGCAGAGGGCCGGAGAGGCCGCAGCGGCGCAGACTTAAATTCCTGAGGCGTGGTAGAGACGAGGACAGAGATCGGGACCAGTCTGAGCCTGAGGACGAGGAGATATTGACACCGTCGAGGTGGAGCTCGGTGAGGCGGGTGAGGTTCCGGACAAGAGTCCCCAGATCAAGTTGGAGGGGGGGCGAGGAGGCATCCTGGAACTGGGTGGAGAGATCGAGGACCAGGAGGCTGGTGATTCGGGAGAGCTGGAGGGGGACCTGCCCGGTGAAGCCGGCATTCGACAGGTTGAGGTATTCGAGGCGGGTCAGATCGGCGAGCCCCCTCGGGATTGGGGCGTTGGAGAAGAGGTTGCGGGCCAAATTGAGGGACCGGAGGTGGCGGAGGGCGAAGAGGGCGGGAGCATCCCGGAGGTCGCCGGATATGGATCGGTTGTCGAGCTTCAGACGGATGACGCGACCCGACCCGGCGTCATCGCAGCCTACCCCATCCCAGCTGCAGCAATCGACATTGAGGTCCCAGCTCAGCTGGCGCAGGTCCAGGCTGTGGCTGAGCTGCAGCAGCAATGACCTCTGATCGTCGAGGCACCGGCCGCGAATGCTGGCGAAGAGGAAGGAGGAGGAAATCCAGAGAAGAAAGAGGATGCGGCGGCGGGCTGTCATCATACTAAATGGTAGTAGTAGTAGAAATAGTAATGGTAAGAAGGAACGCCTCTGCCCATTCCATGAGACAATTAGCAGCCTGTCTGGCTGTCTGTTTGTCTGGTTGTCGTCACGTCGTCAAGTAAGTGGAGGTTTGATTGAGATCATACATACATAAACAAGCACTGAGGTTGAGATTGGAGATTGGAGGTTTGATTGGGAAGAAAGAGGAAGAGGATCTCTTCTCTTCTCTTTGTCTACTATGTCTGATGCCTGGTTTCTCTGTCAATGTCAATGTCAATGCCTTGTCTTCGGGTTAGTTGGAAGAAAGACTAGAGCAGCTGCTGCTGCTGCTGCAACTGCGGGCGGGTGGGATTATTAAGAAATACCAATGCTAGTAGTATTAGTATGTGATGAATTCAACGCGTTTTGTTTGGGTGGTGTGGTGTGGTTTGAGAGCAATAATTAATTATTCTACTTTGCTTGCATACAGACATACACAAGATAATTGGACGGATGGGCTTTCGAGGTCAGCTAGCTACCAGGCACTAAACTCTTCTTCCTCTTTCGTCTTCATTGGTAGGCGGTGGGGTTGGCTTCCTTTCCTTCCTTTGTTTTCCTTCTCTTCCCTCCCCTTCTTTTCTCTCTTTTGTTTTTCTGACATGCACCCTCTCTCTAACGAGTGACAAACATAATTTTCTTTTGTTTTCTTCACTTCTCTTTCCTTCCTTTCTTTTTCTTTTTTCTTCTTTTTTTTTTTTTTTTTTTTTTTTTTTTTTTATGACGTGGTTATCTGCACGGTAAATTTTCGGTCGAATCTAATACCTTGCAAACTAGACACACTAGATGAACTATATGTAGCAAGTGATATAAAACATTAGAGGTTTGAACCCATAAATTCACAGTCACACGCCCAATCTCTACACCGCCGTGTCATCCTTACGGGACCTCCAATATATGACATGCACCCTCTTTCTAACTAGTGACAAACATAATTTCCTTTTGTTGGGATATCCTAAAGTCTAGGGACATTATATCATACGTTTCAAAGATATGACTTAGATATATATATATATACATACACACGAATGAAACCCATGATTCTGAAGCTACGAGAAATATAAAAAGAGCATTGAAATGAAGAGGAAGACAACAACAAAGAAGTCGAATGGATGAGGCGTGTTAGCATTGGATTTCGTCTGAGTAATCAGTGAGGATCGCATGACAAAGAAGAAGAGCGTGGGAGAATAGGGGATCAAATTATATCCAACCAATTAGACAGAGCAATATTTTGAACCAACAGCTCATTTCATAATCATTTGTTTTACTTGTAATAGAATCAGAAATTTATTTTTTTCAAATGCAAAAAAATAAAATCATATTAGATGTTGTACACATATCATATTGGTGCACATAACGTGGATGCCTACGTCAACATTATGTGTTTCATTTTACAACCATAAATGTATACGTGTGATTGCCTATATATATAAGTGAATGAGAATATTTGAAATTCACCCCATCAATCACATCTCTTTCTCTCTCTGTTGCATTTCATACATACATATTTATATACAAAATATTATATTATATACAATATACTATATAATACTGATTAGCGGTATAAATAATTAATATTTTTATTGGCTAATCCTATCATAATATCATAACACGTTATCAGCACGAAGGCTCTCGCCTATTTTATTTTTGATAAGTTTTATTTTCATACTATCTATATTATCTATTTTTTAAACTATGAAAAATCTTGCAAAATTTTCTTTTAAACCTCTATCTCTCACCGACAATAATTTTCTGACTTGGTCCCTGGATGTAGAAATGCATCTGGTTTCTATGTGCCTTGTTCATACAATTTCCAGTGAAAATACGGCTACAAGCCAAGATGGGCTAAGGCTATTATTTTCATTCATCATCATTTGGACATTCCTTTACAGTCTGAATATTTGACGGTGAAAGATCCACTAGATTTGTGGAATGAATTAAGGGAAAGATTTGAGCATTTGAAATATATCACTCTCCCGAAAGCTCAACATGATTGGCTTAACCTGCGATTGCAGGATTTTAAAACTGTTACAGAGTATAACTCTGCTATCCATCAAATTACATCTCAGTTGAAACTCTCCGGAGAAATTGTTACTGAGAATGATAAATTGGAGAAGACTCTCTCTACCTTTCATGCTTCTAATGTTGTACTGCAACAGCAGTATTGTGAGAAAAATTTTCAAAAATACTAACAGCTCATAGCATGTCTTTTATTAGCTATGCAAAATAATGAGTTACTGATGAAAAATCATCAGTCTCGGCCCACTGGTTCCAATCCGTTCCCTGAAGCGAACGTGACATTTTCTGAACGAGGCCGAGGACGTGGACATGGTCGCGGTCGTGAGAGTCAACGTTGGTCGATATACCCCTTACAATCACCGCGGTATTGACATTAATAGGAAGCAGAATAAACCCCAACATGGGGATATAGCCGAAAAGGCTAAACAGGGAAAGAGGCAAATCGGCATTTGTAATCGGTGTGGCATTGAAGGCCATTGGGCCAATACCTGCAGAACAGCCAAACACCTTCGATCTTTATCAAGCCTCACTATAGAAAAAGGGGAAGGAGGTCGAGACTAATCACGTTGATAATGATGACGACCCCGATGATGATGGTCGAGACTAATCACGTTGATAATGATGACGACCCCGATGATGATCTTCTGGATTACGATACAACGCATCTTGATATAGCGGATTTTGTCGTAGATCCAACAAACCCCTAGTTATAGACATATTATGTCATTTTATATTTTGTAATATTCAAATTATCGCATACTACTTTTTTGTAATACATTTTGTAATACTTATATCTGTCTTTATTAATACTGCGTTTATTTATATTTGAAGGTTAAATGGATGCCAAACAAAACGATACAAATATGTGTTTCATTGATAGTGCAACGACACATACTATATTGAAACACGAAAATATTTCTCCCATTTGAAAAGAGAAAGAATGAATGTCAATACAATAAGTGACAATGCAAAATTAATTAAAGACTCTGGAGAAGCCATTATATTTCTCCCCGCGGGGACGAAAATTGTGATACAGTATGCATTGATGGCCACTAAAGCTCGAAGAAATTTACTGAGCTTTCAAGACATTCGGAAAAATGGTTATCACATTGAAACTATGAGTGATACCGATGGTGAATTTTTATTGATCACCAATATCATTGATAAAAGGAAATCCATTATTGAGAGATTACCCTCACTCTCTATTGGTTTCTATTACGCCAGATTAGGTGTTGTTGAAACACACCTCACGGTAGATCAAAAGATTGCCGATTTTCAAATATGGCATGATCGCCTTGGGCATCCTGGCAGTATAATGATTAGGCGAATAATTGAAAATTCGCATGGCCATTCATTAAAAGGTCAAAAAGCGTTAAACTCAAATGAGTTAACCTGTGTTGCCTGCACTCAGGGAAAATTGATAACCAGGCCATCGCCAGCTAAAGTATGTATTGAATCACCTATATTTTTGGAAAGAATACACGGGGATATATGTGGACCAATAGACCCACCGTGTGGGCCATTTAAATATTTTATGGTGTTTATTGATGCATCTACGAGATGGTCCCATGTATGTTTATTATCTACTCGCAATGTGGCATTTGCGAGATTGCTTGCCCAAATTATTAAATTACGGGCACAATTCTCCGATAATCCAATTAAGACTATACGTCTGGATAATGCTGGTGAATATTCATCGAATGCATTTGATGATTATTGCATGTCGATTAGAATTACTATATAGCACCCAGTTGCTTGTGTTCATACACAAAATGGTTTGACAGAATCACTTATTAAAAGATTGCAATTGATTTCTAGACCATTACTGATGAGGTCTATGTTGCCCGTTTCAGCTTAGGGGCATGCAATCTTACATGCAGGAACACTTATAAGAATGAGGCCGACAAGCTATCATAGCTATTCCCCAATGCAGTCAGTATTTGGTCACGAACCAAATATATCTCATCTACGTATTTTTGGGTGTGCTGTTTATGTTCCTATTCCACCCCCCAAACGTACAAAAATGGGTCCTCAACGTAGATTGGACATTTACGGATATAAATCGCCGTCAACTATAAAATATCTTGAGCCTATGACGGGTGATTTATTCACTGCAAGATTTGCAGATTGTCATTTTGATAAATTATATATTCCGACATTAGGGGAGACAGAAATGAACCGGAAAGGGATATTAATTGGAAAATCCCATTGAATTTTTATGATCCTCGTACAAAGTAGTGTGAAATAGAAGTTCAACGCATTATACATTTGCAAAATATTGCAAATCAGTTACCGGATGCATTCAGTAACTCGAGCAAAGTCACTCGATCATATATATCCAAGCTGCTAATGCTCCGGCTAAATAAATTGTCCCTGATGGACAAATTACAAGTGCTAATGAATCAGCGACACGCTTAAAGCGTGGTAGACCACTCGGTTCCAAAGACAAACATCCTCGAAAGAAAAGAGTAATTAATGATGATAATCATGAAAATATCAGGAATGACATTGATAAACCTCAATCTAACGAGGAAGTCAACCATGAAATAATTGCTCCAGAAGAGCATGATTTTGAAGAACATGATAAGACTATTGAAAACTCAATTAACTATGTTACTTCAAGAAAATTTTGGAACCGCAAAGAGGCAATTATTGATAATGGCTTCGCATACAGTTTAGCATTTGATACAATGGAAGAAAACGAGGATCCAAAGCTAAAATCGGTTCATGAATGTCGGCAAAGAAATGACTGGCCAAAATGGGAATATACGATTCAATCAGAGCTTGATTCATTAAACAAAAGGGAGGTTTTCGGACCAATTGTTCAAACACCACATGGTATATTACCAGTTGGATACAAATGGGTGTTTGTACGAAAAAAAAATGAGCATAATGAAATTGTGAGATATAAAGCTCATCTTGTAGCTCAGGTATTCTCACAAAGGCCTCAAGTAGATTTTGATGAAATGTACTCTCCAATTGTTGATGAAATAACATTTAGATACCTTATGAACCTAGCAGTGTGAGAAAAGTTCGATATGCGTCTTTTAGATGTAGTTACTGCATATTTTTATGTCTCCTTGGATACTGATATCTATATGAAAGTTCATAAGGGATTCAATATGTCTGAAACATACAAATTAAACCTAAGGGAATCATATTCCATCAAATTGAAAAAATCATTATATGGACTTAAACAATCAGGGCAAATGTGGTATAACCGTCTGAGCGAATGTTTAATAAAAGAAGGTTATACTAATGATCCAATATGCCCATGTGTCTTTATAAAGAAAAATGGATCAAATTTTGTCATTATTGCAATATATGATGATCTCAATTTAATTGGAACTCCAAAAGAGATCCAAATTGCAGTTGAATATCTAAAGAAAGAATTTGAGATCAAAGACTTTGGAAAAACAAAATATTGTTTGGGATTACAAGTGGATCATATGAACAATGGAATATTTATCCATCAATCCACACATACCCAAAAGGTATTAAAACAATTTTACATGGATAAATCTCACTCTCTGAGTACACTAATGATGGTTAGATCCCTTGATCATAGTAAAGATCCATTTAGGCCAAGAGAAGAAAATGAAGAAATAATTGGCCCCGAGGTACCATATCTCAGCGCTATTGGCGCATTAGTGTACCTCGCAAATTGTACTAGGCCAGATATATCTTTTTCAATAAGTCTACTAACCATGTTTAGCGCATCCCCCACAAAGCGCCATTGGAATGGTATCAAGCACATTTTCCGTTATCTTCAGGGGACTCATGACCTCGGTCTATTTTATTCGAATGAATCTCGAAATTAATTAATTGGTTATTCTGATGCTGATTATCTGTCTGATCCACACAAAACAAAATCTCAAACTGGTTATTTATTTACTTGTGGTGGAACCGCGATCTCTTGGAGATCTGCTAAACAGACGATAACAACTACTTCTTCAAACCATGATGAGGTTTTACCAATTCACGAAGCCAGTCGTGAATGCGTTTGGTTGAGGTCCATGACGCACTATATTCAAAAAAATTGTGGCTTGATTACCGATGATATATTACCTCCTACAATATTATTTGAAGATAATGTAGCTTGTATAACTCAATTAAAAAGAAGGTATATTAAAGGCGATCGGACAAAGTACATATCTCCGAAATTGTTTTTCACTAACGATCTCCGGAAAAGTGGTGAAATTAATGTGCAACAAATTCGATCGTTTGAAAATTTTGCAGATATATTTACGAAAGTGCTATCGACTGCAACATTCAACAAACTGGTACAAGAAATTGGAATGCGTTGGGTAAAAGACATCAAATAAGGTCCAAAATAGGGGGAGCTTATTAATATAGGAATATTGTACTTTTTTTCCTTCACTAGAATTTTTTCCCATTGGATTTTTTCATAGTAAGGTTTTAACGAAGCACATTTCCTATATAAAAATATCTAAGAGAGAGTGTTGTACACATGTCATATTGGTGTACACAACGTGGATGCCTACGTCGACATTATGTGTTTCATTTTACAACCATAAATATATATTTATGATTGCCTATATATATATAAAAGTGAATGAGAATGTTTGAAATTTACCCCATCAATCACATCTATCTCAGTTGCATTTCGTACACTCCAACTTAATATATATAATTATACATAAATATACATATCATATACACATATATAAATATTACACACATATATAAATATTACACATAGATCTTGTCCCATATATATATATACAGAATATTATATTATATTAACGGTAAAAACAATTAATATTTTTATTGGTTAATCCTACCGTAATACGATAACATTAGACGAATTGTGTGATAAAAAAGTTCGAAAACATCTAAATTTTAAACCCGTGTCTTCGTACTCATAGGTTAACACCAACCATCCCTTTTTCTTGTTCTTTGATAGGAAAGAAGAAATGAAATTGGATCGGATGGATGACCGCAGGAGGCCAGAATATGTATGATGAGATTTACGAGGAAGCCCATTTCATCCATCCCATGACTGACTACTGACGACCATCCTCTTCACTTGTGAGTCCTGAGGCACTCACTCCTCCATCTCCGGCTGCGCCGTCTGTTTCCGCGGGGACTGTCTTCACACCCACCCACCCACCCATCCTCACTCTTCCTCCAAACCCTAAACTCCTCTTTTGATTTTCCTTTTCTCTCCAACACCATCCCCACCTCTATCTTCCATTGTTGGCATACTCGTTTTAATCGTTTTCTCTGTCCTTGCGGGCATCTCTTTCTTTTTCTATTTGATTACGGAAATGGCGCTCTCTGTCTCAGACTTGCCCACTGTCTACACCTTGCTCACCAGTTCCCTGAGTGGCGATCTGAATGTGCGAAAGCCTGCCGAGGATGCCCTTGCTCAATTGGAATCCAGACCTGGTTTTTGTTCTTGCCTTATGGTAACACTCTTGTTCGTGTCGTCACCCATCCGTGTTTCTGATTATGATTACTTGCAGAAAATCGATTTGTTTGACCATATGCTGCAGGAAGTCATAACAACCAACGATTTAGTGTCGCAGACTGATGTCAGATTAATGGCCTCCGTATATTTTAAGAACTGCATCAATCGTTACTGGAGGAACAGGCGCGATTCTACGTTAGTGATTTTTTCCCCTTCTTCTTTGCGTGTATCATCATCTTCTTCTTCTTCCATTTGCTGGAGCCTTCCCTTCACACCATCTTACAGTAACTATCTTGTTTACTTATCAGAGAACCTTTGAAGTCTAATTTATGGTTTCAGTGACTTATGTTCTTTTCCAATGTGAAGCAATGAATGACGTTTTTGTAATATAATCCCTGGGGCAATGACTGATACATATTTTGATCCTAGATCTGACTGTTTGCTTTGCAGGGGAATAAACCTTCAAGAAAAACAGCATTTAAGACAAAAATTGTTGTCACACCTACGGGAAGAAAATTATCAGGTAATGCCTGAATTTTCCTCACCGGAATACACTTAAATGTACTGTCACCTATGTTTTACTGGAGTACTGATGCTTGTTTTATTGTTTTTAGTTTTTTTTTGATCGCATGCTTAGAGTATTCTAACCTTTTCGTTTCTAACCATAACCATCTAGTGCTCCCCTCCTTACGTTTTACAGATGTAATGTTGTTACAGATTGCTCTTACATTGGCTGTTCTGATCTCAAAAATTGCTCGCATCGATTACCCAAGGGAATGGTACTATTCTTACCTTATTTAATGGCCTCATTTTGAGGGAACTTTGTCAGATAACATTTATCTTTCTGGTATATTAAAAATGTTTGGAGCAATAGAGCACACAATGGAAGTGTCATGTTATGTGATTTTTGTTGAAATGGTTAGTTTGTCTTTTGGGCCTGGCAAGGATTGATTTGTCCAGTAGTTTAATAAACCTGTAATGGAGCCATCTTCCATCATTGTATTCAAATATGGGTTATGTTTGCGTTTTCTTGATGTGGCACATTTGGATTTTAGAAAAAACTTTTTACTGGTTTAGAGGTTCAAGCACATTTATGCGCAGTAGTTTTGGGACCTTGTTTGGAATTTGAACAATAGCAACATACCAACATCAAAGAAAATTTCATTTGTATTTCTTGCATTCCATGGTAAATTCAAAAAAATAAATAAATAAAAATAAAATTAATAATAATAAATAATAATATTAGTGAAATTGGCACCAGATTAGAAAAGGCTTTTTCCCATGGAGATGTGTACTTTGTCATTTTTGCCCTGGACTGTTCCACTTTCTGTTTTTCTAGACGCTAGATGTGGTTGCAAGTTGGTTCCGTAACAGTGAAAATGACACCTTATGCATGATTTTATTTAGCATGGAAATCAATATTATTATATAGTCGCCATGTGTTTGACTTTGTGACTTGGTATACAGGCCAGACTTGTTTTCTGTATTAGCACAGCAACTTCAGTCAGCCGATACGTTATCTTCACAGAGAATATGCATGATTCTTTTTCGCACTTTGAAGGAACTATCAACTAAAAGACTTACTTCTGATCAACGGACATTTGCCGAGGTGAATATGTATTTCTTATTGATACTTGTATATGAAGCCATTAGTTGACTATATGATAAGCTGATGTCTGACATAATAGATACATGAACTTCTTGATTGGGTATGTTTGTGTTCACTTGGCAGATTGCATCTCAATTCTTTGAATACTGCTGGCACCTCTGGCAGAATGACATTCAGAATATATTACATGGTTTTGCAATCCTTGCTCAAGATGCTTCTGACTTGAATCATGATGATATCTACTTAACCTGTGAAAGATGTTTTCTGTGCTCGAAGATCATACGTCAACTAATAGTTTCTGGTTTCCCAAGTGATGCAATTTCTATACAGGTAAACGTCTGTTTTCAAACAGGCCTAAATTAAATTCGTTACCATCCTCCTTTTGGAAAATTATGCTGTGTTTATTTATGATTAAAATGACTTGGTAGCATTGATGAAGTTACGTTGATATTTAGGAAGTGCAACCTATCAAGAAGGTTGGTCCTGCCATGTTGGATGCCATCCAATCTTTTCTTCCATATTGTAAGATACTTATTCAGTTTTCAGTTTTACAACTTCGGCATGTGGTTGTTTCTTTCATGCCAGATCTGAAAGATCTGTTTATTATAAACTGCCTTTCATGAATCCATATTAATTGTTTACATCACACATTGTAACTTGCACTGTCATGTTTGATGTGCTCAAACATTGATCAGTTATAATTTGATACCAGTGGGTCTTGGCTTGTTGGGAAATCATTAAGATCTTAGTTCAAGTTTGATTTGAAAGAGATATGTTTTGTTGTTGTGAATTTCTTGTGTGTATTTATAGTGGATAGGTAATTCTAACCTACAATCTACATGCAGTTTTTTCTTTTCAAGAGAAACAGCCGAAATTTTGGTCTTTCCTGAAGAAAGCATGTACCAAATTTATGAAGATTTTAATTGCAATTCAGCGTAGGCATCCTTACTCATTTGGTGACAAAAGTGTTCTTTGTCCCATTGTTGATTTCTGCTTAAATAAGATCACAAATCCTGAGGCAGATATGTCTTCATATGAGGCATTTTTGATTCAATGTATGTCAATGGTGAAATCTGTTCTGGAATGTAAAGAATACAAACCAATCATGACTGGTCGTGTTATGGATGATAACCGCATTACCATTCAAGAGATGAAGAAGAGTGTATCTAGCGCTGTTGCTGGTGTGTTGGCTTCCTTGCTTCCTAATGAGCGTGTGGTGCTTCTGTGTAATGTACTGATTAGGAGGTGAGAACAAAGCTATGTAGCTTCAGATCTTCTTACTTATCTAATCCAGTTAATCATAATGCTATCTGGTGCTAATCATTACACTTTATTCCTCTGTTTTAGTCCCTTGTTTTCTACCCTCGGTATTTTCCTGCCATCGTACCTTTACCATTTACTTGTAACAGGATTACTGTCTCCAGAAACTTAATTTAAGTTTTGATGGTATTATTGTCATTGATAGTATCTAGCATCCAATCTTTGAATCTGGTGAAGGGAATTGATTGTGTCATCTTGTTTTCCCATGTGATGGGTAGATGTATTGACACTGTTAATACATTCTTGAGTCTTGTACTATGTGTATAATGGCATATAGTATAATTTAAAGTGGTAGCCTGAAAATGTTTCTAAGGAGCTTGTTTTGTATCTGAAATTTTATAATTTTTATCCCTTCTGAGTGGATTGATGGAAATCTATGACCTGATCTCAGTTGGCATTTTTTGTACAGGAAATTGAATAATCTGCATCCATGGGATGCCTAATTATGCTACTAATTTTGAATTTGACGGGATAATATTTCCTTCTTTTGCCCAGCTTTGATTTTTTGGGATTTCTGTAAATGCTGTTGTTACTCCTTATGTAGGTACTTTGTTTTAACGGCTAGTGATATAGAAGAATGGTACCAGCATCCTGAGTCTTTTCATCATGAGCAGGATTCAGTTTTGTGGTCAGAGAGATTAAGGCCTTGTGCTGAAGCTCTATACATTGTTCTATTTGAGAATCAAAGCCAAGTAGGCGACTTTACAGCATTATGAATCTTGCATTGTCTTTAATTGAATATTTCTACATTTGGAAATGGCTGTATGTTGCTCATGGTTATCTTGCAATTTTCAGCTGCTAGGACCTGTTGTGGTTTCCATTCTTCAAGAAGCAATGAATGGTTGCCCTCCTTCTGTTAGTGAAATAAGTCCTTCCTTCCTTCTAAAGGAGGCTGCTTATGGTGCTGCTGCCTATGTTTACTATGAACTTTCAAATTATTTGAGCTTTGGAGACTGGTGAGCTTATTCTTACGTTTCAATATAATAACAGTTGGATCAAGATGCATTTCAATGTTGCCACAATTGAAACGCATCTATTTTTCATTCTGTACATTGTTAGTGCTTGTGCTCATGGTTATCTTGATGTATCTATTTTGTTTAGTGCTTGTGTAATGTTTCTACTTTAGTCTGTAGCTCTGTTTGTGCTCTATTTTTCATTCCATACATTTTTTTCTCTTATGTAGGTTCAATGGTGCATTATCTGTTGAACTCACAAATGATCATCCAAACACACAGATCATACATAGGAAAGTTGCATTGATTTTGGGGCAGTGGGTTTCAGAGGTACAATGAACTCTGCCCCTTTTTTTTTGCATATAGCCTAGAAAAGTTAACATTTCATAAACTTTTATATTTTCATATTCTTCAAATTCTCCACTTATGCACTTCATTTTGAAATTTCCCCCTCCTAAATAGAGCAAATATCAGAAGCTAAATTCTTGTATGAGTATATAAAAGAGATGTTTGACCAGGATCAAAGTTATACATGGTTGTTTTAACCATGGAGACCTGAAGAAATTTTTGTTTCTAATGCATTTTGTACTAATAAATAAATGAACACTTTATACCATGCATGAATTATGCATGGGGATAGTATGCCGTTCATCTATTTTTTTCAGAGGTGATTGGATTGCATTGCTGGCAATAAAATCACAAGTGGTCCAATCACACCAGATCGATGTAACATTGGCTGTATATATCAAGTAGATACATGTAACAAGAGTTTTGACTCACTAGTACTAGTAGCATGTTGGGCATATAGTTTCTGTTCAGTCCAGCTGAAATTTATGTTCACATGCTATTAGCTCTAGGCTCAATCAAATATATTTATAATTTCAAAGATTTTAACTGTGTTTGTTTTGGGGGATTTTGGAGATTTTCTGCTATTCAAAATTCTCTAATAACTATTCAAATTCAAAATTTATTATTCAAAACCCAAACCCTCAAACAAACACACATAAATAGCATGCCAAAGATTTACATCAAATTTATGGTTAAAAGAAATTAATAACACGTCAAATATTTTAAATCAAGTTTATGGTGCGGACAAATTATAAATGATTGTAATACCTTCCACACTAAAGATTATCAGCTACACTGTTTTTGTACCTGAAACATGAGGTGGGGCTATGGGATTAGTAGATTTATGGCTCAGAATATGATTCCTGATTTTTTTTAATTTTTTTTTGACTTGTTTCGCAGATTAAAGATGACATGAGACAACCTGTATATTGTGCTCTGATGAAATTGCTTCAGGAGAAAGACCTTTGTGTTAGGGTATGATGTGTTCTGTTAGAATTTGTTTAAGCATACCTGGTCGTGTTGCTGTTGAGGATATTTCTTTGTTTCAGCTTGCAGCATCACGATCTCTTTATTTCCATATTGAAGATGCAAATTTCTCAGAGCAGGAATTTGCGGATCTTCTTCCAATATGTTGGGATTCATGTTTCAAACTCTTAGAAGAAGTCCAGGAATTTGATTCAAAGGTAATTTACAGTACCTTTGTGCCTCTTACGAATCCCATTTTTCAGATTGTAGATGGTAGTTATTGATGGGCTTATCTATTTTATTTCTTAGTAGCCGTCCACAACCATTGAATACCATTCAAAAGTTAAAATAAATTAATTAATAATTGTTTAATGTTTTCTTTCTATATGAATAATTTAGCTCCTGCTCCAATAGAATTTTAATTTGGTAAATAGTTTTTCTTTGACATCATTGTTGATTTTGACTTTCTTTAGTGATGTAAAAATTTTGATAGTGGTATAAATATAATTAAGTTGTGTCAATGAAACTGCATAGTATTTGCTACTATCATACCGATAAAAGTGATGAATACCAACCACTTATTATACTGTAACGACGTGTTTTACTATCTATCTGTCTGGGAGTGGAACTAATATATAGCTGGAGTGTTATAAAATTATTGTGTTTTGACTCATGGTATCAAACATATTGGATGCATATTTTGTTTAGTGTACTCTAGAGTTAATCATTGTCCTTTTTGTTGTTGTTGTAGTTGTTGTATGCCTTAATGTGACATTATGTAAATGTATGTTTAGTTTTAACTCCAAAATACTGAGCTATTCCTCTTTCCTGACGGATTATTTCAAGATGACATGTTATCCATTCTGTCATCTTGACTTTAGTTATTTTACATATACTGTGGTTAAGGGCTCATTAAGCACAAGCCTAACACTATTTTACCATAATCAACCTTAATGTGACATGATCTCTCAGGTTAGTTTACCTCCAAAGTACAGCACTATTCCCCTTTCCAGAAGGGCTGTTTATAGATCAGATTTTGCCCTTTCTGTTGTCTTGCCTTTAGTTTTTTTTTTTATTATTGGAAAGATGAAAGTGTATATATACCAGAAAGAATATATTTACATTTACGCCGCGCATACCCGGGAAAAATAAACGAAGTCAAAATCGGTGACAAGCCCACTGTAGCTCAGATGCATAACCAAACTAATTTAGCAAGACAAGCAGTAGCATGCACGAGCTGAAATGTAAAAGAGTGATTCTCCATAACAGAAGCCTGCCTGTAATACCCCGTAAAATAATCGCCGGAAGTTTGCCGGAGTCGGAAAAATTTTATTTTGGGCATAATTTATTTTGGTCTTTTAGTGTAATAAATTAAAGAGTTGGGTTTAAATTAGAAGTAAAAATTGAGTTTGGGCTAAAGTAGAATAAAATAATTAATAAAGGGCTAAGTATTTTATGTTAAATAAAAGAATAAAATAAAATATAAAAAAAAAGAAAAGGAGCAGCAGCAGCCATCACGCCGCCGCCGCCAACCCTCGTTCTTCCTTGGGGATTCTTCTTCTCCAAAATTCTTCCTTTTGGTCCTTTTTCTTGAAGTAAGTGGGATTAATCTTAGATAGATTGATATGTTCTAATCCCTAGACCCCTTGTATTGATATTTTTCAAAATTATTGTCAAATGGGTTTGTCCTAAAAATGTTAGGTTTTGCCAATTTTTTCTAGAAAGTTGATTATAATGCCATCTAAGGCTTACGTGAAGGTTATTATTGAATTTTAAATTGAAAATCGTAGAATTTATGGGAAGGGTTTAAAACTCTAGTTTTGCCCTAACCTAGTTATGGTTTTTGGAAAAAGATTGACGATTATATTTAAATATTATCATTTTTTGAATTAGACCATGCCTATTGTGATTGAAATATTTTTCGAATATTTATTTGGCGAAATAAAGTGAGATCATAACGAACTTGTTGGGTCTAATATCCTACTTTGCATGGTTAAATGTTGACAATTGGAATATTTTGAGTTTAAAACACTCTTTTTGAAATTTGCCTAAGAGCATGTTGAGTATTTGGTCAAATTAGTAATTGAAACTACCCGTCGAGTCCACTCAACTCGTCGATTGTTTGGATGATAAGGCATAGCCTTCCACCTCTGTGCCTTGCAAACACGTGAGGGTATACCGGTATTTTAGGATAACTAGCTAACCTTGAACTAAATCCCGAATGGGCTAGGTCGAGGGATCGAGATGGCGGGTTCCCTATTAGGGTGATTCCGAGGTGCCCGTCATTCACGATGGAAAGGTCTTTAGACCGTCATCCGTGATGGAGGGATGGATTGCGTACAATCCCCTCTTGGTATGTTATATTGGAGACTAGAGGGTTGTGGGCGGCATGACGCCCCTCGCAAACTAATAATAAATTGATTTACGTGTACTTTGGATTTCGAACTCTTATGTACACATTGTGGAGTTTCCTTTGAGGGTTGTGACCCTGTGTTTGTTATGTGAAATTATGTGACGTGTCATACGAAGTAATAAGGTTGGAAAACCGGGTCGAGCCGGCCCTGATTAAGGCCTAGTGGAGTTTTCTTCGTGATGTACTCATCGCTATTATTTGAGAATGAAAAGGAGGTATAAGGGAAACGCTAAAAGACTCGTGTGTGTGAGTTCCCCTTATGTGATACGTGTCATTTTATTCGACTATCTTCTTCAAATGATTTTGTGGCATTATACTGTATTAATTTATCTTCGATTAATTGCGCTTACTCAACCGTTGTGTTGACCCACTTCTTACGATTCTTTTTGTAGGTGATCATGCTTCTGTCATGCCTAAGTGATGCATTCACGTCATATGATCCATCCGGGGGAATTAGAACTACCTTACCTTCTAAAATGTTTTGAAATTCATTGATTGTGTTTAAAGACTAATGCCTTTTGAACTATTTCCAATTTATGTTTTTGATTCGAACTTTATTTATTTAAATGATAAACCGGTGCTCTTTAATTCCAAGTTCATATTAGTTGTTGGTATTTATTATTTAAGCCTTAGCGCCACAACGTAGGACTCGTTGGTTGATGAACGGGCCTTCCGGTGTGGCGTGGCAGTGACGCTCCGGTTTGAGCCGGCCGGGGTGTTACACTGCCTCTGGTCCCAACTTTACAAAATGAAATCTTTAGTTATTTCACATACTGTGGTTTAGGGCTTTTTGAGTGAGCCTAATACCAGTCCACCATAAGTTAGTACATTGTATAAGACGACACTATATATATGTATATATATATATATATGATAGATGTTTATATATATATATAAGGTGGCATTAGATATTTATTTTCCGGAAGTGGTTTAGGGTTTGGTACTGATTCTAAAACTAAACTGATTGATAGTCTAGTCTACTGTTTTCTCATTTTTCTTCTCTTTCCTTAATTCATTTCCTATTATGTTTGATGTTTCCTATGCATTGTGTGCCCTTAGTTACCATACCCATCCCCTGCAACCTACAAGGCCAAAATAATTGATTAACATACTTCTCAATTCATCTTCAGGTTCAGGTGTTGAATATTATTTCTTGTCTCATAGCTCGTCTCACTGAGGTTATTCCTTATGCAAACAAGTTGGAACAATTTTTGAGGAAGGTACTGCATTTTGTGCTTATTTATGAAAATGGTTTTCTTGTAGGAAACATGTGATTTATTGGCTTTTAACACAGTTATGCTATATATACTCAAGTTGCAGAACGTTAGAAGAAAAGATCTTTAGATTTTATTTTATTTTTTTTCCTTTTTATTTTTTCAAACACCTGTTTCAATTTCACAGTGGAATGATATGTCGCATTATAGTAATAAGGAGCATATCAAGTTCTAGAAGACATGTTTCTCTAATTGATTCTAGGCTGTAGAAGTCAAGAGATATAGAAGATACAATATATTTATTAGTATTTACCAGGATATTATAACAGGCGTGGGAAGAATGGTCTGGTGAGAGCCTTTTGCAGATTCAACTGCTTACAGCCCTGAAGAACTTTGTAGTTGCACTTGGTTATCAGTCGCCGATCTGTTACAACATGCTTCTGCCTATTTTACGAAGTGTGCTTAATATACATAGCCCTGACGAACTTTTGGAGGATAGCATGCAGGTCTGTAGGCACGAGTTGTTGGCATTATATATTGGATTGCGGAAACTCTTAACTGTCAAAAATGAATCTTCTCCTGTATCTTTCCAAGCAGTTATGGGAAGCTACTGTTTCCAATGCTACTTCAATGGTGCCTCAGCTGTTGGAATTTTTTCCATGTCTAGTGGAAATCCTGGATAGAAGTTTTGATCACCTAGATGTATGGAGAAAGTCTATTTGCAGTTGCATTTTCTTTTCTTTGTTCCTTTTCAAAAACATAGTTCATGGCAATTATTGTCCAACTTGATCCATAGGTAGCTGCAAGTATCATTGAAGGTTACATTCTTCTTGGTGGGTTAGAGTTTCTCAATATGCATGCATCAACTTTTGCAAGGGTTCTTGATTTGGTTGTTGGTAATGTCAATAACAGAGGGCTGCGATCAATTCTGCCAATCGTTGATGTTCTAGTTCAGGTATTTTACTTTGGACTCAGTGCTGCATAGCTAAAGCTATAATTCACTGAACAGCAGGATGTTAACCTTCAATTTCATATTTACGGTATTAAGGCCATTCTGTTTGCAGTTTATGTGCAGAGTGATGTTCCATGTGAATAATGATTTTTAGCTGCTGCAATACTCCCGGATATTGTTTCATAAGACTTGAACTTTACATGCAGGGCATCTATTCCCCATATTGGGCGATCAAATCCATTTCATTTTCTTTAAGATGAGTTGCATGGGATTCTTCTGTTAGTTTGTGTTGAGTAAAATAACATGTCTCTTTTTGTGATATTTCAGTGTTTTCCTGCAGAAGTGCCTCAATTAATCACCCCCACCATACAGGTCAATAGCCTTTCTGTTCTCTCAATGCCCAAGAAGATTTTTTAAGTGGCTGTAGAGGATTTTCTGATATACCGATTTTGAATTTTGAAATTCAACCTGTAATGTGTTGATAGAAATTAATTGGCATATGCTTGAGTGGAGGAGATGATCATGACCCTTCCAAGACAGCTGTCAAAACAACTTCAGCAGCCATACTTGCCAGGATTTTGGTCATGAATACTAATTATCTTGCACAAATGACATCGGAGCCATCACTATTAGTGCATCTCCAGAATAATGGCGTCCCAACTGATGAAAATATACTACTTTGCCTGGTTGATATATGGGTGGATAAGGTGAAGCATCTCCTAGTATTTTAGTATTGTTATGCATTATCTTTGTGATTGTTCTCCATCCACCGGATATAAATATGCTGATCTTCACAAGTCACTGGTATATGATTCCCTCTCCTTTCTTTGGAAATAGTCCTTTACAATCCTTATGATTTCATTGAGATGTCTATATTTCGGGCAAATGCTTGATCACCTAAGCTTGTCAAATGACATGCTACCGTCTTTTAGATAGTAATTTGTTTTCTTACACTCTCTAAGGCTTGTGAAGGTAATTTTTCATTGTTAAGTACTGATTTAAACCCTTTTTTAAAGATTATTTGGGTGCCTTGCTTACAATTGGGAAGTGGATAATTTGACTCAAGTCTGCTGTAACATTTTAACTAATAGCACTGACTGTGTACTGATCCTGACTCTCCAGACTATGTTAATATAGCAGGTTTACTCTTTGACATTTGTGTAGGTTGATTTTGTGATTTCGACGCAAAGGAAAATATTGGGCCTGGCTCTATCTATTATTTTGACTTTCAGGCTGCCTCAAGTGCTTGATAAGCTTGATCAGATCCTGAGGTACATCATCAACTTACATGAGTTATCCTTATTATATAACTGACTTTTACAATTTCATAATAATGGCATTTTTTGTTTTTGACAGTGCATGCACCAGCATAATTTTGGGTGGGAACGAAGAAACAGATGAAGAATCAAGGTTTACTCTGATAGCATTGTTGTTATGGCAGATAATTTTTTAGTTTCATATTTTCTAAATATCCATGCACAATGACCTCATATTTGCAATATCAATTTGTCGGTGACCAGTAGTGACAATATGCAGTCCAGCAGGCTTCAGGTACCCAGCAAAGAATACAGGAGAAGACAGGTGCCCTGCTTCTGAATTTTGTAAATCTGCACAAGAAGTTTTGGTCAATTATTAATTTTCTCTGTTTCAGATCAAATTATCTGATCCAATAAACCAGATTTCGCTAGAGAATTCAGTGAAGGACAATCTTCAGACATGTTCTGCTCTCCATGGTGAATTATTTAATTCTGCCATTTCTAGAATGCATCCTGCCGCATTGGCGCAATTGAAACAGGCACTGAATATGCCATGAAGATGAAGTGCCAGTGTCAACTGGCAACAGATAATTGTGTTGGTGGTGGTGTGAGGGGCTGCTGGGCATTCATGTGAGTCCTTTGTAATGAGAAAGAGGGTAAGCTGTTTTATTTTGTTTGCAACATAGTATTGGTTCTGCAGAAGGTGCCGTTGCCGGTTGCAAGAGGTTCCTTATGCACACACGCGAAACACATTCTGTTGACCATAAATTTTAGCAATTGTAGTACACCCATCCATATGTTTGTTGTTCCTGTTGTTGTGTGAAGTATGGATGCATATGTGAAAGTTGACTGTGTTATCAACCTTGTTTTACAGGTGAGATATTTAAGTTCCTTGAACTTGTTAATGATGATGAGATGTCCTGCTGCTGCTGCCACAGAGGTTGTTCTTTTGGTTTTGTTTGGTTTCTCTCCATAATTGTTTCTCCTGAGTTCGAGAAGTGGTATTGGTTCCTCTCGCTCCTCCACTCGAGCACAAGAAGAGCATTTTAGACGGTGTGATCCTTTCATGTCATATTTTTGAGGCATGAGGGGTGAGATTGTATTGCGAGGTTGATGTTGGGAGTGTTGCTTTCCTACTACTTGCTGCTACTTTCCTGGGGATTTTCCAGAATGAAACGTTTTGAGACCCAATCAATCAATCAAATGGTATTGTGAATCATGTGCCTGAAAACAGCAGGTGAATGGTGTTCTTGTTAATGTTCTTTGTATTCATGGAAGTGGGTAGGGTGGGTTCATGTCATTTCTCACTTGATTGTTGGCGGTAGAATGGTAGGGTAGAGGATTGAGTCAAGGGCCTATTGGTATTGGGTATCACTCCTTTTTCCGCCCATGCCCATGCCAATGCCACGTGCCATGCCGGATGGACTTACCTTTGATGCTCTTTCACGGCCGGCTGGCCGGCCTAACAACAAAAATAAGAAAAATTATGTGATGGGCCTGGGATGGGCCGGCTTGTTGTTCGTGCCAAGCTAAGGTGAGAGAGAGAGTAGAACAGGCTAGTAGTAGAGCGGATCGGATCCTCCTTCCCTCCCTCCTCACGTGATGCGATGATGTGTTAGTGATGTCATGCACAGCACAGCACAGATATTAGTAGTAGTAGTAGTAGTCGGTCGCGTCGTCGTGTCGTGGGCGTCTGAGTATGCACTTGCGTGTCGCTGTGAAGGTGCCTCTTTGGCCGCGTCAGCTACACGTGTCGTGCTGCATGCATGCCTCTCGCCTCTTCCTCGCATTCATTATAATAGTGTGCGCGTGTTTTTATTATTGTATTTATTCCATTCCATTCAATTCAATTTACTCCTCTACTCTTAGGTTGTCATATGATATGGTTATTGATCAAATAAATTCCGCACCCGGGCACAAATTTAAATTATATATCTTTACCTAATACATGCAACCCAAGTGCTTGGTTGCTTATTCCTCTCTGCGTCGTATCATCAACGATCACTCAAATTTTTACATTTAAGTTAGCTAGCTAGTCTTTGTTGCTAGATAGATCTGGGAGATAAGAGATTAAAAAAAAAAAGAAGCAAGCTTTAGTAGTAATTAGCAGGTTGGAGAGAGACTTCATTCATTAAACATCATCAATTAATGGCAACGGCACAGGAGCGCGCCGAGCTGGACGCCAGGGCGCGGCAGGGGGAGACAGTTATCCCCGGCGGCACGGGCGGCAAGAGCCTGGAGGCCCAGGAGCATCTGGCTCAAGGCAATATATATATATATATAATTATCATAAATTTACGTGCTATTATTATCATCATCATCTAATAATACTTAACACTACTGTTGTTGATGCTGCTGCTCTACTAATTAATAACTTAATGAATATAATTAATATAATATTCTTAGTGGGGGATGGGTGGGGCTACGCCGGCTCGGCTCGGTTCGGCCCTGGCTCGCTAGAAGATGCATGGAGTGCAGAAGTGGTGTGAGCTGTACTTATATAATGGTTTGAGTTTGAGTGATTGGTTAACGCAGGCAGGAGCCGAGGCGGGCAGACTCGGAAGCAGCAGCTGGGGACGGAAGGGTACCAGGAGATAGGTAGCCGGGGAGGGCAGACCCGCAAGGAGCAGATAGGGAGGGAGGGGTACCAGGAGATGGGCCGGAAGGGGGGCCTCAGCACCGCAGAGAAGTCCGGTGGGGAGCGAGCTGCCGAGGAGGGCATTCCCATCGACGAGTCCAAGTACAGGACCAAACCGGCCAGATCATCCGCTCTCAATTAATTCATATATATATATATATATATATACGAATATACTCGAATCATAAATAATGTCCGCCCACCCATCCATATCCGAACAAATTAACGAGTAGTGTATGCATATATATGTATGTTTGCTTCCGACCTGGACGTCGTCTGCTGCTGCCGTCTTTTGGCATATCGGGATGCGCATCCACTATCTGCTGCTTCGCTTGGTTGCTTGCATTGCGTGCTTGTATCCCCATATATATATATATATGTAGTATAATATATTTATCTTCATATAATTCTCGTTAGTTGTTCGCGTACTGTTGGGGGTGTTGGGTCTCTTGTGTTGGGTCTCTTCAGAAAAAGTGTGTAATTTTGCCTAGCCGGTCGATCGAGCTCCTGCTGCTGTCTGCCTAGCTTGCTGTAGTAGATTATTGATAAATTAATAATGGAAAATGGTAGCAGTAAATATGTCTCTTGCCTTTTGTTTGGTCATGTGTATGTATTGTACACTGATAGTGGAGAATATATATGCATGCATGTGGGGGCAAGGGAGTCTCCCACCCTACCCCTTTTAATTTTTATTTTATAATATATAATATAAAAAATAATAAATAAATTAAAAAATTGATAAGACTATTTATGTAATTTTTAAATTTAATTTAAATTTTGAATAATAAAAAAATTTATATCATAATACTATAAAAATACATATGAACAAAAAAGTAATAAAAAATAATTAAAAAAAGAATTTTCAAAAATTTTTTAACCAATATGTAAGAGACTATATTTTTAAAAGCTATTTTTTTTAATAAATATTTTTATTATTTATTAATTTTATATAATATAAAATTCATCTAGTAATATGCTGTCGCTTTGTAAAATTTTTAATTGATATTTTGTAAAATTTTTAAAATATAGTGATAAAATTATTGGATAAAGATAGTTTTGAAACTTAAAACTTAAAAAATTAGCACTTCTCTCATCCGGTCTTGATTCCGCATGTATGTATATGTGTGCGCCAGTAGTTGTATAGCGACCATGGAAGGAAGGGTCCGATTCGCATTCCGATCCGTAGTTCCTCTTGATCACTGGTGAGAGAGACATTTTACAGACACAAGACAGCTCAATGAATAAGTAGTTAATTAATAGTATTAGTTAAAGTGGTTGATTTGCAGGTACAGAAAGGGCTCGAAATAGGTATGGTTTCAAAATAGGCTCGAAATTTTTTCGGACTATTTCGGTTTTAATAAATAAATAATTTTGTAATATATTAACAGGACATAATTATTATTTAATTCTTGAGCTATTATCTTTTCTTTTCTTAATGTGACAAGAGTAGAGAATTGTTGACATATAAACACCATATTTTCAGTGTTTTTTTTTTTTTTTTTTTTTGTGTGTGTGTGTGGATATTTTTTTTCGTAGCCAAGTACTCAATAATCTATGGATATTTGTTTTTTTCGACTAAATTCATGATTTTACGGTCACACGTCCAACCTTCACACCATCAGATCATCCCTTACTAGGCATCATCGAAGATTTGAACCCATGACTTTACGGGTTAGACGTCCAAGCCCCGCACCACCAGGTCATGTCTTACGAGATTGATTGAATAGTCTTGATAATATTAGATTGATGATCCCATGGCATCTAGTTGGTGTTTGTGTTACCATTACCACCAGTCCACCACGCAACAACAGTCACCATACACACATACATACATCCAAACAAATGCAACAAATTAATAATACAAGTTGCCGATCTCATCATCATCATATAAGATTAGCACGTGAATGTGATGCGATGGCGATGATCCGATCCCGTTCGTGCGAACCCCTGCCTCGATTCCATTTTATTCTATTCCATTTTGTTCTCATCATCTTCATCTTCACTACACTACTATGACGACGACACTGCCACTGGCACCATAATAATAATAATAATAATAATAATAATAATAATAATAATAATAATAATGATTCCTTCCTTCTTTCAACTACACTTGCACAATTGCCTGCCTGGCTGGCTAGTGTGTGTTCTTCTGCACGCACAGTCAACATGGAAATGGAAAAATTAAGGAGATAAATGGACAGGGTTGTCAATGTCGTCAGCTTATTGCCTGCTCGCTCATAATCTATGCTGGATTTGGAAATTAGTTAATTATATACACATGCTGGATGGAATATGCATATATGCATTGCATTGCAGGGAGACTTGCTCTGCTGCCTGTTCTTTTATTATTATTATTATTATTATCATGGAAAAAATCACTTTTAGTTCCAATATAATAAAAATTAATCACTTTTGTCCCAATATAAAAAATTTATCAATTTCGGTTAGAATATAACTAATTTTAATTAATTTCAATTCCACCTCTAAAAAAATTAGCGGAAACGCTGACGCGGATGCCACGTAAGTTCCGTTATGTCCACGTTTTTCGCTAGTTTTTTTTAGAGGTTGACTGAAATTAATTAAAATTAGTTATATTGAGACCAAAATTAATAAATTTCTTATATTAAAATAAAAAATAATTAATTTTTATTATATTGGGACTCGAAGTAATTTGTTCTCTTATTAGTATTATTACAGCATCGAGGGGGAAGATGGAATATTGATTTATTTATTCTGTTAAGTAATAATTAATGGGAAACAACAGAGATCTAACTAGTTAATATAATTATACTTCATATAATTAATGTTCCCAGATACTATTTAAGATATATATATTTTTTTTTATCTTAAATTCACTGCAATATTTTAAAATTTGGTAATAATTAATTATATATATATAAATATACACTTAGCTTTATTTTATCGTATCATTCAAATAAAAAAAAATAAATATATATATTTCTCTCTCTATTAGTAACAGTTGTTTGGGACGAGGGAGGGAGTGCTAGCAACATCCAACGTCAACAAGCCAAATGATTTTTGTCTTTATGTTAAAGATGAAATCCGAAGTTTCAACTTAAAATCAATTGCTGGTAAGTAGAATAGTCTTTCACCCTTATAAGATAGGGGAATCCCAATATAAGAGAATCCTGAGATTATATCTAACGTGGGATATTCAATACTCCCATAATCTCAAAAATTTATATAGGATCAATACTCAATTAAGGCACGATCGTTGTGATATACGGAAATCCGAGATTCCAACTTAAAACTAATTAGTCGTAAATTGAGTACCCTTCAAGCCAAATGATTTCTGTCATTCTCTTTTTTGTTTTTTCCTATTTCTCCTTAATTTATTCCATTAGATCAAAATCTTATGATCCTATCCTGCCTGGATCATCCGGAGCCGTGCATTCGAGAACAAGAATAGATCATTAATGGATAATTAAGAAGATATTCTTCAACAACTCCTCCTGAATATGCTTCTCCTCCCAGCCCCAGCCAACAACTTCATCTACAACGAGGAGCACATTAATAGTATTCAATTATACATACATATATTTACATATAACTGGTTTTTGTTTAGATGAGAGTGTTTTAAAAAAATATAGTAACAAAATTTCAAGATTTGTTGAGTAAAAAAAACAGAAAAAGCCTATTTTCTACTCTCGACTTTACTAATTAGTAATCAGAAGAGTGAGTTTGTAAATCTATCTAATTAGCTCATTAAATGATTAATATGCTCATGATTCTCCTATTGTATTGTTGTTCTTATTCTTATTACTGGAATCATTCTTTATCCGCTATTATTTTATATTATTTTATCTTTCTTTATTCCATGGTGATGGCGTGCATAAACGTTAGGGTGTACAATCATATTATGTATGTATTTATTTATGGTAAAAATGGCCATGATCATGGTAATGATCCATCGAGGACGCCTGTGGGCTGTGGCCTGGCCGCCGCATGTTCTCTCACTCTCCTGCTGTGCTGTGCTGTGCTGTGTTGTCTATAAATACCGCCTCCCTTCGTCCCTTTCTTCCCTCCCTCCTTCCCTTCTCATTCACTCTCTTCTGCAAAAACGGATACACAATCAACCCTACTACATTCGTCTTCCTCCACCACCGCCGCCAGAAGTAATAATTGGATTTGGGTCGTCGCTGGGCTGCCCCGCTCACTGCTCCTTTCCTCGTGCTGGGCAGTAGGGATTTCCTCCCAATCCCCGGCCGCTCACCTCACAGTCACACACACACAGATATATTCCCCGACTGACCAAGACTAAGCATACACCACCGGCACGCTCCCCTCCCTATCATATATGGATGCTTATTCTTTGCAACTGGCCTTGGCCGCCCTCTTTGGGGCCTCCTTTGTCGCCGTCTCTGCTTACTTTATGCACAGGAAAACCCTAAACCAGCTCCTTGAATTCGCCAAGGCCATCGAGAGGGACCGCGATGATGCAGCCCCTGCCGAGGAATCCGCCGACGCGCTCGATCACCTTAAGCATTACCCTAATCGCAGGCGAACCCGGGGAAACAACGCCGCCTACTACCGTCGCGGTTCGGCATCTTTACCCGACGTCACCACTTTCTCCGCCGGCGGGGAGCTCGACGAAAGGAGTAACGGGTCTGTAAATCTCGATGCCATTCCGGCTGGTTTGCCTAGACTTCACACCCTCCTCGAAGGTATTCATACGCCGAGCCCAGTTTCTCTTTTCTTTCTTGCCTTTTTGATCAAGCAACTTTACTGTTTGTAAATTTACTTTATTTGTACTTGGAGAATGGAACGTAGATGATGGTTTGATTGATACGATGCTTTTAAAAAGAAATGCCAGATCAGTCTGGAAATTGAAAAAGGCTTATTTTTTGGCAACTGGTTCAACTTGTGATCCCCAGAAATGGTATTCATCACTTCCAACGGTTGCCTTTGTGTGGTACTATATGTTGACACATTGAGAAGTATACATTGTATAGGTGAATTTGCCTTCATTGGCATCGATTGAAGACTTGAAGTGCGGCCATGAATTATGTTATCAGTTCTATATCTGATTGTAGCCATAAAATCAGTTCGCTAAAGTCTTCATTCTTGTTCTACCATATACAATATAGCCCTCTGGCAGCTATAATTTGCCTGTAACTATATAATCTCGTACCTGCCTTTGTTGGGAATTGCACAAAGCTTTTGTATTACCAGAAAGCTAATGAGTTTAAAATTCCTTGATATTTTATGGGCAACACATACTCTTGGACCATGAAAAGTAAGGACTTTGTTTGTTTGTTTCTTCGTGTCATTGTCGGTATTCATAAATTACAGTGAATTGAGATCATAGTAGTTTCGTCATTACAACATTCTGGTATTAACACATTGGAAGTTGGAATAGTATGGGAAACTTATGACAATTGATAAAATATATTGTTAGATTACGTATTCCAACTGTTCGATGCAAATGTGTCGTATGCTTGTGATTCTTCCAGGAAGCAATGTGATTTTCCTCTAGTTGAAAGTTTCCAGATTTTGCTATTTACTAATTGCTTTTATAACATATTTCACCTAAAGGGAAAGCTTACGTAATAAAAAGGACTGATATTGGTCAGCTCTAATCCCACCGGTTGCTAAAGCTCTTGTGGGCAGTCAAAGTGATCTAAAGCGACTTGGACCTTCTACTTGAAGATTATGAAATGGTGTAGCTTCTAGCTATAATTGACATATATAAAATCATCTTTTTTAACTTACTAAATGATTCATTTATAGTTTGCACAAATACATCTGCTCCTTCTTTAGAAGCCTCTCGTTGCTGCAAGAAATAGCAAAATAAAATTTTTTATGGAGTTCCATTATAATATATATATTTTTATTGATAATTTAATTGTAACATTAAGCTACCTTATCCACCTACCTTTTCTTACCTGTCATAGCCATATTAGTATTAATTTTGTGTATAAATTATATATTAACTACTGCCACATAGTTTCTTTGGATATCTTTAAGGTATCTATTTGTCACTTTGGACATCAGAGCACCTAAAAAGCTAAATCAAGTTGTGGCATTAGGCAATATTTAATGATAAGCTTGATTTGTGGATTACAAAGCATTAGAGTTTTTATATCTTAATACTCAATTCAAGCATGTCCGTGGATAAATTTTCTGAATGGTTTTCCAGCGAAAGTTATAGAAGGTTGATTTATTCCGTTGACAAGATCCCACTGCCAATATCTTGTAATTGTTTTGTTTCAGGAAAATCGAGCAATTTGAGCTCATCAGTCAGATCAGGACATCTTATTCGGCCAACCTCGCCTAAATCGCCTGTTGCTAGTGCAAGTGCATTTGAAAGTGTAGAAGGTTCAGATGAGGAAGATAATATTACCGAAACCACCAAGCTGGACAATACTTATCTTTGCACAAATGGAGATGCAGTGAGTGAAAATGATGACTACTTAAAACAATCTACATCGAACTGCGCTAAATTTGGTGCATTTCTATACTAAATCTTATGTTGAAACAGTAAATCTGTTCCAGCCTAATATACTATTTTCTACACCAAATACTATATCCATTTTTTGCAAAAACCCAACCACAAACCACAAATTTTAAGAAAAAAAAAAAAATGTGAATCTTCCCATACACCAAAGTAATGCCTTACTGAAGCCCACATGTTTCATCAAGTAAATTGTTGATACTTTTTGCTGTTTGTTATTGGTGAGGTTTATGCTTCCTCAGATTGTTTGAATGTTTTCTATAGTTTGATTGGATTCCTACGGTAAATATATCATTCAGAATGGACCAGATCATGTCACTGCAACAGGAGAACCAATAGCCATGACTGCAACAAATATGATTCGCTCTCACAGTGTGTCTGGTGACCTGCATGGTGTTCAACCTGATCCTGTCGCTGCTGATATTTTGAGGAAAGAGCCTGAGCAAGAGACATTTGTACGACTGAATATTTCCCCCAGAGGTATTGTTTGCTGCCCTTCTCATACAAATTTCAGCTGTTGATTGTCTTGTTTAAGTTATTGCTGATATTGCTTGAAGGGGAATCTTTAGCTTCTGATAATACACTTATCTCTTCTTTTTGCTTATGGCATTGGTATCTGATATTATTGTATTCACTTTCTATTCTTAAAGTGTTGATTGGTCATGTTGTTATTTTGAGACTTTTTTTTTTCCATGCCTGGTGTTAGAAATACCGTCTCCAGATGAAGTGGAGGTATATCTCACACTACAAGGTTGCCTAGAAATGAGGAAACGTTACATTTTTCGCGAGGCTGTTACTCCTTGGGAGAAAGAAATCATATCTGATCCGAGCACTCCAAAGCCCATACAGAACCCATTTGATCATATTCCAGAGGGGAAGTCTAATGTATATATCATGAGTAACTAAGTTTATCATTTCAGTGTCCTTATGAAATGAATTGCTAATTGATCTTTTACTTGTAAATCCTGCAGCACTATTTTCGAATGGAAGATGGAGTTGTTCATGTTTATGAAAACAGAGATTGTAAGATGCTATTATTTTGATTTATTCTTACCTAAGAGGTTCATTTCCAACATGTATATTTCTCTTGCTAATGCGCTCCCTTTTCTTTTCCCCAGCAACAGAGAAACTTTTTCCTGTTGCTGATGCAACTGCCTTTTTCACCGATCTGCATCATATCCTTAAGGTTATAGCAGCTGGAAATATCCGAACTCTGTGCCATCACAGGCTTGTTCTTTTAGAACAGGTTGACACATCACTTTGTTCAAAAACAATGGATTTTGATTCATTCAGTTTGAAATAACAGAGTTATCTAATATCTCTTTAACCTTATTCCCCCAGAAATTCAACCTACATCTGATGCTTAATGCGGACAGGGAGTTCCTGGCACAGAAAAGTGCACCACATCGAGATTTTTATAACGTTAGAAAAGTTGACACCCATGTTCACCATTCTGCTTGCATGAACCAGAAACATCTATTAAGATTTATAAAATCAAAGTTGAGGAAGGAACCGGATGAGGTAACACATTTTTTTTTTTTTTTTCATTTTTTACTCATGTTTTCATGTGATCAACTTTACTACATAAGATTAGGGATTTTATTATAGGCTAGTGTTTTATAACTGATATTGGAGTGATTGTTGATTGTATGCTGAATTCTGATGAAATGAAGATTCATTTATTTGTTTTCAGGTTGTCATATTCCGAGATGGAACATATTTGACATTGAAAGAGGTGTTTGAAAGCTTGGATTTAACTGGGTAAAAATACAGCATTCTAGGCCATTAATTTTTTTGATATATTCATGAGCAGCTATGCAATATAATTTTGTGCTGAATAAAATTTATTTCTGTTTGGAAACAAATTGACAGGTATGATCTAAATGTGGACCTATTGGATGTTCATGCTGACAAAAGCACCTTCCATCGCTTTGACAAATTTAATTTAAAGTATAATCCCTGTGGTCAGAGTAGACTGAGAGAGATCTTTCTGAAGCAGGATAATCTCATACAGGGTACAGTTTTTTATGTTCTACAAAGCAGTATAGAAAATGGTTACAAGGAAAGATGCAATATGCAATTTGCCAGCCACTTAAATTTCCCACCATCACTAATATTTTTCCTATAAAGTTGTTGAACTGTTTCATCATGTTTCTTATTCCAGTTTACATATGATTGAATATTTTATTCTTATGTACTTTTGTTTAACTTCTTATTTTTATAGGTCGCTTCCTTGCTGAATTGACCAAGCAAGTTTTTTCGGATTTAGCTGCAAGTAAATATCAAGTATGGTTCTAGTAATCTGTTTTGTGTATTTATATGTTGTTAGATTCTTAAGCATGTGTATCCATGCATGTTACTTCTTTATAACTTAATTTTATGTGCAGATGGTGGCAGTCACTTAAAAGTTACTTGTGGTTTTGAGTTATGCTATTGCTATGTCCTGTTAATTACCAAGTTATCTTTTTCGTCATTTCATGTTATTTTTGTTTCAACTACTTTGTGTTTTGTACTTCATTGGTTTTGTATGTAACCTTTAGATGATTGTGATAACAATTGTATTTCAAAAATATAGCTCTTAATATTCCAGAAGTGAAATTTCAATATATATTATCAGAATGGCGATCTACGCTGTAATTAATTTGAAATATCAGAAGTTCTATTATGGCATATAGATAATTACATGCTGTAGGTAGAATCTTGTTGCAGTTTTGCTATAATTCTTGTGTTTAATGTTCCAAATTTAGCTTCTGAGACATCTCTCTCTCTCTCTCTCCCCCTCTCTCGTGCAGATGGCTGAATATCGAATATCAATATACGGCAGGAAAATGAGCGAATGGGACCAGCTGGCAAGTTGGATAGTAAACAATGACCTATATAGTGAGAATGTTGTCTGGCTGATCCAGGTAAAAGCAACCAACATAAATATTCCATTTACTATATCAACGAACGCTGACCTCTTAAAAACACTTGTTCATATGCCTCAAGGAATGTAGTGTGACCTGATGTTGCTATATATAATCAACAGAATGTTGCTTTCTTGGAATTATTATCATAAACAAACCTGATCAAGTTACCTGATCAACTTGATGTTAGCTATTGAACATATTGCTGGTTGAGAGTGGAGGTTTTATCAACTTAGATCAGATTCTCCAGTATCATGATTAATGACCTCTATATGTTTAACAACCAGATAGTCCATTCTTGGTGTGAGAGTTTATGATTATGAGATGTGAGAAGGAAATCTTGAAACATCACAAGTTTATCTGGTGACTGGTGTAAAGTTCCCTACAATTTGCAAATTTGATGGTCCAACTCATCAAGTTCCCATTGAAATAGGCTCCAGTGTGTTCCCTTAACCAAGCCACTGCCTATGAGTTGCTGGCTCATTCTTCAACAGGCACTATCTGCATCTTATCACTTTGAAGAACCAAAAAAAAAAGGTTGTTAGGTGTAATTTGATTTTGTGTCTGAGTGATTGTTTTAGTAAGAGTGGAACTCAATTTTCCTTTAGGCTTACATACATATCAGATTGATGAGTCTCTTGAGCCATAGAAATTGGAACGTTATTTTATTTTGTTTTATGAATAATTGATTCAGGAGTTTTGGGACTTGAAATGATTTATAGATAAAATGGATTATATGCAAACATGGTCTAACTTAACTAATTGTTGGAAAAACTATTTAGGTTTAGAAAATTGGAAGTTCTCTAGCATTCAAATAAGCATGATTGCGTCTAATTTGTTGACAGAATTCCTTCTCGAAACTCCATTCTTTTGCCTCTGTTTTACCATACACTATTTTTATGGATGAAAATGTGCATGCCAATATTCTCATTGTGGAAGTTCTATCTTCTAGCTTCCAAGACTTTACAATGTGTACAAGGAAATGGGAATTGTGACCTCGTTTCAGAACATCCTTGACAACATCTTTTTGCCACTGTTTGAGGTTACTGTTGATCCTGATTCACATCCACAGTTGCATGTGTTCCTAAAGCAGGTTTGTATACTTCCATCTTTATTTTAACATTTTCATGTGCAACAATCAGTTAGTTGTAAAGTCCTTGTGCAAAGTTTTGATTATCAGCAGTCCCCCCCCCCCCCCCCCCGACTGATTGAACCCTTCCATGGTACTTCCTCTTTGATCATTTAATTCGTTCTTTACCTTGGTTAGTATTTACTTTTTAGCCATTTTTTTTGGCCTTGAACCATGTTAATCAGTTATAATATATGTGCACAAAACTACTGAAATTAATCGATTATTTATTGTGTAGTTTTCAGATAAAACTTTTCTTCTAATGTTATCACCTTGAACTTATTTGAACATCTGTTGGTTCTTTGGCCTGAAGGTTGTTGGACTAGACCTTGTTGATGACGAGAGTAAGCCTGAAAGACGACCTACGAAACACATGCCTACACCTTCTCAGTGGACCAATATTTTCAATCCTGCATTTTCATACTATGCATACTATTGCTATGCCAACCTCTACACTCTTAATAAGGTATGCATCACATAAATTAGTCTGTAAATTTCAGCATTAGCGTAGGGATTCTTCTGGAAACAAAATAATACATTGTTTAAACCTTCAGTCATTCATTTTAGTATTTTTCCAAGGTGGTTGTTAATGGGTAACCCTTATTATCGTGATTTTGGGGTAGTAGAGAGAATATAATACCCACTTTGAGATGGTCAATTGTTCGTGCACAATATTCTAACATTATAGCATACTTCTCTCATGGCCCACCTATGATGTGGGGCAATTATTTATACTAGTTGTAGAGAGGAACTCTAGTGCCCTTGTGATAAAGGACTGCATAGTTGCATACTTGATTTATATTTCATCATCTAGTTTCTGGCTAGCTAAAATATAAATGTTAAACTGTGTTGTACATTTCAGCTCCGCGAGTCAAAGGGCATGACAACTATTAAGTTCCGGCCCCATTCAGGCGAGGTGCATAATGGAGTTTTGTTCTTCGATTTATTATTATTATTATTATTTATTTATTTATTTGGGCTTTCTTGTGTGGGCTGTATAAAATTTTAAATTTGTTACCTGTTTAGGCTGGTGACATAGACCATCTGGCGGCAACATTTCTCACATCTCATAACATTGCTCATGGAATCAATCTTAGAAAATCTCCTGTTCTTCAGTATCTATACTACCTAGCTCAGGCAAGCAGAAGAAGGTTCAGATAGCTATTTTTTGGTTAACCTGTGGTTCCTAATGTGTCTGAACTGACTGGTAAATTTAGATTGGTCTGGCCATGTCTCCCCTGAGCAACAACTCATTGTTCTTGGACTACCATCGCAATCCGTTTCCTATGTTTTTCCTTCGTGGTCTCAATGTTTCGCTTTCAACTGATGATCCGTTACAAATTCACTTGACCAAAGAGCCCCTTGTGGAGGAATACAGCATTGCTGCTTCAGTTAGTTTATCTCTAATCTTGGTATCTTTGCTTTGTATACTTGGATTACTGTAATATTTATGGATCATCTGCTCATTTTGTTAGGTGTGGAAGCTAAGTGCATGTGATCTATGCGAGATTGCTCGCAACTCAGTGTATCAGTCTGGTTTTTCTCATGCACTAAAGGTATGCATTATCTCTTAGGAGTTATCTTCATTTTGATATTGACACAAATCACCTTGCGTAAATTCATATTGAACAAGAAACATCTTGATTCTGAATTCGTATTCAGGTCAAACTTAGACAGATAGATGCCAAAAATTAAGTAGTCACCACCCTCCCCCCCCCCCCCCCCCTGTTTATTTTTTGTGGTCTAGCTGCTTTGTTCAGATGAACTTGAAATTAGGTGGTTGTGTATAATTGGTAAATGTTCATACATCGTAGGGTTTTTTTTGGTTGGCATTGATTATCATGTGGTCCTTCTACATTTGTTTTTGGTAATTGCCATTACTAACTTGGGTACTTAAAGCTATTATACCCTGTATGCAGCAGTATTTGCACCCAAACATGAGTGTATCTGTCCCATTGTTGGTTAAGCTGGTCATTTGATACAAATGCATCCTTGGTTAAGAAACTCTCTTGTTACTATTATTTTCCAAGTTTCCCTTTTGATTTGGTTGATGTGGCTACAATTGTCTGCAGTCTCACTGGATTGGTAAGGAATACTTCAGACATGGACCAGATGGAAATGACATTCACAAGACAAATGTGCCTCATATAAGGCTTGAATTTCGTGATATGGTGTGTGAGGAATATTATTCTCTCAATCAAGTCTAGCATTGCACCTTTGACAGATTATACTTGTGTTTATTGCTTCAGATATGGAAAGAGGAAATGCAGCAGGTGTACTTGGGAAAGGCAAACTTTCCAAAGTTCATTGACCCTTGATGACATGGCTGGCTGGCTGGCTGGCTAATATCCAGTCTGCGCACTGGCATGCCCTGAGAGGTAATCAATGCATTAGTGAATTAAGATTTGTTGAGCTGCTTTGCTTCTTTGAATATGATGTCTTCATTGTGGGATGGGGGATATAATTGCAGGAACTACTAATGCTACTTGGGAGGAGGGAGGAGGGGCCAATTTTGGGACTGGATATGGAGAGTGGTGAACGAGCTTGGCTTTGGTGATGTTTTGGTTGTTGTCGGGGAATTTTGAATCGAAGATAAGCAGGAACCAACACTTACCTGTGGTCAGTGTATACTAGGGCGGTGAAATGAAGACATACATATATATATATATATATTTATGTACAAGTGCATATAAATAAAACGGCCTTACTGTCATGGAATTAGCACAAATTTGTCTGTCATATGCATCGAAGAAGATATTATTTATTCCGTTAGCCCCAAATTTGCTTAAAACAAAACAACAAACAACAAACAAACAACATTAATGATCAGACAACACAAATATAGATGCAAGTAGATTTATCCACCGTTAATGAGACAATCAAATAGTATGTTGAGTTTGTAGTAACAAAAATAGTTAGGTCATCAATGATATACATCAAATTTTATGCTGGAGCATAGATTTTTTATTTTTTATATTCATTCCTCTTCTTGGTTAATTATCTTTGTTTTCTCTCACTTCCTTTACATTTTCTGTCAGCTTTCAACAAACCTTTCAACGAACTCCTTGCTTCTCTATTCGAGCATTATTAGAATTCATTATAAATTTTTTGATTTCATCAACGATAATGGGGACCTAACACTTTTCTCTGTTATGATATTTAAGAGATATGGATTACCTTAAATTGGGTCTCCTTCAAGAATTGAGCTCAAATCAAATTGGGTCGCATTTGTCTATAGATTTCGTTTGTTGATTAGATTATTTGTAAACAATATCAATCAAAATTTAATACAAATTATAATCTATTTTTTAACAATCTCGTTATTTTTTTGTTGATGTTTACCGAACCATATAAAAGGTCTAAAATTCAGCAAGCATCACCACAAATTAACAATTCTTTTTCCTAAGAGCAATATGCAAGTATTATTCTTTTCCTCATTTGGGAAACATTAAACAAAAATTCTTTATCCGTCGTTATAGGGACTGAAGATTGCTTATTCTCTTTTGATTGCCGTTCAAAATTATAAGGAACTCCTCGTTAATCCATGCAATTCAGATTAGGCATCACAATCAGCAACAATGGGTAATGCACACAAGCAAGCAATCCATCCAATTCATCAATCCATTATCTAACTAAATAAAGATAATGGCAAACGATTTACCAAAAAGGTTGTAATCATCATTTAACCTTGACTAGAGCTAAGGGAAAGAAGAAAATAATTTTGCATCTCTTTCATTTGAACTGTCTTACGCTCGTCCGAACAACCTCTAAACGTGATTGTGCTTGAATCGTGATGACTGATTTTGCTATTCTTCATCCAATGCCTCTTCCATTTTCTTTGAAATCACTTTTTAGGTAAAATAAATCAGTCAATTGTCTTCGTAAGAATTGATGCATTTACCTCTTATGATTCTTCTGCTATTGGGATTGTCAACAATAGCATTTATAGAGTGATATTCATCAATGGTAGACCTCATCCTTACACCAGATTTTATTTCAATATGATTGGAAAATAACTCATCAATGGCCTGAATGACATCAGTAGCATCTACCTGTGAGTTGGAAAAATCTCCATTAGATATTTCCATATATTGTGTAACATTATGGAGATTTGATGAAACATTTGGCCTCCACTCACATCTTTTCTTTTTTCTCCGTTTGAGCTCTTCCAATGGCCATTTTATCTGTTTTGCCTTGAGTATATTACGTATAATTTGGGCACGTTGATTTGCATTATGTCTTGTTCGCCAGCGGTACGTGCAATCAGTGGATTGTCTAGAAGACTTCCGGTTCGTCTAATGTTTTTCTGCTTTCTGATTTTTTTTTAAAATTTTTGATTTAGCATCGCTTTCTCCGACCCCTCCAACATGCCACCTTTGACAAAAACAGTCTGAAAACTCAAGGCTCCATAATGATAGCCAATTCCGTTATATTTTTCATGAGGTTTTCCAATCAATAATACTTCGACAAGCTTGGATTTTCCTTTCAATAGCCTAATCATTTCCTGTTTTTCATCTGACTTGAGTCAATCTCTTATTGTATGTTGCAAGTTCATCATTAATTTCAGTGAGTTTCTTACTTTCAGATTCAAGTTCTTCAATTTTCTTCCTTATATAAGCAACCTCGTCAAAGGTTTTCTCATGCTCAGCACACAGCTCACCATTCACAACTTTTAGTTTTGTATATTCATCAATCAACAAGTCATTTTTTGTTTCCAATCTTCCCAGACAGCCTTAGGGTATTCATTCTTGAAATCAATATTTTCTGTTCATAAACCATTTCTTGATAAGCTTCACTCAACTCCTCTATATTCATCTCGACGATGTTGTTGTCATCATTTTTTGTGACATCCTCATTGTCTTGTGGTGTAAGTGCAATTATTTATCCTTCCTCATAGTTGTTGCATGCTTTTTTGTGTAAATTGTCAGTCAGCTGTTCAGTTGCTATTTAGACTAGAAATCTAGTTGTTCTTCGAATCAAGATTTTGCGAAGATTTTCGGATTAGACTATTTGGTTTTTTTTTTTTTTTTACATAACTTTGGATCACTCTTCTGTAATATGTTAAAAATGAAACTCTGATACTAATTGTTGACACTAAATTATCTCAAAACCAAACAACAAACAAATAATAGCAGTAATGATCAAACAACACAAACACGAATGAAAGTAAATTTACACAAATGTTCATGAGACGATCAAACAACATGCAAACTCTGTAAGCAACAAAAACAAAATACACAAAATTAATAACTCAATTCTATCACCAATGACCTACATTTGAGAGTTCTAACCCAAGCATGACTATCTCATTTAAAATCGGAATCAACTTACAAAAGTTGCAAATCTAAAATTATTTTGCCCTCAGAAATCCCCACGCAACCTCACAAAATTTCCTAGCCTAACCTTCTCAATTCATAGAACTCTCAGATATTTTATTCTTCCTCGCGATTGTATAGAGATTTTTCTCTAAAATCACTCCTACCTTTTTCTTCGGAGCACAGATGTTTTTTGCTATGTTATATCCACTCCTCTTCTTCGCTCTTTATCCTCCTTCCCTTCTCAAAAAGTATTCTCTGGCAGCTCTCTACAATCTTTCAACCAACTTCTTTGTTATAACAAATTTTCTAATTTCATCAATGATAATAGAAACCAACGCTCCTCTCTGATCTAATATTTAGGTTATTAATTTAGATATATGAATCACCACTAATTGGCCTTCCTTCGAGAATTAAGCTCAAGTCAAATTGGACGGCGTCAGTTCATCAGAATTCGTTCATTGGTCGATCAAACCATCTGTAAACAATATCAACCAAAACCAAAAACAAACTACAATACATTTTTCACATATTCAACCAAGGGCTTCTTATGAAATAGGCTTTACTGTTACGTTGCAATTATTGATTGTTGGTATGTAAGGTCTGTCCCCGATACTTTGCATGAATGCCACGCTGCTTTACACTCTCAAAAATGGTTGCTGATTTGCAAGAGATTAAAAATAGGTTTGTGATCTTCAATGCTATATATACTTGAAGCTCCTTTACGCTCCCACCTTGTCCTTGTCCTTGTCCATGTGCATCTTCATCTCTTGAATTACTCCATCAGCAAGCTCCACCACATCCACATTCTTCCCGAAGAACTTCACAAACTCCATTTTTGGATCCATTAAATACCTGCGTTGCATTGCTTGCTGGTAAGAGAGACCGACTACTCTTACTCATCTAAGTGTGTGATTATTGTTACCAACAGAGAGCTTACATAACTATAGAATGATCCACAAGATAATCAGAACCTTCATCTTCAGTCTTCATATAGTAAACACGGTATGCACGTGCAGCATTCTTGACTTGTTCTGGGGAGCCTGTGAGGCCGATGAGCTTGGGATGGAATTCTACATCATAGAGCACACATCGGGGTTAGCAGAGCAGCGCAGTCACCAAAAGGAGAGGAGAGGAGAGGAGTTCAGTCTTTTGTCTGTCCTATAGTTCACTTAGGTCTCAATTCAAGATTCACCTCTGACATATTCTCGAACGTGTTCAACTGTATCTCTTTCTGGGTCAACTGAAATAAAGACTGGAACCACTTCAAGCTTAGACTTCTCCTCTGGCAATTGTTGAGAGTGCAAAAAAAACAATCTAGTAAGCTCATGTTAAAAGGGCAAAAGGAATAAACAAGTATTATGCAACACAAAACACTACCCACTACATTACAACCTGGAAATATTACTCAATCAAACTCACTTATTTTATCAATTGCGGATGCAAGCTTCTGCAGCTCATCAGGACATATATCAGGGCAGTGAGTGAAGCCAAAATAAATTAATGTCCATTTCCCCAAGAAGTCTTTATCAGAGACCGGTTTCCCATTATGGTCGATGAGATCAAATGGGCCGCCAATTGCAGCCTTTCCAACAGCCGGGCCTTGTTTTACCACATTCGAAGACCTACTGATTCCTGCAATACATCACTGCTGAGCTTCTATCACGCAAACGGAAAAAATAAAAACTACAGCACCGCAGGAACTATATAGGCACCACATTGAACTAGTCTAAAGGAAGGTCTCGAAATAGTTGTACGTGGACTCTTACACAAACAACCCCAGTGCTGAAATAGAGAAAGGCTCTAGAAATCCAAATCAGTGTACCCAAAATTAAGCATGGTTCCCCATCACAGGTTTTCTATGGACCGCATGAGCATGCAAACTGCACTGGCTGAATCAACACAAATTATTTACATGGATTGTAAAACCTCCCCATCATAAAATTATATTTTCTAGACATGATAACAAGACAAGCACTTGCGTGTAGGTTTTATAGCCGCGTAATTGGAGCTAACCTTTCAGTCATTCTACCCTGTAAGGAATGAGATGCAATAGAATGTGGAGGAGGAAACATCGGAATAAATAAACATCTCTGAATTCATAACATCAAATTTTCACACAGAAAAATAAAACTAAACAAACATCGAACTAAAATAGTCATATAACCTTCAATGCGGCGCCTCTTTTCCCTGTCGTAGTAGTAGACCAGTCCTGCTCCAGTACAAAGAAGCAAAAAGAAGCTCATCCATGAAACCGGCTACCACCAGAACATTCGACCGTTTACAAAAAAACACAACTTTTTAATGTTAGAACGAACTAGTATATTCAATATTATTGAAAAATAAAGAGAGTGATTTTGGGTGTTATTCCACTACCAATTCCGAGCGTTGAAAACAAACGAAATTGGTAGCTCTAAACTTGGAAAAAAGGAAAGAGGCATCGATGCCAGATATATTAAAAAAGGAAATAGGAAAGAAACGAAGATATACCCCTCCTCGAACAGGCTTTCCTTGTTGAGATGATTCCTGCGATCCAGCACCGGCACCACCAGCACCGTAATTCTTGTCCCCATGGGCGGCGTGACTCACAGTTGAGTTTGAGGAATGATTGGCAGCAGGGTGGTGGGAAGGAGTAGTGCAGAAGGCGGCCCGATGAGTGATAGGTAAAGAAGAGGGCAATAATAATAATTTGAATAGGGGGTTAGGGTCGGAGGTAGGGATTGAGTTGCAGCAGCGGGGAGGGAGAGATGGAAACGTGGAAGAATGGAGTCGGAGGAGGGAGTTGTAGATTTGACGGAGGCGGGCGTTGCGCAGGATTGGTGCGGCCATGATCGGCGACGATGATGAGTAATAGATTTAGGGTTTTTGCGGTGGGGACAGCACAGGACGGGCGGTGAGCGAGTGAAAAAAAGAAAGGCACAGTGATAAAATAAAAAAAAAAAAATCAATAAAAGAAATATGTACAAATTTTCTATGCTTTTTTTTTAATACATTGTAAGTGTCATTTACCTTTTTTGTAACATTGAAAATATTTTTTATTTTTTATTTTTTTTATTACAAAGGTAGTATATATATATTTAAAACTATTAAATTAATAATAATAATAATAATAATAATATTGCATTATGTAATCTAAGCTAATAATAATAATAATAATATTGTATTATGTGAGTTAGAATTGTTCAAATATGTATGCATGTACGAGTAGAAGGTAGGAACAGGAACAGGGGAGCTTGGGCAAGTAGATAGCAGTAATTATTAATGGATGGGATGATGAGTATTGTACTTATTATTTGGAAGGAAAGAGATGGGAAGGCAAAGGGGTGAGGGCGGGCTGGCTGGCTAGGGATGAGCGAAGTAAGGAAGGAAGGAGAGCATTAATTGGCACCGATTGTGGAACCAACCACCATAAACTTCACTGACACACAAATACTGCCCTGTCTGTCTCAACAACTAGCATTATATTATATAATTCCTTCATACATCCATACATACATGCAAACTCAACTTATATAGCAGCAGCAGCATTACTACTTGTTGAAGTAAAAGAGAAGAGAGAGGAATGTATTTGGATTTTGTATTGCATTGGTGTCGGAACTGGAGCTACATGGTGGTTTCGTTCAAACTTGTTTACATTGCTTCCTTGCTCCACCACCACAACAACTATAACTACTACTGTAGTAGTACTATTATTGTTGCTCTTCTATTATTCCACTAATTATACTATAATATTGCCACTGCCCACTTAATCCGCTCTCTCTCTCTCTCTCTCTAAGAATTTGAAAGTGAGCGGTTGCATTTCCATTTATACCTTCCCTCCCCACGGACATACATAATCAAATCTGGAGTGGGTAGTATTGCGCTATTATTTCTACTATTGACTGCCGTAGGTAAACAAATAACAAATACAAATGCAGCAATGCTGCTGCTAATGATGATATAGACATGTAGATAATGATGATGAGATGCTTTGAGCGATTCTTCATCTCTGCTCTGCTCTGTATCCCATCCCCCAGGCACACACACAGATGCACTAAACTCTGCCCTGCCCTGCCCCCTTCTTGCAATCAATCCACATCATCCATCGCCATTCTCTTCTCTTCTCTTCGCCCCCTTCTTCCTTCATAACCAACCAACCAACTGCTTTCGTTCCATTCCTGACTGGGCAGGGCAGAGCTATTAATCGCATACCCATACATACATACATACAATACATACATGAACCCAACTCCAAAATCAACACCACCCTCCTCCTGCCCTCAACTCACCAGTCACCACAGTCTCTGCTAAGATAAAGAGACAGACAGACAGAGGGGGATACGTACCACCCCTCCTCCATCATCATCCTTTGTTCCCTTCCCTTCCCTTATGCTGCTGAAACTAAACACTAGTCCTGCAACTGCAATGGTTGCGGAAGCTGCTAGAGCAGCACTCCTCCTCCTCCTCCTTGCTCTCCTCCCCTCCATGTCATGCCAGCAGCAGCAGCAGCAGCAGCATCAACCCCCTGACGCCACCACGCTTCAAGTCCTCTTGGAGGTCAAAAAGTCCTTCGTTCAAGACCCCCTCAACGTTCTGCAACCCTGGTCCCTCGCCAACCCCAACTTCTGCTCCTGGCCGGGCATCTCTTGCCAGGGCCAGGGCCAGCACCCCCCCCTACTCCTCAACCTCTCCGCCTCTGCCATCGCCGGCTCCATCTCACCCGCCCTCGCCCTCCTCCCCCACCTGCTCCACCTCGACCTCTCCAACAACCGCCTCTCCGGCCCCATCCCACCTGCTCTCTCCAACCTCTCCTCCTTGGAATCCCTCCTCCTCTTCTCCAACCAACTCTCCGGCCCCATCCCCCCCCTCCATCTCCCTCGCCTCCGCGTCCTCCGGATCGGCGACAATGACCTCACCGGCCCCATCCCCCCTTCCTTCGGCACCACCCTCCCCAACCTCGTCACCCTCGGCCTCGCCTCCTCCCGCCTCACCGGCCCCATTCCGCCTCAGCTCGGCCGCCTGTCCCGGCTCCAGAGCTTGATTTTGCAGCAGAACCAGCTGGAGGGCCCCATCCCCCCCGAGCTCTCCAACTGCTCCGGCCTCCTCGTCTTCACGGCCGCCCTCAATCAGCTCAACGGATCCATCCCTCCGGAGCTCGGCCGTCTCGTCAATCTGCAGCTACTGAATCTTGCCAACAATACTCTGTCAGGGGAGATCCCCGACCAGCTTGGTGCGATGAGCCGGCTACAATATCTGAATCTCCTCGGCAATCAGCTCCAGGGCCCCATTCCCAGCTCCTTGGCAAACTTGACCAATCTTCAGAACCTGGACTTGTCTGGCAACGAGCTCACCGGAGAAATTCCGGGATCGTTGGGAGGCCTGAGCCAGCTGGTCTACCTCGTACTTTCAGACAACAACCTCTCAGGCGCCGTACCCGGGGATATATGTTCCAATACCACCAGTTTGGAGCATGTGATGCTGGCACAGAATCAGCTTTCTGGCCGCATTCCAACACAAGTGCGGAACTGCAGGTCGCTCGAGCAACTTGATTTGTCCAACAATACACTCGACGGGCCCATCCCGTTGGAGCTTTATGAGCTGTCCCAACTGACGGACCTGCTGCTTAACAACAACACACTGTCCGGCGCCATTTCTCCCTCAATAGCAAACCTAACCAATTTGCGGACTCTGGCGCTGTACCAAAACAACTTTCGGGGTAGCCTACCCAAAGAAATGGGGATGCTTGGCAATCTTCAGATCCTGTACATCTACGACAACCAGCTCTCAGGAGAGATCCCCGCAGAGATTGGCAATTGCTCCAGCTTGCAGATGGCTGATTTCTATGGAAATAAATTCGCAGGCCGGATCCCAATCACCCTCGGAATGCTGGGGCAGCTGAACTTCCTTCACCTCAGGCAGAATGATCTTTCTGGTGAGATTCCGGCCAGCTTGGGCAACTGCCGTCTACTGACTATACTTGATTTAGCGGACAACCGGTTGGCCGGCAGCATTCCTGAAACCTTCGGGCGTCTTTGGTCGCTGGAACAGCTTATGTTGTACAACAATTCCCTCCGAGGCAGCCTCCCTGAAGATCTTACTAATCTTGCAAACTTGACGAGGGTGAATCTGTCGCATAACAACCTGACTGGGAGCATTGCTCCGCTCTGCAGTTCCCATAAGCTGCTTTCATTTGATGTCACCGGCAACTTATTTGAACGAGACATTCCCCCTCAAATTGGCAATTCACCTGCGCTGGAAAGGTTAAGGCTCGGAAATAACCGGTTTACCGGGGAAATCCCCCGGGCGCTGGGTTTACTCCAATATCTATCACTCCTCGACCTCTCCGGCAATTCTTTAACGGGGAATATACCAGTTCAGCTGTCTGCGTGCAAGAGATTGACTCATCTTGATCTTTATCATAACCTTTTGTCTGGGACGATCCCCCCTTGGATCGGAGGTCTTCCTCTGCTGGGAGAGCTCAAGCTCTCGGCCAACCGCCTGTCCGGATCTCTTCCTCATGAACTGTTCAATTGCTCGAGCCTACTGGTCCTGTCTCTCAGTGGAAACTCCCTTAGTGGCGCCCTACCTGCGGATGTCAGTAAGCTCGTGGCGCTCAACGTCCTGGATCTTGACAGCAATAGATTCTCTGGTCCAATTCCTCCTGCCATCGGGCAGCTGGGAAAGCTCTACGAACTACGGCTGTCACGGAACTGTTTCTCGGGACAGATTCCCCCTGAGATCGCCCAGCTCCAGAACTTGCAAAGCATCCTTGATTTTAGCTACAATAACATCTCCGGAAGCATCCCGTCGTCTATTGGCAAACTGTCCAAGCTGGAAGCACTGGATCTCTCCCACAACGAACTAGGTGGTGAAATCCCCCCACAAATCAGTGAAATGAGCAGTTTAGGAAGGCTGAACCTCTCTTTCAATCGGCTTCAGGGAAAATTGGACAAGCTACCTGCAGCGCGCTGGCCGGCCGCTGCATTTGAAGGGAATTCGGATCTCTGCGGAGGCCAGCCACTGAAGAGCTGCAAAGGCATGAGGTCTGGTGATGATCGGCGGTCCAGCCTCAGTGAATCACTGGTGGTTGTAATATCAGCGCTATCAGCCACATTTGCGGTCATTGTGCTGTTGCTTGCAGCTGCCATTTTCTTTAAACGCAGGCGAGAGGGCTATATGAGGGGGTGCGCATACTCTTCTTCTTCTTCTTCTCCTCTTCCTTCCGCTTGTTCTTCAAGGTCGTCTTCCCAAGCACAAAGGAGGTTACTGTTTGCCAATGCGGCCAAGCGTAAGGAGTTGAAGTGGATTGACATCATGAAGGCCACAAACAATCTGGGCGAGGAGTTCATAATTGGGTCAGGTGGCTCCGGAACAGTATACAGGGCTGAAATGTATAGCGGACAAACGGTGGCAATCAAGAGTGTGGCGAGGAGGGACGATTTCTTGTTGGACAAAAGCTTTGCAAGAGAGGTGAAGACGTTGGGCAGGATTAGACACAGGCATCTGGTGAGACTGTTGGGGTACTGCAGCGACAACAGAGGGGTGGCGGGCTCCAATCTGTTGGTTTACGAGTACATGGAGAACGGAAGCGTGTGGGATTGGCTGCACGGGCAAGGGCAAGGGAAGAGGATTCTGAGGTGGGAGGAGAGATTGAAGATAGCTGTGGGATTGGCCCAGGGGCTGGAGTATCTTCACCATGATTGTGTGCCAAAGATACTTCACAGGGATGTCAAGTCCAGCAACGTCCTGTTGGACGCCAACATGGAGGCGCATCTGGGCGATTTCGGGCTAGCCAAACCCCTCACCGACTCCTTAGACACCGAGTCCAACATGTGGTTTGCAGGCTCCTACGGCTATATTGCACCAGGTATGGCCATGTCTTGCCTTCACTCTCGTGAAAGAAAAGAAACTAGTGCTGGTGCCTGATCCTGATTGGCCTGGCTCTCACTTTACTTACATGAGTCTTTTCCTGTTTGATTAATTGATGATGTAGAATATGCCTACTCCATGAAGGCCACCGATAGAAGCGATGTTTACAGCATGGGCATCGTTTTGATGGAGCTGGTGACAGGAAGGATGCCTACAGATGGGAGATTCAGGGGGGACATGGGCATGGACATGGTCAGATGGGTGGAGTCACGCCTGGAGATGCAAGCCGAGGAGGTGGAGGAGCTCATCGACCCCATGTTGAGACCATTACGCGATGAAGGAACTGCTGCTGCTGCTGGTGGTGGTAAGAAGGCTATGGTCCGAGTGCTTGAAATAGCATTGCTCTGCACAAAAACTGCACCAGCCGAGAGGCCATCCTCCCGAGAGGCATGCGACCTGTTGGTGCATGCTGCATTAATTAGTTAGTTAGATGATACTGCTGCTTTACATGCTACTGCCCGCCAGTAAAAGAAAATGTTCTTTTTATCATCTCATCTACTGCTGTGCTGTGCTGTGCCTCATCTCTCCCCCTGAGAAAACGCTCCTACTTTTATTTATATACGTAACCACACACATTAAGCAGACAAAATTAGTGAGAGTATGACATTTCCCAGTTCCAAGGATTGAGTGAGCTATCACTATCTAATCTAATCCGAAAACCATACACGACGTGCCAAATCTCTCCCTACCCAACAGAATAAATTTGAAAATCATGAGAGCAAATGCAACAACAATGAGGAGTAACCAATTAATCGATCCATTTGGCAACAAATGAACTAAATATGTCACATATTTGTCCATTGAATACAATGGAATAAAGAAGAGAGAAGTTTGGCTATATGATCTAATACAATAAAAGTTCAACAACTTCCTTCCTTCATAAAAAATACAAGACAAGACTCTAGGATCGAAGGTGACTGTGGAAAAGGAAAATTACTAAGACGGAATGAGAAATCATAGGATGGGAGGAGGAATCTCAAGGTTTCAGTTGGGTAATGGACAATGTCATCCTCTCCAATCCAATCCAAAACCACACACAGGCATTATAACTAAAGTATTATCATACTCATATTTGTGCAGTGTTAATTTATCATCTCTGGAATCACTTTGGATCCAATCTATCAGCTCATCCCTTCCCGCAATTGATCAACAACACTTCACTGCTTCTTGAATGACTGCAACCATGCACACACACGTACATAAGTATCATCATAATTCATAACACGCTCTGTTTCTAATTAGATTAAAAAAAAAAAAAAAAAAACCTCGAAGTTCTTGGATGCATCCTTTATTTGCTCTGCTATTTCTTTTTTCTTCTCAGCAGCTGCAATCACAGACCATAACATTATCAAAGCCAGAAAAATAATAAATTAATCAACTAATGTTCAGGACTCCTTTGATGTACCAAGATCAGAAATTTCTTCCATCTTCTTCGAAGTCCTCACTGCAAACCTCTGGAATTTGGGACTGAAAGAAGCAGGGATCAAATATATAAACATAAATAAAATTGCAATAAAGTGCACGATCCCCAACACCAAAATGAATGCATCAGGGGTCGTCACGTTGTATAGGGCAATTCCACCCAAAACACTGTTAGTTGCCCGTGACAAAGTCAGGAAACAAATACCCTGGTAAAAACAAAAGTCGAAACCGGCACCGCAATTTCTTGAACGAAGAGGAAGCCCCTTCCGATTTTTTATTATTATTATTTCTTTAAAAGGAACAGAAACTTTGATAGAAAGATAGCGATCATCTCCACAATCATTACAAGACTACGAAAGTTATCATCGGCAGTTGCCCTAGACATGTCAAATTATCCTAATTCACATCCTTCGGTCAACAACAAATCCGAAAGTGAATTTGTTTATAAAAGAAATAAACAAATAAAAATGGTACATGCAGAAAAGGAATCAAGTTTAGATCGCATCGCCTCACCTGTTGGCAAGCCCATTCACAATCAGCTCATTAGCGACGTAAGAGATAACTCGATGAATGAAATTCCCACCAGCGGCCATTTGTTGAAACCGTAGGCTAAGAAATTGAGAAGAATGGAAAGCGTAAAAATAAGATGAAGCAGCGACGATCACAGAAAGAGGTTAAGAAGCCCTTGTGCCAGATTCTTCAATGGCGGCCGAAGATCGACAGGCGAGGCAGGCACTTGGGTCGGACGGGCGCGTTTAGACTTTAGTATAGTACATATTTATAGGGCTGGGCTGGGATGGGCTGGGCCATTTCTCAACATAGATGTTGGGCCGCATATAGAAACTACCTACCTGCAAAACATAAGGCAGGAATTGTATATATTACAAAGAATATCTCGTAGTATTTGGGATCATTAGGAATACAACAACATTAGATCAAAAAAACAAAACAAAAAAGCATTTCGTAGGCATATTATAGGAGAGTAGAGAAAGAGAGAGCGCGCGCGCGTCAATGAAAGGGATACCGTTACAATGCCGTATCCATCTACCTATTTCTATTTGTCCACCTGTCTATCTAATCAATACAAAGAATGCATGAGACGGATTTTGGTTATCGGTGCAGTAGCAGCAAGTAATTGGTAGATGGAAGTAACAGAGCAAGCTAAGCTAAAGTAAGCTAAGCTGCACCGCGCCAATCAGTCAATCATCATTCAATCGAGTTTCGTGTCATTTCGATTCGTTTCGGTTGCATTGGAGTTCCTGATCGGATGATTGGGTAAAATGGGTTTGGGGGGGTGCAAGAGATGCGCATAAAGCATGCGGTTCCAGGTGTCGGGGACGCCGGGGATGCACCAGTGGATGCAGTCGGCGTAGCGCAGCGGGTCCAGCTTCTCCTCGGGGGTGAGCAGCCTGCCCCCGGATTCGGTGTAGATCGAGGAGTGGGCGTCGACCCGGTACTCGGAGAGCTGGGTTATGTTGAGGAGGGTGACCGGGGTGGCCATCCGGGACAGCACGCTCCGCACCGCGCCCATGATCCTGCGGTCGGAGCCCGTCCCCCAGTGCCACTTCCGGGCGATGGGCTTCGACTCGTTGAAGCACTTGATCCCTCTCTCGTTGCCCCAGTCGGCGCTCCTCTGGTGCGTGGGCGACATGGTGGTGAAGAACACCCTCGTCCTGCTCGCCTCGATGTTTGAGTCGATCCAGTTGGCCCACGTCTTGAGCCCCAGGGTGTACGACACCGCCGCCTCTAGTTCTTGATATCCCTGTGCCCCGTTGGCGAACGACCCCCACCTGCGATGAACGAATTATTGATGATAACGATGACGATGAATGAATTATTGATGATGATGATGATGATTCCTTGATTCACTCATTCTCATACATTCATTCATTCATTCATTCACTCACTCACTCACTCACTATTAAGCAAGCAATGGAGTAGAGAGAGGGGGGGGGGGGGGGGGGGGGGGGACTCACAGCGACTTGATTCTGAGGCCACTCATCCACCAGACGTACGTATTGAAGACGAGGATGTCGACCCCCGTCCAGTGCAGGGCGTGCTTGGCAACCGAGTCCACCTTGAGGATTCTCTTCTTGGGGTCGGCTATGATGCGCACGTCCGAGTTGGACTCCACCAGGAAGGGCGCCCAGTAGAACTCGATGCTTGCGTTGTACTCCTGAAGTGTGAGTGATCAAATGACCACCATCCATCCCATCAACTAATTATAATAATGTAATTATTAATGATGCAGCGAATTGAGGCAGGCAGGCAGGCACACCTTGGCTGTGAAGACCGTATGCATGCGCCCTCGTTTCATGGACTTGTGCTCGCTTGGGATTACAGATTCCACAAGGCACACGAAGGACTGCCACTGCCCCCTCTGCAGCGAGTCTCCCACGAACATCAGCCTCTTCCCCTGTATCGATTGCAGAGCTTTCTTGGGATCAAATCTGGACTAGCCCGTATGGATGGATGGACATGGATGGATCAGTCAGTCAGCCATTCGTTCAATTCTCAGAGAAGAGAACAAGTATTAATCAATCATATACATGAATAAATGAATGATGAGGCTCCCTCTCCCTCTCCCTCCTGTTCCCACTCACTCACCTGGGCAGCATGCAGTCGTCCGGCCGCCATTCCCACTTCTGGTACTCCAAGTCCACCTTCCCATTCTTGACGCAGGAAACCTGCCTGTCCAGGTACGGGCACGTCCTGTCTGTGTACGGCGGCTTCATGGACCCATTGAACACCCATTTTCCCTGATCAAGCGTGCACTCCTCCGGATCAAACAGGAACCGGTCATCTGTCGCGTCGCTGCTGATGCTCGCATTTCTACCTCTACCTCTACCTCTAACAGCAGCAGTGTTGGCCGGCCTCCTTGTTCTGGTGCAGGACGTCTTGAACCTGAAAATGCTGCCGGAAGACAGGTAACTGATTCTCTCGGTGAGCAGGAGCACCAGAAAGGCCAGGGCGCAGGTTACGAGGGCCAGCAGGGACAGGGGTACCCTTCCTCTTAAGCCCTTGGGCGTCCCCATAAGCATAGAAAAGATCACGCCCTGCCCTGTACACAAGAACCAAGGGCAGGACCAAGAAGCAGCAATATAGCCCTCCAATTCCAAAAACAGAATGATGAGGACAACAATCAAAAGGAAAGGAAGCAATCAAGCTTGCAGGTTATTTTTATGTGGTGTTTGTTGAGTAGGATTCAAGGCAAAGCAACCTATGATTTATCAATGTACTATTATTTATTCATATCTCCACGATATGCATATGCATATGGATATATCTGTATATATGTATGTTCCAAATATCTCCTCCGATCCGGGCCCCTTATCCTCTCTTTACAAACACAAACTCAAACACATTCACCATACTGTATGATCAAAATATATAGAGCTCACACACACACACACACACACACACACATATATATATATATGGTAGCTAGGAGAGGAGAGGAGAGGAAAGATCATTTTGGGTTGAGACAAAGTCAAATGTTTGGCCCCTCTTTCTTTTTCTCTTCTTTTTTTTTTTTTTTTTTTTTTTTTTTTTTTGCCTGACTTGCAATTACAGTTTCCTTACTAAACAGTTCACATACCCACTTTGAGGCAAGAGTGAAGGTGGATGGTCACATAACAACATTAATTAATCAATGCCGACACGAATTTGCTTTACTACTCTATTAATTATTAATTGCACTGGAACAGCAGCTTAATGGCAAAGTTGAACGCTGAAAAGTATACTCTCTCTGCGGAATGTGTATTATTTCTGTTCATTAATGGGAAAAAGGTTGAAAGATCATTTGTCATGGGACGTGTAGTGGGGTGAGGTTGTCCAAGATTAATCTTTTGCATATTACTTATTTGGTGCGGTGTTGTGTTTGTGTTACGTGAGTGATATTGACAACTTAAATTACAAACGTGGGAGTTCTATCAGCATCCGTTCGAGACAAGTTTCCTTTTTCTAACAGATTCTTTTAACTTATGTATATAATATTATTAGGATGGAAACGGTAAGGTGGGGAAATTGATGGGGTACCAATATAATTAAGATGGAAGTGGTATATATACAATATATAATATAATTATACAGAGAGAGAGAGAGAGAGAGAGAGAGAGAGAGAGTATAGATAGCTTGTTTTGCACTAAAAGTGAAGTGAGGTGAGGTGAGAGAATAGAAGAGGAAGGAAGGAAGGTCGTTATAGCTTCGGTTCCTGATTGGATCTTAGCGTAGATTCATATAGATAGATAGAGAGGTATCTATGTTCGTGCAGCAGAATTTCTCTCTCACTCTCACTGTCTCACACAGTACATGAGTAGGCCTACCTTGGTGGGTGGATGGATGGATGGATGGATGAAGGAAGGAAGGAAGGAAGATTCACCCCCCTCATACAAAATATGATTAGGTAGTTCCAATTCATACAAAGTACGTGGCTGTCGTTGTTAATAATTAGGGTGATGGTGGTGAGAAATCAAGATTATGAAATACTAATATCTTCTGATACAGAAATTCCTCAGAGACAGAGACCAGGTAGAAGAGAAAATACAACATGACAAATGATGATGGGAGGCATCACGACACGAGAGCTTATTCCTGAGTTTATTGACACACAAAAGCACAACGCGGGCGACCATATCAAACCACATACCATACCACCAGTAGTTCTGCCCTGCCCTGCCAGGCAGCAGCTGCCACTTATTTTACTGCAAGAGTGCGTTTTATTTTCTCTAATTCATGGGATGATGATAAAGGGTTGACTGGCTGGCTGCTCCACTGGTAAGACTGAATTGAAAGGCACAGAAACTCCATGGCAACTCCATTTCGTGCTCTCCTTCTCCATACAAATGATGATGATCATCATCATTGCTGTTGTTGTTGCTGTTGCTTATAGGAAACATGCCCAAGCTCTGGGGGGGACCGGGGTGGCACATAGGAAGACTCTGTCCCCGCCGAAGCACACCACTATCCTGGATTTTCATCCTCTTCTTGGCTTGGAATTCGTCCCTGGACATTATCTCCAATTCTTCTGAATCTGATTCGAATCCCATCCCATTTGACTGATCGGACGACTCCTCGCTGAGAGAAGGCAGTGACAGGATTGGAGAACAGGGCCTGATGGGCTTCATGCAGGGTCCGCGGCTCTTGAATTCCTCCATCAGTTTGTCAAGAAATCTCCCCTGCGCTTCAATCTTCATTTTCAAGCTTTTCTGGACCTGCACAAAGGAATGAATGAAATGCTAATGAAAATGAAGACCTTTTCCGGTGCTCATGTCATCAGGGCCGAAATGGTCGGTCGCCGAAACTGATTCTGTCATCAGTCATCTACCTACCTCAAGTTGATCAGTCAGCCGTTTTTGTGCTTCCATTTGAATTAACAATGCTTCGTTTAGCTGAGCACCCCTGCATGCATGAAGGATATTAAATATTGCTGAATCAAGCAATAACATTTACTACGCCAAAGAAAGCTCATTGTGGTCTCACGACGTTGCACTGAAATTTGGAAGCATCTCTGATAGACTTCTTTTCTCAAACTTCCTTTCTGCAGGCATCAAGGATGACAAGTTCATGGGAGTAGAGATGCTACAAAGCGGTCCCCCAGTCGGAGATCCTATTGCTTCGACTTGAATTATTTAAATGGGCAATTAGACTTACTGATGTGGTCTTCCTCTCTTGTGAAAATTGACATCCTGTATTTCTGTTGAGACAAAGATATCCATCCGGTAATAATATACACAGAAATGTGTTCATATCCTGTGATCAGATCAGATAGAGAGGAGAAAGAGAGAGACCTGCAGGTGGCTTTTGACATGATATATGGTCAATCCTGGAACTGCCATAGCCCTGAGAATACCTTTCGGTGTTGCCCCTGAAATCCGCTCAACAGAAAACAATGAAGCAGTAAATGCAGAGCCTTTTTGCAAGTGCAATATCATCATTTCATGATGATTATAATCCACTTACTCTCTGGGCCTCCGATCTGGTTCACAGCCTTCTCAAACGAGTCATGCAACTCTTTGGTCCACTTGAGCCTCTCCTTCGAAGAACCACCAGTGCAGCGATTGGAGCCCATGCTGTCACCAGCCCTGCCAGGCGATGGCTTGAGCAGCAAATACTGCTCAGCTGGAAAGAGGGGGTTAAGATAACAACAGTTACCCAATAACAATGGCCAGGAAAGAGCCAACGATGGGAACTAAGTACATATATTGTAGATAATTAAGATACCATAATATGTCTGCAAGAGAAATGGAGTTACAAACTCCCTAAATTCAACAAAACATCTCCCTTGTTTGTATCACCTGGTGAAGAAATCTAAAAGCAACAGCAACAACAGATCATCAATGACAGCTAGCTACACATGCTTGTTGATTGCAATATTGTAGGTATGCGAACACCAACAGTTACAAGACAAAGTAAGAGAGAGTTAGAACCCAAATTCCAAACACCTGCAGCTTCCAACACTGGACTTCTAGCAAAACACACTTGCTGGGGTCTAGCAATCGAAGTGCAGGTCACTATCTTAGGATATCCTTTTGCACTACTCATAATATAAACATCACCACCCATTTAAGAGAAGCAGATGCACAGCAAGAGCAGCAGACATTCCCATTTCATAGCAATACATTCAATTCAAGTACATGGTCTAGAGTAATAGAATATCATAGCACCGGAATGAATCAAAGACTCCTATATAAAAAAGCTATAACATAGAAATAAATCATTTGGTACAGACAAACACTGGCTTTGTCCTCATCTCAATAATAGGCTGTTATTGACATCACAAAAATATCCACTACAAACAGTTGCAAAGCAATTGTTATAACTGTCAGGTTTTGGATGAATACTATTTCCCTCTGATGTGCCACAGTGACTGCTACTGCCGGCCACGCTTCATGCAGGAAGGGCATTTGTACTGCTTGATGTTCTCAGCTTTCGCCGGAGTTATCTTCACGCACTTTCCATGGAACCACCTTTCACAGACATCACAGCCAATCCAAAACTCATCTGCATTGTAATTTCCACCACAGCTTCCACATAATGTTTCACTATGCTCTTCTTCATCCTCTTCATAGCTTTCCTCTGCAGGCTTGGGGTTATTTTTGGCCTGTCCATCACTAGTTCTCTGCAAGAAACATAGTATCATAAACCAATTAATTCAGAGTATAAGCATAGTCATTTTAGTAAATTTAGGTCAGGTTTAAAGCAAGTCACCACCTTTTGAATGAGGTCTAGAAATTAGATTATATTACTGACTTCAATTCTTCAATAGCATAAGTTCAACATCTACAGCCATTGTGAAAAAACCAAGGGGTTCCTTTTAAGGTTTGGATTTGGTTTTGGGGTCTGAGAATCCTATGAAATTGAATTAGATGTGATATAACTATGTGTCAGTATGATGCTCTATATGAAAACTGGTTATTTGTGTAATATTTTTAAATGAAAATAGGTGTTCAATTTGATTTGAAGGAAAATTTTTCATGAATAGTGTCCGATCAAAACCAAACCCTAAATAAACAGAGCCCTAGCAACTGACCCATGTATCTAGTGAGGAGGGATTAAAATCAAGAATATATATGTATATAATAGTATGAAAAAATTTAAATGGGAGGTGATCCTACCTTTGTGGCCCCGCGAGATTTGCTTCCACTATCTGCATTGGATTTATCTTTTGCAGGCTTCCTCTCAGTTACCACCTCAAAAATAGTTGGCAGATCATTGATCATGCTGAACAGTCGCTTTCTGCAAGGATGGTTAAAATATTATACACCAAAATGTATTTCCGAAATACGATGTTTCCATAATTGATGTCCAGTATCCACGTATAAGCATACCAACAGGGAAGTCTATAATGAGTCAACAACACAAACAAAAAGAAATCCATCTCAAAACACCTTATGGTTGAGGTGAACCCTTGTAAGAAATTGCAACAAACCAGTAAATAAGCATCATAATGAGTTTCAAAGAATGTTAAGCAACAGCAAAGAGCAAGTGCTGAAATGGAACTCCAGCTTCTCTAGTCACAAGTTGGCGCATCAAATCTCACAGATTTAATGCCAGGAACAGGAGAAATTATTATGAGTAATTGTTAAGGAATGTACATGTTATCGCTTGAAAATATGGTATTATATCAAATATTTCCCTGTAAGCTCACAGGATATGAATACTCTCACTCACAGTGTTAACTGCCTTTGTTTCTTGAATACCAGCTAAACTTGAATTATTATATCATTTCCTTGAAATGAACAATATGGGGAAAAAATAAAAATAAAAATAAAATTAATAGATAATAGATTAAAACCAAATCATCCAGCAAAACTGCAAGATTTTGTGGAGCACTACCTAATCTCTAGCTCATGAAACATACATTGAAGGGGATAAAAAATACGCAACCAACAAAAACCTACAATAATTTATGAATTTTCGGAACATGGATATCTCATCTATACCTTTCATTGCGGTTCAGTCTAGCTCCAAGATAAAAGGCCACAGAAAGTAACCAACAATCACTGTGCACAGCGATTAGCGAAAGCCAATCTTTTCGGTTCATTCCATCCCTGGCGAAATTGATTCCGAGGGCTGGCTCTGGGAGCTCAGGGGGAACCTCCTCAGCTGGGAGATTTACTTCCCAAGTTTCGTTTGGGTGTCCATATAGACATAAATTCTCCTTCTCTGGAAGTAGAATTTATAACAAAAAAGTTCAATGTGTAAATAGGCATACTAACATGGTAATTAAAACAAGTTAACTACTCAAGGCTCTTGGAATTTTATATTTAACACAAGGTAATACGTTACGAAAGTGCTGCTTTGCATAGAGAAACGTGGGTGAAAGGCAGCAGATAAATTCCTTTCCTTGTATTTTAAGTGTCAATTAAAAAATAAAAAATAAAACTTTACTAAAATTGTAAATTGCAACAAACAAAAACATGGTTATACAGATTTTCAAAGGTGGATTACAATGCAAATTGGAACATGAAACTTTCTCAAAAATCAATGAGAGGAAAAGCAATAGCTTTCTTGGATTTAGTGGTAACCATATAGCCAAAGCCTAGACAGACCCTCATTCCAACCAAACTCCAAAGCCTAGACAGACCCTCATTCCAACCAAACTCCAAAGCCAAGATACAGTCAAAACTCGTGGCAATCATCTGGTATAAATGTATAATAACGATGCAATTTCACTAGATAAGTAGTTAATTAACCTTCAAATGAATAGGAATCTCATCACTGAAATTAAACAGGAGCATCGAAATTCCATTTCATTTTTAGTTGCTTACCCAATTTAAATCAAGTCAAAGGCGAAGTTTATGAAGACAAGATCAAACAAATACCTGAAGTGAAGTTTCTAGCAGTCAACTAAACTAAATCTGAGCCCATATTGAATCCAATTAAATCTGAAGTGAAAACGAAAATACCTGGATCACAGAGCCCGTAAAACTCATCCACATCTGAAAATTAGGGACGAAAGAAAAAATGAATCAGTGTATGTTAGATAGGAACAAGGGCGTTGTTTTGTAATAGAGTGTAATTAGGACGTATACCGTCAGTTAAAGCACGAACAATTCCAGCGCGACGGGAACTGTAATCCTTGAAGATCTCCTCCACAGTTCGAGGACTCGGAGAAAGAGTAGCCATTTCCGTATATAGAAGACGAGATCTAAAACTTAAAGAGAAATCCGGGAATTCTCATTCAGGGGATTAATGGAAAGAATTGGGAGGGGGCGGGGCGGTGAGACGAGAGGGAAGGGGAGTGTGTGCATGTAACGTGAGAATCAATAAACCAGAGGGGGCGGGGGCGAGGGCGAGGGCGAGGGGCAGAAAGTGGAGATGAACACAGGGGCAGGGCCAAACCAAAACGACGCCGTATTTATTCCTTGGAGTTTGAGGTGCGGACCGGATCGGCCGGACAACTATCGATGCGAATTGTGATGGACGGCTGGATGGAAGCGAGGATGGATGGATGGACGGGCGGACGGATGGATTCTCTCCTCCTCTATCTCAGCTTCCTATTTTGCTTTTCTTACCACATTCACGTTCACGTTCACGATCACACGCGCCCCGCTTTTATCCTTCCTTATTACGCTCTTCCTAATTAATTAATTAATTAATTAGTATTACTACAGCCTCTCTCTTTTTCCTCTCTTTTTTTTCCCTTTGAATCCCATTTTCGTTTGTTTGCAATTTCAATTAGAATTAAATTAAAGAGGAATTATTTGCTAGAGTAAATATGTGGCTGGCTAATGTATATCGATACATAAATGCAAAATAATTCAAGTGAATTTCTTTTTATATAGAATATGCTTTTATTTAATTAGTTGGGTGCAGATCTGAGAAGATTTATATGACGTATAATTTAGTCTTTGTTTATACTAAGAGTTACCAAAGTTGGTTTTTCTTTTTTTGGGAAAAAAAAACATATTAGAATAATAAAAATTGAGTATAAAGTGACAAAATAATTAGGATAGATTGAAATGGAAATGTGGACATATAAATAGAAACGGAGACAGAGGTATTTTGTAAAATTAAATACATACTTAATATAATTCTTTTTAATACAATATGGAAAATTTTAAAATGCATGCAAATAGAGTCTTAGGGCGGCAATTAACTGTTAGATGTTACCTAATTCAATTTGTATCGATGATATTTTTATTTTATTTTTTTAAATATATTCTATTGTTCTTTTGAATTTAGAATATTTGAAATTTTTTATTATTAGTTATTGAAAATCGTAAAAGTGTTATAAAATAGTATCTATTAATTTTTTATTTTTGAAAATAAAGGCAATGACGTAATACATTGACTTAAGTTTAAATCTTTCGATCATACAAGATCCCTAATACATCATGAAGGAGCCACTGTCCAATCTCCTTTGGTAGTCTAACAAAGTGGTTTATGCCAGTTTTTTGTCTCGTTGCAAAATGAGCTAGACGATCCGCAACCAAGTTGGCTTCCCGGTAAGTATGTTGTAGCCGGACTTCCCAATTTTTTGCCATTCGATTTCTGATTTTATGAACAATGTGACATTGTATTCCTAGCTGTTCCATTGGTGAATTAATAAGATGAATCCCAATTTTAAAATAGTATTTATTTTTATTATAGTTAGATCCAAAAAATAATATATTTTTATTGAAAAATATAAATAATTTTTTCTATTAAAAATAATGTAAAATATAAAATAGTAAAATTTTCTTGTATATATTTATTATGTTAATTATCGATTGATTCATTATATTTATATTTTTTAATAAATTTAATTTATTTTTAGTATAAAATTTATATAATGTAATTTTAATATAAAATTAAATTATTAATATTAATATTTTTTATTTTGTGTTAATTTTAATAAAATTATATATTTTTACAATTAAAATAATTTTTATATAAAAATTAATTATTTTAAATTTATAAAAGTAAAATTATAATATAATAAAATATTCTAATATAATAAATAAATAAATAATTAATTAAAATATATTTATTTGTGTAAAATGCTTATTAATTTAATAAGAAATAAAAAAATTTAAACCGAAAAAAATTATTCTAAAATGATAAATGAGCTTTTCAAAAATTAGTCTTTTTAAGTCCAAAAAATTAATTTACAAAACACCTAAATTAACTCTTTGATTAGTCAAATAATTAAAATTTATTCAAAAAGCTAAAAAAAATTTGTCAAACATCATCTTAATCTATATATACACATCACTCAATCACCCAAAATTCGTTTGACTATGCGAAAAGCACAAGCACACGTATAGAAGAACATGAACAATTACAATGAGATAGAAGAGTAGAAGAGACAACATTACTAGGTAGAGTCTCAAATTTTTGGGCTTCTTTAGGATCTTATTTTTGCTAATAATAACAATAAATAATAATCAATGTATATATAAAACAAATATAATAGATATATGTATAATATTGCAAATATATATCAAAATTTCCTGGTTCCATTTAGATTTTATTTTTGTTTTAATTTAAATGTTGTTTGTTTGGTTCAACGGAAGGAAGGTGAACGGAGGTTAGGAATTTGAGGGGAAGAGAGCGGGGTTAAAAATTGTAACATTGTGTTTGATTTATTAAGAACGAAGTGAGCAAAATAATATTTTTATTTTTAGTTAAATAAGAGAGGAAAGAAAAAATAATAAATAAAAGTATTTAGTGAAATTTGATTTATTAGTAAAATATCTATTCCGATATAATATAGCTTGTTTTATAATAAGAAGATATTTATTAAAACTAAAATATAAATGAACATAATTTTATTTAGAAACAATAATAGAAAAATATATGAAATACATCTATCAAATTAATTATTAATACTAATTCTAATAATTTAAGATTTAGTTAATTTAAATATATTTATATAAATATTTTATTGTAAATTATAATTATATTTGTTTTAATAATTTTTTTAAAAGTATATTATAATTAAAAGTATTTAAAATATTTAAAATATATAATTAAAAATATATGTACAATATATTAATATTCTAATTTTAATATTCGATAGAATAAAAAATAAAATAAATAAATATGTATAAATTTAAATGATATAATAAAATATGAGGGTATAATAAGTAATTCAATAAACAATATTTTTAATAAAAACTTTTTTCCCTTCAAATTCTTACAAATTGAATGGAAAGAAAAATTAATTCAATTTATCATTCCTTGATCCAAACATAAAAAATAAAAAATAATTTTTTTTTTTGTATTTTCTTCCTTCCCCCGAGAGCTCAAACCAAAGAGGCCCATTTATTTTTGTCCAGAGCCTTTCAAAACTGAAAAATGGCTGTGCTATTTTTCTCTTTGTCCAAATTTTTTGTGGTGTTTGGCAAATAACTTTTAGTTTTTTTTTAAGAGTTTTTAGCTGTTTGATCAGTCAAAAAGTTAATTTAGGTGTTAAATTAGCTTTTTGGATCAAAAACTAACTTACCCAGCGTTTTAAAACAACTTTTTCAAAAAAAAAATTTATTCCTTATATGCCCTTAAAAATTTATTATACATTTTACACAAATAAATATATTTTGATTATTTATTAATTATATTAGAATATGTTATTATATTACAGTTTTACTTTTATAAATTTACAATAATTAATTTTTATATAAAAATTATTTTAATGGTAAAATATATAAATTTATTAAAATCAACATAAAATAAAAAATATAAATATTAATAATTTATTTTTTTATTAAAATTACATTGTATAAATTTTATACTAAAAATAAATTAAATAAATTAAATTTATTGAAAATTATAAATATAATGAACTAATCGATAACTAACATAATAAATATATACACGAAAAATTTATTATTTTATATTTTACATGATTTTCAATAAAAAAACTATTTATATATTTTAATAAAAATATATTATTTTTTAAATCTAACTGTAATCAAAATAAATATTTTTATAACACTTTTACGATTTTCAGTAACTAATAACAAAAAATTTTAAACATTATAAACTCAAAAAACATAATTGAATATATTAGAAACAAAAATAAAATAGAAATGTTCTCAATTGTCATTTTACGTATATAATACTAATATTAAACAGTTATTTTATCGAACATTTTAATACAAATAGCTAATCGAATCAGCTAGCCAAACCGGATAATTGAATCAGCTAACAGCTATCAGCTAATTGAATCAGCTAACAGCTAATTGTCAAACACGCTCTTATGCCGATTTTATGAATAAAAATAATTGTTATATAATATAATTAATTATAAATTAAAATTATGATTAAAATATATAATTAATTTTTATTAAAAAAAAAGAAAAAATAAAGTGGGGCATACAAAAGAAATAGTTAACAAATAAAATGTAAGGGAAAGGGTATAAAAAAAATGCTAGATTGGTACGAGATGGACTTGTGATTGTAAAATCATAAATTAAAATTATGATGCTTCTAAATCTTATTTATTACACATGATTCACCTAATAAGAGTTGATTTGTTCAACTTATTTTGTAAGATATTAAATTTAAGAATAATAATTACCGAAGATCAAATGTCAATGATTGCATAACAACTAGTGGTAAATTGCATCCTATACTCTCGGTAGTTTGACAAGAGCTTCAATCATAAAAATAGAGTATATATATATATTTTATGACGTGAGAATTCGCAATCGCTACCTGAAAGCGTGTATTGGATAAACCTTGAACCGAACCTAATATCCTACAAATTAGTACGAGCAATCCTTAATATGACGGCAACATCTATGTCACAGCAGTATTCTTATATTGTCTTTATATATAATTTTTGTCATCATTTGTATATGTAGCTTCTACTTAAACTATGTATAATGCAATTTATTATTATTATTATTATCTTCTTTACATTTTTAGGGTGAGTTTGATTGTTTGTTTATCATTATTTTCAACATTATATGTATATAAATTTTCTAAATTTTACATGAAATACCTAATTTATTTATGTAAAATACTTTTCATTATATTCCAAAACAATCTAATTAAACAAATAATGACAAGGGCAGGGCAGGCATGTATGTGTTTGTTTTTATCATTACTAGTATCCTTATGCAGTAGAATAAAAATAATAAGATCCATGTCATGTCATGTGTGTTGCATGCTTTGTATGAGTATATATGGTCTGTCACGGAGAAAAAAGTGAATGATTTGGCGGCATTGCTATCCAATCTATTCCAATTCCATCATTTATGAATATTAACAATACCACTATAATAATAATAATAATAATAATAATAATAATAATAATAATAATATATGTATGTATTATATATGAATATGAATTAGTTCCAGCGCATCAATATAAAATATTATATATTCATACATATAAAAGAAAAACGAGAGAGAGAGAGAGAGACACACACACACACAACACCCGCAGACAGAGAGGCAGAAATTCAAGGGTCCGATCGAGGGTAGAATGGAATTCAAAATGCCAAGAAGCCCTATCCGCCGAAGCTGAAGCTGAAGAAGAAGAAGAAGAAGAAAGAAAGGTAAACAGGTGAAGGGGAAGCTCCTCCTCGCACCTCCCTCCCCGTCCCCGCCCCACTCAATCTCAATCCCTCCTCGGGAGCTGATCCATCTATCAATTGCATTCGGATCTGTAACACCTAGATCTGATTCCTTCCAATCACTCCCGCATTGATTCCATTCGAATCCGCACCCCTCATCCGGAATGGGGGATTTCAATCTAGCCCTAGTCATCGTTGCGATTGTCGTCTGCGTGCTGGTCTTCATCTTCAACGTCTATCTCCTCGTCAATTACCAGCACCCCGACGATGTCAACCAGGCCTATTTCCCCAAATTCGTCGTCGTTCTGGGCCTCTCCGTCGCCGCTATCTCTATTCTGATGCTCCCGGCCGACGTTGCGAATCGCCAGGCCTGTCGACACGCCATTTATAATGGCGCCTGCAACCTCACGCTGCCGATGAAGGATCTGTGGCTCGCTGTTTATATCGTGGATGCAATTCTCGTTTTCTTTGTCATCCCGTTTGCCATGTTTTATTACGAAGGAGACCAGGACAAGTATTTCTCGCTCCCCCAGTTTGTTTCCAACGGCATTTAATTTCGTTTTGGGCGCCATTTCTTAGTGGACGTGGCTTGGTGTTTCTTTTGTGGATTTCAGGAGCGTGTGGAAGAGGATGAGGAGTGCACTGCTGTGGGTGATCATGACAGTTATTGTCTGTGCGCTTGTTCTGGGAATTTTATATGGTAGAATCCTATTTCCTTAGTTCGTGCTTTGATCCTTTTGCTTCTGACGTAGAATGATATCTGCTCAATAAGGTTCTCAATGGCAAGTGTGAGCTTGAATAACCTTTTCTCTAACTCGGAAAATTTGCTAGTAAATCTAACCGGTCTGTTGTCCTGTGTCTTGTGATAATTGAGTCATCTAGCTTGTCCTGTACCAGCTGATGCTCGATGTAATCATTTGGTGTGGATACCCGCTGTTTCCTCTTTCCCAGGCGCTGTTAAAAATAACCATCCCACCTAGGCGCATTATCTCTAGTTGGTTGTGCAGATCAAATTGTCTTGGTGCCCTTGTTTTCAAATATCTTCTTACTAGTCCATCATTTATGGTGAATGATGATTATATGCTTGCTTTTGTGATTCATCTCATTTTTCATTGTGGTTGCACAACTGATTAAACAAACTGTGAATGTAATTAAGCTTTCCTAATCAAGCTCATTCAATAATTTGTGGGTGTAGTAGTTAGGATAGTGATCAGAGCAAAAGCTAATTGAGTTCATGCTGGGTTTTTGATAATTTCGTTTTGCTTATGTCCTAGGGCTTGTTGGAAAGGTGGATTTCACTGTTAGGCATCTATCGTCTTCCACCACACCCTTCCCAACATCATTTGAGTTCTCCCGCAACCAGCAATGTATTGGGAGTGGAGTAAGACAGGTGGGATACATGTTATAATTCCTTTTGGCAGTTGGTTTTCCTGAAACTACACATCTTTACTAAATTATCTCCTTTGTTTTAGTGCTCTGCGTACACTGCAAGTGCTTCATCTGAGACTACTTGGACCATGCGCACAACCTTCCCAGAATATGTTGTTGCACTAGCTACAATTGTTGGATCTGTGCTTTTCACAGTATGTGTATTTAAAACTAGCTGCCTTTCCCCTTTTATATTAATACAACATGCTCATGCTCTCTGTATATTGATCTCCCCAGATTTTTGGTGGTGTTGGAATTGCCTGCCTTCCATTGGGCCTTATATTTTCATTTATTCGGCGCCCAAAGGCTGTTATCACTCGCTCTCAGTATATTAAGGTATTTTTGTGCCAACAACTTTTTCATACTGGGAAAGTTATGTGATGCAATCATAGTCTTGAAATACAAATTGGTATTCAAAATTTTTCTCCTGTAGGAAGCAACAGAACTGGGAAAAAAGGCAAGAGAACTTAAAAAGGCAGCTGATGCACTTCACCAGGAAGAAAGGAGTGGCAATAAGGGGAGGAAGTGGCGCAAAAATGTGAAAGCTGTAGAAAAGGTTGTTATTTAGTTTGTGCTATTGTGTTGTTGAAATGTGGTCTTCCTACATTCTTACTCATGCAAATGACTTCAGTTGGTGTGATTGTCTTCCTTTTCCTTTTTTTCCTTTTCTTTTTTTTCACTCTCTTACCATATGTCACCAGGTTATTGTCTTTCAGCTAATCCGTAAAGGTGAATCAGTTCTCAGATTTATTCAGTGTTCATGAATGATCTATGTGAGAATTATTGTTATGCAGGAGTTACTACTCTTGGAAGAAGATGTCAAAGCTTTGGAAGAGATGTATCCTCAAGGTGAACAGGTGATACACGAGTAGGATCAATTTCATCTTCTTTCTTCTTTGATTACCTTCCTCGTATATGTATAAGACCAAATCCATTCGAAATTTCCAACTCATGGTTACTATGTAATATTATTTTATATCAACATTCCCCAGCCTTATAAAGAAAATTGTGATAAATGAAAATGACACAAGTACGTAATAAAGATATATCTTCTGAAATTTATGCAGGCTGAAACAGCTTGGGCTATGACTGTACTTGGTTACCTTGCCAAATTAGTACTTGGAGTTCTAGGGTATGTTCTTGATTCTGTATTACTTTTGTAATGGTTCTTTGAGGAACGCTCTTGGAATTCTTATAGTGTGTGCACATTTACAGAACACAGTGATCTTTTGTTCCTCTGGGACTGGGCCATGGATCAGAAAAGAATTATTGATTTCTTATTCCTGAAAAAGTTGACACCACTTTTTGCTCAATTCTTAAACTGTTATTATTTGTTCTTCATGTTTTTTTGTGTTCCTGGTTTGATCAAAAATAATATTGAACAAGCTTCTTGCCTCGACCAGGTTGATTGTTTCAGTTGCGTGGGTGGCACATATTGTAATATACTTGCTGATTAATCCCCCACTTTCTCCATTCCTCAACGAGGTTTTCATCAAACTGGATGATGTTTGGGGTTAGCTGACCACTTTGTCTGTATTTTATTTACCTTTTGAATTGGGTGTATGTTTGATAAGAGTTTGGTCTTTCTCTACTTCAAGGTCTTCTTGGCACTGTAGCATTTGCATTCTTCTGCTTCTATCTTCTGCTTGCTGTGATAGCTGGCGCGATGATGCTTGGCCTTAAGTTGGTTTTTATAACAATCCATCCTATGAAGTATGTTTTATCTATGGTTTCATATTCTTGTTTTGTTTACCAGTTTACATTTTGTATTTTATTATCATCTCTATTTCTGGGTTCGCATGTTTTATGTCGTTACTTGACATTGGAATTTCAATTATAGATGGGGAGCTACGCTTATGAACTCATTTCTATTCAATGTGGGCCTCATTCTTCTCTGCTCAATCAGGTGACTTTCTTGAGGCCACTTTTATTTTCCAAGCACTAACACTTACTGGTATGGTGGTGGTGGTGGTGGGATAGTTACCATATGTGATACATGATAGATAAATATCTATCTATATATATTTTGAAGTTGTCTTGTATCATTTGGCAAGGATGATGATTGATTGCTGTGGAACTGATTTTGTGCTATTTGTTTTGCTCATATGTTGTATGCATTTGTAGGTCGTCTCATTTTTATCATTTACAGATGTTCCTAGGTACTTGCTTTCCGAGCAAGCATTTTAATTAATTAATCTCATTTATATTTTGCAGTGTGATTCAATTCTGCGCCACTGCATTTGCTTATTATGCCCAGGCGACCGCAGCGCAAGAAATATTTGGACACACGTTGCAATCTCTTCGTGGAATCAAATATTTATACAAGTTAGTTACCATTAAATGTGTGATAATCAAAGATTATGCCAAATGAGAAGCTGTGTACTAAAAAATGTTTTTTTCCAGGTACAATGTGTTTCAAATTGGATTCATCATTTTAGCGGGGCTGACATTTGTATATTATGCAGCTTTTGTAAGTATTCAAACATTGTGTCCGTTTGGTATTGCACTTTTGTACGTGGGAATTGAGGAGTTGTTTTTTTGCAAATTGTTCAGGGATGGAGAAGAAAAAAACCTAGTGGCAGGTTCCAGCTTTCCTCGTAATTATTGTGATCGTATCTGAGTTTGAATCTGCTGGATTTCTTGAATGTGTCATTTATGATGTCGTCACGTGGCGTGTGGTTTGGTGGCTTTGGTTGCTTGAGAAAAAGACTGGCAAGGGTAGAGAAGTAGCCTGGAATCTGCATTATCATGGGTTTGTATTGTGCATTGTGGTGAGTCCAGGTTTTTTCTACGTTGTTATTATGTTCTCTTCTATTCTTTAGGACGAGTATATGCTTTTCAATTATACTGTGTTTGTATGCGAGGGGTTGGGTCTGAGAATTCGATGAGTACTTTTTCAATGATGTGTAATTTCCTATTGTTGGTTGTGTTGTAGCTTCCCTTCTGCCACAATGTAAAACCATACCCTATTATTTTATATAATAGATAAAATACAACAAACATTTCATGATCCACCAACAATACACACCCATGCAGGAACATAGTCACTTTTCCAGATGGCTTTAGCAAAGCTTTCTCACTGCTTCTGAAGCAGCATAAGCTGAAAGTAATTTGTTGCCAGTGCACTGGAGTTCATGAAAACAAAGCCTCTCCTTCTGGTTATTAATGTGTATATAGTCGGTTAAATGCATTCCCAGAACCCGATCACTCCACCCAAATCCTCACCCTCGTGGTGTGTTAGGTATTCATCCACTCCAACTGCCAGGAAGAAGGGTGTAGCCCAGGATTCACGGTTTCTCCACCGGGAGCCACAACAAAGAAGGAAGAACCCTCGGAAAACTCATTTGGCATAGACAGCCAGTAGAGACTTGGTTCCCACTGGACCTCTTCATCCTTCTTCTTCAGGACCTTGAGTATCTCCTCCACCACAACCTTGGACCCTTGCTCCGACAAATGGATCCCATCGCTGCACATAAATGTATGAAAAGAACTACACATCAACAACCAACAGAAAGCAACAGCAACAGCTCCGCAGTATTAATGCAACATTTGTTTAATTGCTTGCTTGCTTACACAAGGCACGCATTAGCCCAATCATCCCTTTTCCCGACCGCACTCCAAAGATTGATGGCCTCAACGTCCATTACTCCACACAGCTCTATTAAGGCTTCAGCATACGCACGGCAACCTTCATTTGTCCGGCTTTGGCTTTGGCTTTGACCATCAACAGGTTTCCTGTGTTGGTGGAAGATCAGTAAGCATCATGGACTGCAATGCAAGGTATAGCTAGCAGCTTCGATTTCAAACTCATCCAAGGATATACATATACACACCTGTATAACTCCGCTTCTTTAGCCTCATTCACAGGAGGAGAACTAAGACATATTATCCGTGTCACGTCCCCCAGGCTCTGAAAGAGGAGACAGCTGCTGTATGAGAATTCCTACTTAAATAACACCACCTCCGATATGATACAACAAATCCCAAAATTGATTGGGGTTTTCTTTAATGATAACAATGATAGCAAGCACAAAACTCTATCATGGATGGAACAAACCTTGAGATGAAGTATTATCTTTTTCATGTTTTCAACATATTCAGTGAGGGGCACATGAACTCCCGGGCCACTTGGATGCGAGTTTGTTGCGTCATTACTGCAAAAATATACGATTACCAACGAAGGCTGAACAGCTGCATCCTGCACAAAAGACACTATTAAATTATGCACAATAGCAACAAATACTATGATATAGTAGGGGCCATTTATGTTTGTTTATACATGAAAAGTGAAAACTAAAGAGGAACACAATCTCTATGCAAAACACTCAAAGGAAACACCAAATCAGAAAAAGCTTGTAATCACTGGTCCAGTAGCATGAGATGTTTTGTACATAGACAAATGAATTATATATTCAGTTTACTAGATAGTGGTAACAGTAACTTAACCTACTTAAAATCACATGCATACCTTGGGAAAAACCTGATCCAACACTTGAAGAGCCATCCTTGTGTTCCAACCAGGGTACTCTCGCAGCAATACATCGGCCTTCACAAATTTCAAAGACAAATACATGTCGATATAACTGGGAGCTATATTGGACATAATTAATGTGAACATCTTCCAGGGGCTATCAAACAGAAAACATGATCCACAGAAAATATGATTACAATAATACTATAGCTTTTACTGCGCCCAAGTGTGTGCATTTGTTGTTTCCCCGTTGTACATGTTAGCTCGGCCCAAGTACTTTCTGGGCAACGCCCGTTCCATATATGTTATGTTAGGTCTCCATTTGCAGGTCTCAGGAAACTTTTAGATTTGGGGTGAGATATAAATGAACTTACACTACCCTCGACAAAAATGAGCAATTGAATTCCCCTGTTGCATTGATGCATTACTCTTTCTGCTTAGCAGACAGGTCGGTTAGGAAGCTTGTCAAACCAACTAGTTATGAGTAAATGCTAATTGATTACAATAATACACAGTCATCTCCTGTTAAATGTATTCAGACATACATACATACAAGGAGGCTCGTCCCCCTTTCATTCTGTTTGAGCCACACTCATCTTTTTCAAGGAGGCTTGCCATGCCATGCCATGCCATGCCATTCCATTCCATTAGTAAGTAGCAGTAGGAATCCAATGTGAACTAAGTCTCTTCTCCTCATCGAGTAACGGTGTGGCATCTTTCAGACACCATTTTATCAATTCCAGAGCTAGTATATAAGTACTATTTGTTGCCATAACTTACAAGTCAAACCCAATCATCATCATCAGCAGCAGCAGCATACTAACGTAATTACTAACCATGATAATAATGATGACGATGATGCAAAGGATGCCCAAAATAACTAACAGAATAGCAAATCAAGCAAAATAATGAAGCAAAAAAAGTGCCTTGCGGATGTAGAGATCTGCAAGAGTACCGGCCCAGCTTCCAAGATTGTACCCCATCAGATCCATGGATGATCCGAACAGCACGAACTGGGGACGGCCCGGACCCACCATTTTCTCTTAAGACTCTCTCTCCCCCTCTCTCTACTGAGACTGATGTCTTGAAGTTCAAAGTGGCTGCTAAGGAGTATGTAACAGATAGCAATGGCGTCGGTAGTTGGTTGAATGGAGGAGAGGAAGATTGGGGATACAGTAGAAGATAAAGTAAATGTGTATATATATATGTATATATAAATAAATAAATGACTAGACTGGAATAGACTAAAAAACCCTAGAAAGAAATATTAGCAATTCCATTCCAACCAACGTAAGGTGAATGCGAAGGTGAAGGTTTGATTTTTCGTTAATCTGCTACAGGCAGAGTCAGAGGTTGTAATTTGTGAAAATCCAACGATCCCCGGCTCTTCCTTAAAACCAGTCAATTTCCTCAATCTTTTTAATGGACATCGCTCTTTTCTCTCCTTCTTCGCTGTTTGCCCACTCCGATGGAAGCTCATCAGGTACCCACCCTTGTTACCCAAGTTCACCCTTTAATAATATTCAGCACATACTTCTTGTGAACCGGGCAATCGAAATTCATATTATAACTTTTATTTTTTCCAGAGGATGAAGGGGTTGATGAAGCCCGTGACAGCTTCGAGGAGAGGAAACACCAGTTTCCTGGGATGGTACGTCTTTTTGCAATTCTTTTTCCCTCATTCACGCACACAGTTAGGGGCGAAGCAGTTGCCTTAACTTTATTTGTAATATTGGAGAACTGAGTAGGCGTAATGTTGTTGACTAGATGGAGGAATTGGTTAGATAAAACCTGTGATTTGGCATTTCAAGGTGAAGTTTTTTTGTCTTTTCATTGCACCTGGTTGGCAGGCAGGCATATGAACCATTGTTGAATGGGAACAAGACTCTAGATTTTTGCCTCAATAAGGTGAATGCAGTTTATTTCTCTTAGAATGTCCAACATCCTCTCCACTAATATGCTCAATACGCAAATGGTATATTATGCATAGAAGAATGAGGGGATGAATGAATGTTTTACTTGCCAAAAAATAAAGCAGCTTTTCTTTCTGAAAAGTATCATTGTTCTTTAGGACTGCAAGCATGTGATGATACCATGTCTCTGTGTGTTCAGAAAACACCATATTCTTGAAGCTAAATTATGCATGGCTGGACAAAAATGCAGGAGCTGCTTATCCGGGAATTTTCTTTCCACCAGTTGAATGCTAATTTGTTGTGGCCTGGCACATTCGCCTTTGCTGAATGGTTGGTTCAACATCGACAATGGATTGAAGGAAGGAGGGTACTGGAATTGGGCAGGTTAGTCTTTACAGTATTAATACTTCTGTTTGTCACCTCAACTAGCATGATTTTAGCTGAATTTTCGCTTTCCTACCACGGGATGATCCTTGAATGTAGTTAATAAACCATCGGTTTATAAATGAATGTTTATTGGTTTCGGTTACAATCCTCTGCATTGTTCATCTAACCAATCACCTGGAGTATGTTTAGGTAGTAAAAATATTTTCTCAGATATTTTCATGCAGTTGTATGGCTATGGAATATATTAAAGTAAACTGTCTATGTTGATGTATTATTCCTTGAAGTTAAAATATGTTATGGGGTTGGTCATCTTTCTCGTAGTTCCTCTCTGTTATGTGAGAGTCTTCTCTTGAGGGTGACTTTTAGAGGTGCAGAGTGTTAGTGGGTGCTAAATTCGCAATTCATGTCATGTTTTGGTTCCATTACTAAAGTTCTTCAAAAGAATATTGCTTGTGGTGAAGATTGTGGTGAGACTGCAATTCAACTTTGGTTTGATAATTCACAGACATGCTACCTTTTGACCTTGAGCCTTTGTCCCTTTGACTTTTTTAATCACTACGGTTCATGATCTCTGTGATCCTGCACCTACTCAGTTGTCTTCATTGACAAATCTACATTTACATTCCAAACACTAGAAAACCATTAAATATTCACTACGTGTATGGTTTTCCATGATTCGTTAGTACGTGCTATTTTGGGCTTTAGGGTTTAGAGTCCTCCCCCTCCCCGAAGATATTTGGTGAACTTGTCCCTGAAGAGAGAAGACACCACCAAATGTAGCATTGCAGACATGCTGTTCCCAGCTGATGTGCAATGGATTCCTAATATTCTGTTTGTTAGAGCAGATAACTGGTTAGGGACCCTATAATCTATATTATATGCATTTTTTTGCATTGAAGGGTTAGTTTTAGAGATACCAAAATCAATGCCTTCTAGTTTTTCTTTTTTATTTTTTTTTATTTTTTATAACGAGTTTCTGAGTTCATTGCAGTGGAACTGGAGCTTTGGCCATCTTTTTGGCCAAAACTTTTCAACTAGACATAACTACATCTGATTATGATGATGCTGAAATTGAAGAGAATATTGCTCATAATTGTGAGATAAATGGTGTTACTCCTGCCCTACCACATATAAGACGTTAGTTCCCTTGCACAGACTATTGTGTATGACGTTGATATTGACACAAAACATTGTCTCATATTTATGAAAGGTCCATATGTTTTCTCCTCTTCTGTTCATGTAGACTCCTGGGGAGATATCTTTCCAATTTCACATCCAGAGTGGGACCTAATAATAGCAAGTGATATTTTGTTATGTAAGTGCTGTGTTTCTGTTGTCTATATCATTTTAGATCGAGGGAAAATTGGTGGGGGTTTGGTTGACATATGTGTATGTCTCTTTGATGCCATACTCCCTTGATCCGTTTTGTTGCAGATGTTAAGCAGTACGGCAACCTAATAAAGTCATTGTCATTTCTTCTCAAATCTTCCAAGACTAAAGCTAGTGGGGGTAATGATGGTAACATCGCTTTGACCTCTATTGTTTTTTTTTTTTTTTGTCTAGTTTGTAGATATTAGATTCAGTCTTTGTGTTTGTGCTGCATTTGCTGGCTCAACCAGGTACTGGAGCAGCATTCTTGATGAGTTGGAGGCGTAGAATAGGGAAAGAGGAGGAGTCGATTTTCTTTAGCGGGTGTGAAGAAGCTGGGCTCCAAGTCGAGCATATTGGATCGCGTGTGTACTGTATCAGGGCAAGATGATTGGGGGAGTGAAGATGATGACACAGTTGTATTGAAATGAAGCTTGGAAAGTAGTGGATGTTGTTCTAGTGCTAAAGATGGCTGGGGTGGGGTGGCTGGCTTCCAGTGATCCTCCCCCGTCCAATCCATCCTTGGGGGTTGGAATTACTATTATTGTTTTGGGGATTTGGTAGTTCCCATTGCATGGGTTGGATTTGATTTGATTTGCAGTCATCTGAGTCCCCCTGATTTTGGGAATGACAAGGGCAATTATAGGGGTTGGTTGGTGTGTCCTTGTCATTGTCATCATGCCCACCCTCCACACACACCTAAGCCTAATTGATGAGTAGCGAGTTATATATATATATTACACCATTGTTCACCCAAAATCACCTCTCTATATCTCTCTCTCTCTCTCTCTCTCTCACCATCTGGGCTGCTCTGCTCTGCTCTGCTCTAATTTTCACTAGAGCAAGAGCAGGCGGTGCAATAGTGATTTTTTTGTAAAGTATAAACAAATGAGAGCGGGAAGGAATTTGGCGATAATAAAATATGCATGGGGAAACAAGTTATGAGTAAGAAGAGTGAGCGTATGTATGTATGTGTACTACACAAGCAAAGCAACTACCGCCACTAATATTCCTACATTCACTCATTCATTTGATGAACCCTTAACCTTAACTTCCTTGTTGGCTTGCATAAGAAAGCTATATATATATATATATATATTTGCAAATGATTGAGTCAATGAAGAATGAATCATAGAATTATGGTTTTCCTTCCAAGTTAAAGTTATAGTTACAGTTGCAGTAACAGAAGGATGCCGTCATGCGAAACAAAATCCATCCCCATCCCCATCCCCCTGGTACACAAACAAACAAATTAATAATAATAAATAAATAAACAAATAATCTTGGGCGGGCAGAGGGTCGGGCAGGGCACACGCACGCAAGCAAGCTCGCACTCGCCATCCAAGCTAATAAGCTGAGTGAGAGAGACACACAGAGGCATTTGGTGAATCTGGAGGTCGCCACGCGCCCCGTTCCTCCCCCCTACAAGTTTCAGGTACCTTCGCCTTTCCTTTTCCTCTTCCCAAACCAAATTAACAACGTCGTCAATTCTCTCTATCAATCATTTCCCCCTGCCTTTCTTTCTCCTCTTTTCATTTTTATATGCTTCAGGGTTTCTTTTCGGTTCCAGAGGTTGTTCGTGTTGTGTGAAAAAGCCGCTGGGAAAAGCAAGGAGGAGGAGGGGGAAACGATTGTAGGTGAGAATTGAATGGGAGTGAGCAGCAGCAGCAGGAGGAGAGAAGAAGAAGAAGCAGCAGAAGCAGAAGAGAGAAAGGAGGGATCGGAAGCTGATGAGGAAGTCGTTCAAGGATTCTCTTAAAGCGCTCGAAGCCGATATTCAGCACGCCAACACCCTGTCAGTTAGTTCTCTCCACTCCTATCCCTCAATTTCTTCACTTTCTTCTTCTTCTTCTTCTTCTTTTTATTTTTAATTTTCGGCACTGCGCGATCTGTATCCTCTTTCTGCACTGCGAGATTCACGGGAAATCAAAATCAGTTTTGTTTTATTAATCGAGCTGAACTCCTTAATTTCCATCCAACCAACCAAAGTAACTGGAAAAATATTTGATTTTGTTAAATGGAATGGTTATTATAGATGTCTCATACGTATATGTGGAGGATCGTTTCTAGAGAATTAATATGTACGATTGAAACAGCAGCCGAGCTGCACATGTATGTATTCACTCAAGATGCTGGAAGAATTATTTATTGGACTTGTTCAGGGGTGGTTTGTCAGAACCCTAAATCAAAGTACTGCTGTAGTAGTAGTAGTATTTATTACTAGTAGAGGATTCAGTGCCTCGTGTCAGAACTCATTCCATTTATAGCTAATAATTAAAGCATGACTGAAGGGCTTTCGGGCGGGCGCATGTTTGTCTGCTAGCTAATGTTCCCGTAGCAAATGTCTGTTGGATTTGACAGATTGTGGATCATGTCCCTTCTCCACTTTCCAAGTCTCTCAAGCCTTTTTGGACGGACATGCATATTAGTTGGAATTACTGTTTTATTGGTTCTGTTCTTTGAGGTCTCCTCTTTTTTGCGAGCTACAGGGCGTCGGATTATCCTTGGGAGTTTGACGGGGCATGCCTCCAGATGAGGCTATCGTACAGTCCTTGTGCTCATATCTTTCTTTTCCTGGTTCAATGGGCGGATTGTCACCTTGCTGGCGCATTTGGGCTGATTAGGATACTTATATACAAGGTACTCGTCTGGTTTATGTGTGCATTATATACAATCCTTTCGATTTTACTTTCTCTTGCGGTTTTGCTTGTAATTATAGGCTTACAAGGATGGTAAGACGACCATGTCTATTTATGAAAGAAAAGCGAGTTTAAGGGAGTTCTATGGTGAGTTTTTTTATTCATTTGCAGTCACAAACAGACACTAATTCCACTTGGTTGTGTTAAGGGAGTTGTTTTTGGGTTGCTTACACAAGTTATGTGCGTGCATATGATATGGGCAGGGGTGATATTCCCTTCGTTGCTGCAACTTCATAAAGGAATCACAGATATTGAAGAGCGGAAACAGAGAGAAATCTGCGCAGCAAAGTACAGTAGAAGGGATGAGATGGTTAAGGGGAAGCTGTCTGAAATCGAAATAGAGAGGGAGGAAGAATGTGGGATCTGCATGGAGATGGATACCAAAGTTGTCCTCCCCACCTGCACCCACTCCTTGTGTATCAAGTGCTATAGAAACTGGTGAGTGGATGGTGCTGCTTAACATGAACACGAACTTGAACTTGGTCACAAAAACTTAATAGATAATTCAAATCTTGAATTCAACCCTGCTGATTCCTTGATTTGGCTATGATTGTGAATAGCACAAGGCTAAATGTGTTGATTGTTGTTTTTCAGTGTCAAGATGGTTGTATTCCAGTATATCTTCCCATTTGATGAGAGGATAGGATATGATATGATATGATATACTTGGTTGTTCCCACTTGCAACAGGCGAACTCGATCGGAGTCTTGCCCATTCTGCAGGGACAGCCTAAAAAGGGTGAATTCTGGGGAGCTCTGGATCTACACCAGCAATTGTGATGTAGTTGATCTATCTGCCATTGCACGGGAGAATCTGAAGAGGCTATTCGTGTACATCGACAAGCTGCCACTCGTTGTCCCAGCTGATCCAATGGTGGTATCCTATTGGTGAACAGATGACACTATAATTTTTCTTTTTTCTTTGTGTATATAGAATAATTGACTTTAGTGTTGTGTACATGCATTGGATTGGATTTGGCTACGGTTTGGTCTGTAAATGTTTTCGATCTCAACTGCATTCATTCATAAATTGTGAATACTCACTCAACAAGTTGTCTTGCTCTGTGGTGTTTTGTTTGCTTGGGGGACTGAATATTGACAATAATTGCATCTCACTTTAAACCCTAATTAATCTTGATTCTCTATGGATATATAGTAATGATGATTATGATTATTATCATTAGCGATCATATGCTGAATTTAATCTCAGCCCTTAATTTTAATTTTAAAATTTAATTTAAAGATGATCAATTTAAAATTAAAAGCTGTGATATATTTCAGCGTATGCTGATTTGTAAAATGACAGTGATTATTATGATTATTAGCCAAACAAAGATGATGATTAGTTCGGTCATAAATCACAACGACATATTAATTCTACCCTTGATTACAATTCTCAACCTCCTGAGCCTGAGCCTGAACCTGAACCTGAACCTGATCAGCCTAATAAATCCCAATCCCAGTCTCAGTACCACCAAATGGCACTTCCAAAAACCGAGTCTTGGCAATCTCCTGTAAGACTTGGTCCTCCTCATCACTTTCTGCCTGCCTGATCCCTTCCTCCTCCTATCCCTTCTGCTTCTCCTGCTGTGCTGCTGCAGCTCTTCTTTCTTATGAGAACGTCTGCTGCTGCTGCCTCCCTGAGAAGCACCTGCACCTGCTCCAATTTGCTTCACCTCCTTCCATGGGTCATCATGGATTACAGCACCTTCATCTGAGTCGCTGCCCCAGAGAAGTATAGGCTTAACAAGTGGCGAGCCGCTGTAATCCTCCAAGTAATCGCCCAAGCTGGTGTGCTCCATGTCAAATAGCCTTCCCAACGACGCGCTGCCTTCTCTCATCAGCCCCACCAAACTGCTGCTTTTCCTGGGGCTGGGAGAATCCGTCCATGTCGATGAACCTGAAGGAGGAGCTGCCGCTGCCGAGGAAAAGGAGGAGGAAGAAGAAGAAGAAGAAGAAGCGGATGAAGAAGTCGAAGATGAAAGATAGTAGAGGGACTTCTGGTGTTGTATAATCTGCCTTATCCTCATTTTCTGTGTCTCCTTGTCATCATCAACACCTTCCTCCTCTGTGATCTCAGAAGCCATTCATTCCAAGACTGGAATCCGGATGGGAAGAAGACTATTATTTTTACACAGGGATGCACAAACAAAGAGAAACAAGACACTACATGAACCGGAAAAGCCGGCAATAGAAGAAAAGAGATACCAGTACAAAACATCTCTCTCTCTCTCTCTCTCTAATCTATGTGATGTGATCTTTTCCGAGTCGATGATGACAATGCTTGCGGCTGGCAACCTGCAATTTGGCTTTAATTTAATACGACGCCGTTAATTAAAATAATAGTAAAAACAATCCAGTTGTGGTGTCACTTCACATGGCATTTGGCGACTCCATCTTCACCGAAAACGATAAACAATATAATGAAATTAGAACAGGACATCCACAAAGATCCTTCCTTCCTTCTCTGGAATCCAAACTACCTTACCTTAAAAAGACTTAGGTATGATGTGATGATACAGATACAGACATCCACAAAGATCCTTTCTTCGCTTCACTGTTAGTATTTTATTCTCGTACATGCTAGGCAATAGGCTAGGCTAGGCTAGCTAAAAAACCAAATATAGAAGAAAGAAGAGAAATGGGGGCTGTGGTTCGAAACTGGGTCAGATCGGATCGGATCAGATCAGATCAGATCAGGGGCATTATTTTTATTATTATTACTATTATGTACAAACACTAAACAAAAACCAGGATTATGACTATGAATCCTTTGATTCTTAATCTCACATACAGTCTGTATTTGTTGAATAGCTGCTGCCGATCATTCTTTGGAGGGCCCGGCCCGGCCCACTTGTTTGTTGTGGAAAAGATCTCCATCTCCACCAGTAATTCCACTCTTAGTCAAAAGTTCAATTATAGTAGTAGTGCAGTGAGTGTTGGGTTCGCCTGAAAAAAGCCACTGCGCCTCATGTGGTGATTTGAGTGAAATGGAATGTTCCTTTGACGGGGAGGGGAGGGGATATATTTCCTGTCACTGTCAGAGGGGGGCAAGGGATTTCTTCCTAGCAGGAGCTGGAGATGGAATTGGATCTCTGCAACTGCAGGAGGGAAGAAGAGGAGGAGGAGGAGGAGTTCAAGAACTCGATGCAATCTTCAATGGCTTCAGCCCTCTGAGAGTCGAGGCGGGCGGGGGTCTCCGCGTACGACTGCGACCTGACCAAGCTCGCAGAAGAGACTTTCCGGGAGCATCTTCTCCTTGGACTGGGACTGGGGCTGTGGCCCGTGGTCAAGGGTGGGAGAGCTCCCTTCACCTTCCGGAACAAACTCGCCGGCGAGAAACTCGAGCGTCTAGGGATTTTAAAAATCCAAACTTTGAGCACCGACGATGATCTCTCCGCCTTGTGTTCTCCAATTTTGTCGGCATCATCAGCGCCGACGCCGCGGTGCTTGGCGTATATGGCCTCGGGGCTGAAACCAACCATTCGCCTGCTGCTCATTCTAGCTACCTTCTTCGCTTCTTTTCTCTTCTCTGCTCTCTTCTGTGAAAGCAACACCTTCCTTCCTTCAGATTCCTTAATTCCTTTCCTTCCTGTGTGAAACTGAGTGAGAGAGAGTATATATATATACGTAGTAGTATATATGTGTGTGCAGACAGTATCGACTATAGAGTCAGTCTGGAGGGAGAGAGAGAGAGAGAATATTATCGGGAAAAGAGGCAGGCAGGCAGGCAGGCGGTTGGTATGGTGGCATTATTGTTGTTGGTATTTATTGGAAAAAGAGTTGAGAAAGAGTGAGTGGTTCTTGGGAGGGTCCGACTCCGTAGACCACCAACCCCACCACCACCATTGAAGGGCTTGGCTCCACTTCAGTCCTCTCCTCTGGGTCAGGGTGACCACTGAGAGTGAGGGGAAGAAAGATCGATGGCTACGCTACGGGTCCTAGGTAGGTTAAGGAATTAAAAACAAGGCACGAGGCGAGGAGAGGTTTCTTAGTGATTACATCACATGGCTCGCAATGGCAATGGAGATTCTGGTTCAGGTTCAGGTTCAGGTTCGGGTAAGAAGAAAAGCTTCCTAATCAATAGAACCATCCATTCATTCACTGATTGGGAAAATGATTAAGGTAAGGTTGCAGTACAAGTTACAACTTTTTTATACATACACCGTACCATACCTCAACAACTGCTACTACTACTAGTTTAATTGGTTTGTTTGCTTTTTGGTTTTCTTACCAAACTGTTTATTTATTAACCGATCGATACTCAACGTAAATGACAAAGTACAGCAAAAGGAGAGACCCATATACTATAACATATCACGTCATCACCATCGTCATCGTCATCGTCCATGGCTGGTCAGTCTTAGTCTTAGTCTTACAGAAAAAGGGGTGGTGGAAGGAATGAATTTGTTGGGTCAAAAAGAAAGAAAAAAAGATAGAGATAGATGGATAGATGGATTTTAGAATGGCTCTCTCTCTTTCTTACTAACTGTGCTCGCTCTTTTCTTTTCTTTTTTTTCAATTTTCATTTTATTTTTTCACAAAAGAAAAGTGAGATGGCCATGATGGAGGGAGTGGCAGATAATTAAAGATTCTTGCTTGAATGCTTGGTAGCCCAATGCAATTCCACCTGCACTTGCAGATACACAAATACATTATACACCTCCTTTAATTAATTAATTATATTCCGTGGAACTAATGATTGATGATTGTATTTGGATGCTCTTTGTTCTTGCTGATCACTCTCCCCCCAGCCCAGGGGATTCATCTTCTTGCTTGCTTGGGCAGAAAAGAGATAAACCAACCCCCATTCATCAAACTCTTGTCTCCTCTTCCATGGTTAATGCAATGCACCCCACACGTACTTTTTATTTTTATTTATTTTGAACCTTTTTATGCAACTTTAACCTTTCACCACCACCACCACCACCACCACCTCTTTGTGTTATGTTGTGTTGTTCTTCAATTCTCTTTAAATCTGTCTGCACTGCAGGGCGGTCCCCATTACTCCCAATGGTCCCTTAGTATATATATATATATAACCCCACCTTTATTGAAAGAGACTTGTGCTGTTGGTACCTCTGCTTGCTTGCTGGCTACTGGAAATGGCAAGATGAGAATAGAGATGCCATGCCATGCCTTGCCTTGCCAGCTGCTTCCTTGCCTCACCTTACTGCACTGCATCTCTGTCTGTCTGCCGGTGGTCGGTCCCTGGAAAGCATTGCTTTGCTCCTATCGTTTGGCTGGCTGATATGATATTGATAGAAGCCAATCATCCGATCATGCATGCCTACTCTTTCTGCTGCTGCTACTACTAATACTAGTACAAGTGTTTGTCCCTGGTTTATTGATTCTACGTACTCTTCTCATTCTTGAAGTAACAGTTGTTGTTAGTATACTTGTTAGTATCATCAATTAATTTGTTTCTTCAGGGTAACCCTTACTGCCCAACCTGAGAACGCGTTCCACTTATAGATATGATATGCCTCCGGAACAAAAAGGAAATTAGGAAGGATGGTTTGGTTATGATCATCGTCAACATGAATTTGCTTGCTTAATTATTAGTAGTATATTATTATGCTACTACATACAATTCAATGTTCCTTAGAGCTGCTGATCCCGGGCCATGTATTTTGGTTTGAACCAGCCAGACCTCATTGCAAGAAGATATGGAAGCTAGACAGACAGACTTGTCAAAACCAAGCCTGTCTGCCTTGAGCATGCAAACCATCACCAAGTTAAGTAATAACATAACATACCATACCATAACAGCAGTTTTGATTGAAGATCGACCCACCCAAAGAAACACAATCACATACATTTACAACACCAATATAATGCATACTAATAAAAATAATTAATTATTGACCTCCAACTTGAGCAAAACTTCCAATCTTCTTCACTCAAGAAACAAATCGCCCATCTCATCATGTTGTTAAACAAATGCATTCAATGTATGTATGTATGTATGCATGTGGGTTGGTAACTTAATAATAATATCCTCCTTGTTTGCCTTGCCTTGCTTTCTTCAACTCGATCCACCCACCCACCCACCCATCCATGCTTTAATTTTCAACACTCAATCACTATATATGTTTCTCTTCAACCCAAAAAGAAATCAAGAATTTCAGCATCGATCAATCAATGGAATTCAACATTTTGGCAAATCCTTAGGAGGTGGCAAAAGTGATTCATTGGGGCCCTTTCCATTCTCCACCAAGAAGGCCATCTTCAACCCCCAGGTTGTGTGTATTTCCAGATGGCAGTGCATAAACCAGACCCCTGCCACCACCCCCCAAACTTAAGTTAAGTAGTTTATTATCATAATCAAATAGATAGACAGATGGATAAGTCTCAAGTGATGAAATGGAGGGGGTATTGATCGATTGATTGATGAACTAATTACCTGGATTATCAGCTTGGAATCGTATGGCCACCCACCCCCCGGAGGGCACTCCAACCGTGTTCCTCTCCACGGGATCCACAAGGTTGAAGCTCTTGGGGTCCTTCTTGGGATTGAAGTTGCCCACCCCCCTGCCTACCACGAAGAAGTTGAACCCGTGGAGGTGGACCGGGTGGTTCTCCGGGGCAATCAGCCCCGTGTCCTGCAGCACCAGCTGCACCCTCGCGTTGTATGCCAGCCTGTAAAGCCTTGTCCCCTTGCTCGTCCCCGGATTCATCGCCGCCACCGCCGCGCTGTCCGTGTAGTTGAAAGGCGCCGGAGGGTTCGCCGGAAAGTCGGTGGTGAAGACTCCCTTCACCTTGAAGTAGTGCGCCTGGAGGAGGGCAAAGGTGGGCATCACGAAGGTGACGTTGTTGATGTCCGCCACCACGCGGCTCCCGTTGCCGGCCTTGCAGGTCGGGCAGGGGTTCACGCCCAGCCCGATGGTGAAGAAGAGCGAGTGGTCCACCGTGCGGGGGACTCTCGCCGGGTACTCCTCGGAGTTGAGACTCCTCAGGGCGGCGGTGAAGGCGTTGGCGATGGGGGTCGCGTTCCGTGGGGGCGCCCAGGTGAAGGTCGTGCGGGCGGAGGAGAGCGTGCCGGTGTAGCGCAGCATGGCCGTGGCGGTGACGTTGTCGACGGCCACCACGGGGGTGTCCATGAAGGGGGAGGCGGCCACCATGTACTTGCCGGCGCGCTTGTCCGCCGTTAGGACGGCGGTGGTGGTCTGGCCCGGGGCGATGACGATGGTGTCGGTCTTGAAGGGCTTGACGTAGGTGGCGTCCACTTCCACCACGGTCAGCTTGTGGCCGGCGATCTTGAAGAAGAGCTCCTCGTTCAGCGCCGCGTTGATGACGCGGAGCAGGTACGACTTCCCCGGCGCCACGCTCAGCGTGTACCCTGCAATCAATCAATCGATTAGTTCAATTGAGTCGAAAATAGGATGAATTTATTTATTTATTCATTTCAGAGAGAGGGATAGAGAGAGAGGGGGGACCGGAGGAGGAAGAAGAAGGGCAAGCAGGGGAAGGGCCGGGGTGGCCGTTGATGGTGTGGGCGTCGGAGACGTTGGGGGCGAGGCCGGACTTGAGGGCCTCGTTGATGACGGCCTCGGTGTCGGACTTCCACCACTCGCCGAGGATGAGGACGCGCTCGTGGTGGGGCTTGGGGAAGGGGTAAGGGACGCCGAGCTTGGGGAGGACGACGAGGGCGCCGTGGACGGTGGCGCGCAGCCAGAGGATGTGGGCGTGCCAGAAGAGGGTGCCGCGCTGGCCGGAGACGGTGAAGTTGTAGACGTAGCTCTGGCCCGGGGGGATGGGGCACTGCGTGATGTAGGCGGGGCCGTCCGCCCAGCCGGTCCGGATCTGGCGGATGCCGTGCCAGTGGATGGAGAGGTTGTAGCCGACGTGGTTGGCGACCTTGATGAGCACTGTGTCGCCCTCCCTGGCGTAGACGGTGGGCCCTGGGTATTTCCCGTTCACGCTCACGATCGGTTTTGTGGAGCACAGCCTCGTGTAGTTTTTCATAACCACCTGCACATGTTCATCATCATTATTATTATTATAAGTACTACATTAGATCATCATCGTCATCATTGAAATTATTATTATTATAATGAAATACTGCATGCAATACACAAACCATAAATTAAACATGCATGGCAATGGGATATATGTATGTATGTATGTATGTATATATAAATATGGAGTATATAATTAGGCCATCTAACTTAACTAAAGCGCTATTTTTAATCCAATTAATTAAGTAATGGTATACACGCAGACGCAGACGCAGACGCAGTTCAGCTTTGATGTCAACATCGGAATTAGCAGTTGCCAGCCAATGTTTTGCCATTGTTAATATCAAGCAAGCATTCTTTTCATCAAATACTATTATCTTAATAATTTGTGAACACATCACTCACTACCTAATTCAAACCTCAATATTTATACAAATGAACCGTATATATGTATGTATGTAAATGCATATGAAATTCGATCAGCATGGAAGAAAATGCAGGATTATGAATGAACAAATTAGCTAGCAGAAGACGGGCAACTAAATTGAAATTCCAGAAGTATGCAACTTTAGTTCGTTTGCTAAACATAAATGCATAATGAAATGATGAAATCGATTATGTAGATGGTACAGATAAAGAGAGAGAGCTGCAGGATAGGATAGGATAGAATATATTGCAATGAAACGAAATGAAAGGAAGAAATTGAAGAAATGAGCGAGTACGTACGTTGAACTTGTAATGTCGAATTCGGGATTGGACGAGAAGAGGAGAGCAGCATAGGAGAAGCAGAAGAAACAGGAAGAGGATATTGGAGACCCTGCTGGTGGTGCACGAATTAAAATCCATTACAGCTGCAGGCCGAGGGGAGTCCACCTGCCCGCCCCTAGCTACCTCTTCCAAGTATACTTAATTGTACACTCTCTTTTCTATGTATGTATGTATGTGTATATATATGTGATGAGATATGCAGCATCTGCATCTGCATCTGTGGGTGTAGCCGGTCGTCTGCTGTCACGACGTCGTTTTTCTCCCGTTAGGTGAAACCGTACACCCTTCAACCTTAAGCCTCTCTCCCTCCCTTTTGTTTTTTTTTTTTTTAATTATTCCTATTCCTATATATTTAATCACTTCATTAAATAATGGAGTAGAGTACTACTATATTCATCACCTTTCTATTTCTATTCTCTCATCATCAATTGCATTCTTGTTTACATTAACATATATAATTATTATTATTATTATTATTATTATTGCAAAACCTATAGCAAGCATCACACGGATTGGTCAAATTGTGATGATTGTAATAAGCATTATAACTAACTAATTCGGAATATAACAGCAGAGTTGAGTTGAATTGAATTGAACCCAACCTAATTCAGATGACCAAATTAGGTGTTAATGATATATTTATTTAATTCCATGAAGCCAGCGGGCTAATTAAACAGTGGGGGGTAACATATGTATAGTAATACTCTCATTGTTGTAGCATAAAATAACATAAATTAAAAAATGAAAAGATTAGTAATAGTAATAAGAAAGGTAAGTAATCAGAGAGGAAGGATAGATGTTGGAGGAGGGCTTTCACGTACACAAGAATTCATGATTCTGAAAAGAAATGCTCTGCTGCCACGTACACACACACACTTACATGGATCAGTCGGACGACTAGTAGTCTTAGCTTGTTTGAAAGCTAAGATTAATTTTACAGCACCATATGTTGCTGGTTGCTTTTCAGATACATCCATCCATCCATCCAATAAACAAATTTAATTAATTAATTAATTAATTAAATGAGATAGGAGGATATCATCTAATTTGGAATCAGTCTTTATCGTTATGATGACTACATGCTGCCTGCCCTGCCCTGCTACCATTATATTCATCTACTCTTTCTTCCTCTCTAATTCTAATATATAGCTAGTGTCAATTTGCCATTGATTAATTTCATAATTAAATTAATTTTTTTGTGGGATGTTTAACCGAAGCCGCAAGAGGGTGCATGGTGGGATCGATTGTGGTTTTTTAGGGTTAGGTGGATGGGGTGTGCATGTTTGTGTGCTGGATTTGTGAATTCACGATTGGTGTAACCAAAATCTACTTTTGTAGTTGAAATTTTATCCCAACTTCCACCAAAAAGAGAATAATGGATACGCATATAGGAATTATGAATCAATCAACTCCCTCTCTTGTCTTGTCTTGTGTTGTGTTATGTGAGTGGGTGTAATCAAGAAAAGACCAGTTGAATTTTGAGCATTGAAAACTGATGAAGTGAAGGGAGAGGAATGATGAAGATAGATAGATAGATGATATGGTGTATATATATATATATATTCTGGACCTGGACCCAACAAGGAATCCAGGGGTGGGTGGTTTTGATTCCAGGCCCAGTTCTTTACTAAATAAGTAGCCCTCTCCCCAGGATCGGATCTGATGTAATAATACATTACTCAATTGTTTTTGTGAAGCACAGGCAGAGACACAGACACAGACATGGACAGACACACACATACATACGCTCACACACTAACTAAAATAGAATTGTCTGTATTGAGGCAATCAAGTGCACGACCTTTTTGACAAAAGAGGCCCCCTAAAAAGAACACCAAGATAATGAATGAATGAATGAATTGCCTCCCCCTCGACTCAATTATGACCTTTCATTATTATTATTATTATTCATTCCATATCTAAAATGCACTAGCAGTATTTAATATAGCGCCAACCAATAAGCTGCTTTTTAGCTAGCAGAGCAGCTACCTTGACTTGGGGTTGCCATTGGAATTGCCAGTTCATGCAACACTCAAATTTTCATCATACCAATTAATCCAATCCAATCCAATCCAAATGCTGCTCTTTAGCTATAGGCTTTGGATTCTGAATCTTTGGCTGTATGTATGTATGATTTGGACTGTAACTATAAACTGCTCCTACTACTTCATCTTGTACTTCTCCTCTACCTGCAACAGATATGGATTTATAAGGCAGGGCTGCTGGATTTCATTTGGCCAACAAGATGAAGATGGTGCTTCCAAATCCAATATGACATTACTCAACTCTATTTATTAATAATATTGTTGTTGTTGTTCTTATTCCAAAGTCAATACTGGGAAGAGAATAATATCCCTCTCACATAATGTTGAAATGGGGGTGGGGTATCACTATCGTTTTCTTCTTCTATCTTATGTTTGCTACTACTACACACTAGCTAGGTATACCAGGTATTTCAGACATCATCGCAATCTAGATGGCCTCCAAATCAATCTAATCTGGTTGTGGATGGAGATGCCAGCCCAACAAATAACAAGTTCCTTTTCCAATGCTAACAATCTTTACACTGCTTCAACAGCTCCACCGCTGCATGAATCCAGCTTCCTCTTCCTGCACCACCCAAACATACAGAATAATGACAAGTCTCATCCCATCACATGGGGAAGAACAAATTCGATTAAGGCGCTGCAAAAATTAGACATAAGAATTCAGGCATGTGTGCGCACAAGCAGAACATTATAAAAAAAAAAAAAAGGAAAAAAAGTGCACTTTGAACCATGCTGCTGCATCATCAGTTCAAGAGACAAATCTGTCCACTTTGATACATATATTAGTATAGATATGTCTGTATAGATTCATAGACCACATTATTGCGTCCCCTTTTCCTGGTGGATGATCCACTTTGCTTTGTTTCAATGATAAGGACTCAAGACAATGATACTACTCCGACAAAGACTAGAGTTACAATCATTGCTGATCAGCACACAACAACCAAATTCATTTTCCATAGCCAAACCCAGCTACACCCTCAAACAAGTTTTCCAACTTTTATGCAAATTAAGAGAAAGAAAGAAAGAAAGAAACCATAGTAAATTTAGCCCCTCCTCCTGTGCATTGAAATTAACTCATGAATGCATTCGTCTATACTAGGAACTGTATCTCACGTCCCTCGTCGAATCACAAAAAGCAGATACACACACACTCAACACAAAAGCAGACAGCTTAAAAGGGATGAGATGTCAAATGTCAATAATCAGCAACAAATTTTAACTGCATGGGCAATCATGCAATTACAATAGATAGATAGATAGATCGATAGCGACACACACAGCACATTATTCAAGCGCAATTCATGAGTAATGAACAATAAAATGCTTCACAAAACAATCATCAATCAATATGAAGCAGAAGTGGAATAGTAACAAAAGGAATCTACAAAGGCCATGACGAAGGAGGAGGCGGCGCCATGTTTGGCAACCATAAATTGTTTGGATTGAGATGAAAAGCTCTTACCATAAAAACAAATTGCGCCCGCCATAATGGAATCAGAGACAAAGATACCTCGTTTGTCGTTATTGTAATAATCATAACGGTATCCTGATCAAAACATTTAAGGCAATGCAATCGAACTAGATCTAGTCGGCAGATAAGATTACACGAAAACATGCAGCAAGCATTAATTCAATAAATAAAGGGCAAGTAAAGGACCTTGAATCTCAATATAGCCTCAGCACACTCCTTGCAATTGATTGGGAATTATTGGACTTGATTTTATTGTTCAATCCTCCTCTTCGGCTCCCCCTCAATGGTGCCAGGTACAAACGCAGAAGACCATTATCGACATGGTTGGGTGAAAATCTTGCACTCCTATTCTTCTCCAACACAAAACCATCCTTGCTCTTCTTTCCATGCCCATTAACGTCAACTCCTGCTTTCCTCATGCTCCCAAATGATCCTCCAATGTGATTGGAATTTCTCCAACTCACACTGCTATTGCTCCGAAACATATTCATATGGAATCCACTCCTCACATCTCCATTTACTTCCTTCCTCGAGTCCTGCCACGATGCGGAGTATGACCTAGTCACTCCATTTGCTTTATTGTGTTTGTCCTCTTCATTGTCCTTACTCCCACTGTTGCGCCGCTGCATAAAACCCCATAGTTTCCAACTCCATTTCTTAGACTTTCTGGGCTCCTTCTCTCCATTCCCTACTGCAGAGTTGCTTCTATCCTTATATCCATTATCCAACTCGAAAGTCTCGGAACCACCGTCCTTCTCTCTTTCCCCTGCCATCACTCTCGATCCCTGAAAAGGATCTGCAGCTGCAGGTGACACCTTCGCATTAGAAGCTGTCTTTGTTTCATCAATCTCGGCCACTACAGCAGCTGCGGTCTTCCTAATTGAACTAGACCTATCAAGACTCTTCCTCCTCCTAGAAGGATCGGAGTAATAGTCCCTAGTCTGTGCCGTCCCACCGGGCTCACCATCCACCTCATTAGCACAGTTCAGAAGTGGCTCCTCCACTGGAATTTGCATATCAGGGCGCGAGACCTGCGCAGCTGGGGCATCCTCCATGACAGAAACCATAGGCGCCATTCTCGGAAAGCTTTTCCCAATCAAATGACCATCCCAAGATGCTCGAGGTTCATCCAGCGAATAGCGAGGATCGTCAAAGCTGATTCTTGCAGCATCAAGTGAAAACCTGGCAGCATCAAGAGAAAACCTGGGATCGGTATCGCAGGACCTTCTCCCAAAACCATAGTCGGCAACCTCCGATTGTGTCTCCCTGTACTGACTAGAGATGGGCTTCTCCACAGGCAATGTAGACGTAGCATATCCGTTGCCATTGTTCTCCTTCTTCACCTTCTGTTTGCGCCTCCATTGGTGCCATTTCTTGCTGAAAACAGATGCGGCAGCCCAAAGCCCCCCGCCACTGCTCTTCTTCTCCTGCGCGTCGATGTCGATGTGGTCCTTCATTGGCTTCAAACTAGGGGCATCACCCACCACTTGCTCCTCCACAATAGCGTCACTATTCGCCGCGGATTTCTCCAAATTTCTCAAACTCTCCAAATGAGAATCCCTAACGGGCCTTATCTCGTCGCCGTTGCTGTCACTGTTATCATCGTACACAACGCCACCCTCCCCCACATTCTCACTCTCTCTAAAACCCTCGTTCTTCTCCGCTTCCTCGACAACAATTTCGCCAACTGCGGAAGGCTCAATCTTTTTTATATTGGGATGGTTTTGGTGAGAGGAGGAAGGGGCGGGGACGGAGAGGAAAATGGAGGAAGGTATGTTACAACTGGCACCGCTCTTGTTCTCGTTGTCGAGTGTAAAGAGAGATGAGAGAGTACTCCTCCCCCGGACATCGCAGGATTTTCTCTGCGGCTCAAACGATGGGCCTAAAGCCTCGTTTTTCGAGGCGGAAAATGATTTGGTGCGACGGAGTTGGGGGAAAAACGAAGACGAAGCTGGCTTTGAGGCCTTGGGAAGCGGTGGCGGAGGGGGAGGAGGAGGGGGAGCGTTGCTGTTGGACTTGGAGGTGGAGGTGAAGAAGGATTTGATGGCGGCGGCAGCGGCGGCCGAAGCGGAGGAAGGGCGGCGAGAGGAGGAAGGAGTGTTGGCAGATGACTGATCCAGCGTGGTGAGACGCTCGCAGAGACAGGCCGGGCAGAAGCCGGTGAACTGCTCGTCCGGGTGGCGGTCGCAGCTGAAGGAAGATCTCGGCGGCTGCAGCGGCGGAGGCGGCGCCGTCGGGTCTGCAGAAACGGGATTCATAACAAACAAGGAGGACCTTGGGATGGGATGGGAGAGGAGCGGAGCGGAGAAAAACACAAAGTCCAGTAACTTCCGGTGCGTCGGTTTTTTGTCTGGTGTTACGCCGGAAAGTGCAGCATTGCAATCAAGGCGGGCGAGGAGGGAGGCATTTGCCGGTGCAAATCGAGGTGTGAAACGGAGAGAAGAATAAAATAAAAAAAATAAAAAAAAAACAAATGGTTTTGCTTCACCGCTTTAAATTCTGGCTTCAGCTTTTCCGTTGCGTTGCTTTGCTTTGCTTTGCTCTCCGCTTCTCTACACTGGCTTTATTTATTAGAATTAGTATTATTTTATTATCGTACAGGGTGACTGTGGGATGTGCGGTGGAGTCGAAATTACCGTTGTGCCCCTCCGTCGGAACACGTGTCACCCCTGACTTCCGCCGTGCCCACATTTATTGCTAATTATATTCACCCGATTTTGCTGATATTCATACAAGTATTACTTAGTATTACCACCACATTATATTAGTATTGTAATAATAATAATAATAGGAATAATGTCTTGGTACGTAAGCGAATGCAATAATCTGGATTCTGCAATTGATCTGCAGCAGTGTGGGTGTGGGTGGGAGATATGATTTCAGTTATTAATGAAAGTGGGGGGAGGCGGAGGCGGGTATTAGTTGGATGGCGATGATACCTCTTCTTCCTTGTAATTTATTGGCTAGATTTCTTGTGTGTGTAAATTAAGCAATTAATTACGCGAGACATTAGAGACATGAACCGGGCCTGCCTTGCATTCTCACATCTCTTTCTCTTCTCTGCTTTACTGATTCCCTCCCTATGCCTTTTGCCTCTTTCTTTTCATTTTCTAGTTTATCTTATTTTTACTCTTATATTCATGTCTTGTTTTTATAATTTGCACACACTCGCACTCGCACTCGCACTCGCACTCACACTCACACTCGCACTCGCACTCGCACTCGCACTCGCACTATGTGTGTGTTATGTTTTATAAAAATAATGTAGACTTACTTGGTGCATACAATTTTATTATTCATACTTGTTGTTATATAAAGTGTGCTCATGCTAGCTATATTGATATACCTACCTACATGCATACAATTTTACTAGAGGATTAAACAACATAGTTAAACTATATATTTACCACTAACAAGTCATCATCAAATAGACTCGTTTATACTAACATCTTACGACCCTCCAAATTCAAACCATTTAAATTTATACGCAATATTAAATATTAATTGGAGTTAATAGTTCCTTCTTCTTTTTTCTTGTTTTTTTATTTTCTGATTCATTTTGATAAATTCGTGTTGAATGGCCATGTTTAGTATAATAGATCATGCAATAATCACAAATGGCTATTTCAATTGAATAGTATTTATAATAATTTAGATAGATATACAGTCTCAACTTTTTCTTATTGTAATGACAAAAATATAGTATTTTTATTTAACATTGCCACTTAATTATAATTATTGGCAAGAAAAGGCAAATGCAACATTTTTGTATCATGTAATAAAAAAAGAAAAAGAAAAGAGAAATGAATTATTGAATTTAGATTTGTGATTTGAAATAATATGTATGTATAAATGAAAACGGAGATTTGCTAATTAATAATTAATAATCCAGTTAAGTTGTTTATTACTAATTAGAGTATAAAAGTTGGTTAATGAATGAGTCGAATTAATTAAATACTACTCCAGTATGATAATTTATTAGTGTGATTTGGCTGGCTGGTTGACCCTTGCCTTGCCTTGCCTGCCTACATACGTACGCTTATTTAATTAATACTAGTATTATATTTATTCATTTATTTATTAACCCATGCGTTTGTGGGCCCACACTAGAAACAATAAAAAATCGATTTAATTATGTATACAGTGTTACAGTAGAATTGTATTAGTATAATATTAAAGAATATTACATTGAATTAAATAGTTAGGCGTCCGTACTCTTATTACAGACACACACACACACACGGGCGCAGTCAGAATTACTACTACTAATTGTTGCATCATCGTTGGTGCGTACGTATGTATTAGTTTTTATTATTAATTAATTAATTAAAGATACATATAAAATACACGTGTTTATTCATTATTATGCATTTGGTGATGCCTTGAAATTGAATGCCAACCATTTTTTCCAAATAAATAGCAAATTGGCTGTCTGTCATGTCTCTATAAAAGGCCCGTCTTCTTATTCTAAAATTATTATTGTGGAGTTTATTTGTTTTGTACATGAGTCATCGTATAATGGTTTGAAAAATATATATAATAATCATAATGAATTGATATTGAAATAAAAATTTACATATAAGGTTTTTTTTATATATATATTACATTTAAAATACAAAATAAATATATATATTCATTAAAAAATAAATAATAGAGTGGTGGATTTGAATAAAAAGCTGATATGTAAAGTAGCAAATCCAACAATGATGGGCCCACTTTCTCATAATTGTTAACTAGTGAGCCCATTAAATTCTAATTAGTTTCTTAAAGAACATGTTTGCTTTACTATTTTTTTAGGAAAAATAAATCTTAGATTAATCAAATAAAAAAACAAATCTTAGATGATGATTATTATTATTATTATTATTTTACCTGGCAAATAATGAAAGAATATTTGAAAGAAACAAATAATAATAAAATTAAATTAAATTAATTAAATAATGAAAAGGGATGTCGATGACAAAGTATATTTGATATTTGTCGTTCTGGTGTTGGATAAATATAGTTGTTTATATTTTGGGACAAAAAATATTCTGGGTTGTAGTCTATGAGGGGTCCCAACTCCAACCTTGTGAAATTTTCTTCTGTTTTTCATTATTTGTTCCCGTTACACCCTACAAATCCGTATATATATTATTTATATTTTGAAATTAAAAACTTGGTATATGTTTGTATGCATAGTGACATTTAATTGAATTCAATGAAATGAGAAATAATAATTGATAAAAGAGGGGTGGGAAGGCGTGCGCTATATGAATTATAATGGGTCCACCAAAGAATAATAATAAGATAAAAAATTAACCAGACTGTGTGTATACCCATTTATATGATATTAATAATATATAATCTATATATATTAAATTATAGAGCAAACAAATAATAATGATGCATGCTTGTCTCTTATTTGTCATTATTATTGTTACTCTTTTATATCAACCTACATACTCTTTCTCTCTCTTGTTTAATTCTTGTAATCACTCACATTTAAAGAATAGAAAAAAGAAAAGGAAGGTAGAAGATTATTTTAGAGGGTGGTAGAAAATGCATCACATGTCAAATTAAATTTCTGAGTTTTGAGCAGTAGTACTAATAGTTAGTTAGAGAGAGAGAGATAAATGGTGATTGACTGACTGTTACTCTCAAAAGCCAATAATAATAATAATAATAAGCAAAGAGATGGAACCAACTATGCTCTTTCCTTACCTACTTTTTCCCTTTTTTGTTTTTCTTTTTTTACTTGGAACTATTACATTGAGTTGATGAGTGAGTAATGTGGATAGATAAAAAGAACGAAGAACTCTTGATGGTTAGGGATAATTGATTTCGAGTAGGAATAAGCATTTGGGATTCCAAATTCAGACAAACAAAAAAAAAATCCAGGCGAATGGATGAATGGCAATGGAATACACGACAAAAGCAACTGGTTTCTGGTTATATTTCTTGAGAGAGGGAGAGAGACTACACCTACACTCACAAATACATTTGTCAAATCACTCTGCATACATAAAGAAGAAAATAAATAAATAAATTTCAAGCAGAAGAAAAGAACACTAAAAAGTTACTAGTATATGAATAATATCCACACCAAAATGAAATGATTGACTTCAGATTTAATTAATAGCCCTAAAATCTACATCCTTTGGCAACAAACATCACTGTCTCTCTCTCTCTCTCTCTCCCTATTCAAGAAGCAAAAAAAAGAACAAAGAAAAGGCAACACAGTAAGTAGTAGTAGCAATCAGTTTTGAGAAACATTGAATGTACAAAGGAGGGGTGGGTGGTAGGACGGGGCAGGGTAGGGTATGATCCTATCCATATGTATGTATGTATTGTATGATTTTCATCTCTGATCTGCTGCTGCTCCTCCTACTCCTACTCCTCCACCTCCTCCTCCTCTTGCTGCTGCTGCTGCTGCTGCTGCTATTCCTAGCTATATAAATAATCAATAATATATATATAGAGAGAGAGATAAGAGACAGAGAAAAGGTGTCAGTCAGACAATAACAGCACCTTGTAGTCAAGACGACACCATCACTATATATATATAAATATTCCCCTCGGCCACCAATTCAATCTACTCACAATTATAACAGAATACAGAAAATTATATCAAGGCTCAGCAACAAGTAGCTTGTCTGGATATTATTCCACTCTGTCCATCTGTCTGTCACCTTCGACGTTGTGGGTGGTTGTGTTGGCGGCTTTTGCTTGCATTCTCTATTCTATGAGCATACATCGGCAGGCATAAGATCTCCTTGATCTCATTCAACAATATCTCTTCAGTGATATTGTCCCGTATACTTCTCATAACCTGTTTAGTAAGTTATTAGCGTCATTACACACACGAGTAGTGGTTGATACACAGTCCAGTCCTGCCACTGTTTTGAGCGAATAAAAATGTTGCTTATAGTTATAGGGTCATGAGAAGAGAAGGTACCTTCTTGTAGGTATTAAATTCGTTAGGGGTTCCTTTATCTATCCTCACCCTCATACACACCCATACGTCGTCCTCAGAATTCCAGGAACACTCGATTATCTTACCTGAATATGAAGAGGGATCACTCCCATCTGCAGCTCACAAAACAAACATTTGAGGGAACAATTAGCAGAGCATGAAGATCACAGTAAACCTATCCAACCGAATCCCTTCATAAAACAGGGGAAAACATCATGAAGCAAAAGCTGAACCACAAAATGGAGGGAATACAAGTGTATTTGCAAAGGGGAGACAAAACTGAACACACAACAGTGGCTTGGATGATTACTTCCACACTAGCAATTTTGTTATCTTCAAATTTAGGACTACTAAAAATGGAAAAGAAAAAAGAAACTAGAATTAAATTCTACTGAATTGAATTGATTCTGACAATGCCTATTTTTAGTAAGAAAAAGTCACTGGGCGGCATATTTCCATCTGATTTTAGTTAAACATTTGGGTAAATGCTAACAAATAAACAAGTAGCAAATCCCTCAAAGTAAATCTCTTACGCTTCTCACAGATCCCTCAAAACTATAGTTGCCTTTGTGTATTTAGAGAAGTCTAGCCATAAGTAATGGTTTTTTAATCAACTGAAAAGCCGGTATTATTTATGCTCAACAAAACTACACAACTATAAGAGCATCATAAACAGGCAATGAATGACTGACTAACCAGGGAAGACAACCCTATTCCCTTCCATCAATTTCTTCTTCCCCCGCTCGAAGAGATATAGTAATTCACGGTTGTCAACTACCTGCTAGCATAAAACCGATAATATATACATAAAACACATGATGACAGGGATCAATACATAGGACAAACAAAATATTTGCAGCTTATTAAGTGTGCCCACAAACAGTATAGGAAAAAAAAAAAAAAAAAGCAGCAACCTCGAAGAGAAAATCCACTGAATTCATTTCTGGGTATTTCCATTTCAGAAGTCCTTCATGAGTTCGAGGAACATATGGATCATCCCAACCCTAAATACAAAGATCACAATTCCTTAGTCACAGATTTAATAAACATATTATTCTCCCGCATGTTTTAAGACACAAAGCAGTTTAGAAACTTCAGAATTGCTCAAGTGACATATATCAAGCAACAGAGAACCAGGACTGAAGACACAAAGACATCAATTATTAACCTGTTAATTATTCACCCATCACATTCTCTACATTTTTACATCCAACAGAAAAGAGTGCATACTGTTAGATTAACCTCAGGCCCAAATGACTCAGATCCATTCATGAAATCACTTCTCGAACTAGTTATTTAGTTAAATTGAAATACTACCTGACTCAACCCTCACCTCTTACAGACATGAGAGAAATGTAGCTTGCCACTGTAGTAATAAGACAGACAAAATGACAATTAAAGGGGCAAATTCCATCAATTTTTAGAAATTTTCCAAGCACCTGAAAGATAAGACCATCTGCTGCATGTGACAATTTTGGAATGAAATCCTGCAAAAGTTTTGTAACAGTAGAAAGCAGCCAAAAGTCCTTCCTCCTCACCTGACAATTTCAGTTGGCATATAACACTAGTGAATATATAGATAAATAACCAGGAAAACAGGAACAGAATGATGGAGAGGAAGATTGAGGACAGATAATAACATAATGAACAGGTATGAAGTAGGAAAATTGCAAACCCTGAAAGGCTCCAAATCATATCTATAATAAGGATTTTGGCTCTGGTATATATGCTGCCTTTCAGTATTCCTAGGCTCTATCACCTCCCTGTCAATCATTTTCCATCGTTCATGAAATTGCCGCTGCATGCAAACAGATCATTTATGAGGAGAAGCATACTGATCACAAACAATAAATCCCACTGGATGAAAGAAACAAAATCACATGAGTTAACACAAATACCTCCACAATATACAGTATGCCAACTTTCAACCTCATATCCAAAACATTAAGAAATAGTGAAGGACACTAACTTAAAAACCATCGATCAAGGAGGAACTCAAGTGATCTTTCCATATATTACCTCTACAAGGGAAACTTGATTAGTGGCAATCATATCATAGATGAGGTATCTCCTTTCTTGCTTATGTGAATCAGGCATGGTATCAATCACCATCTCCCCATCAAGTAAAGTATAATGGTGATACAATCTGTCAGTCATTCCCTTCTGAGAAACACAAATAGCACATGTATATATAAGTCATTCAAAAGAATAACTAAATATATATAATACTACTGAAATGTTTCCAAGCTGGAAAAACAGCGCATACTTCATTTGAATGCCTGCAAGGAAACCTCATCTGAACCCTACGAAAGGTAAAATGTCGATCTATCAAGTAGCAACCATCCATAGTTATTAGCATCATATATCTTGTTCCATCCGCTTTCCATGTTGCATAATAGTATCGCTGCCTTAACAACTGTAAGTTGTCCCTGGAAATTTTATAATCACAATTCAATAAAAAGTAGCGTTAACTAATCTCATGTACGATACAGATAATAACCCTGAATATACCAAAATATAATTAAGGCAGCTAAAAATTTTAAATCAATCTCTAGAATTTAACAGAAAATAAATTCATCTTTACAAGTGTAATTCATTTTGAAGATAATTACATAACCCAGATAATCTTGTTAAATAATGAGAGCTACGGTGATATCTGTGCAGTAATTATGTACTACTACTATAATAGGTAACAGTTTAAGCTATTCATGACGTTCTTATTTCACACTTCAGATATTTTGTGCTGTTTTCCTAAAAGATAGGTAATAAATATACTCTTGAGATTAGGGCCCCAGAGGATATGAAGAACACGCTGAATCTAGAATCAAACAATTATACACAAATAACCAAGTCAAACTAGCTTTAACAAATTGCTAAGTAATTGAGTGAGACCTGTTAAGAGAAACTGGATGCGAACCAGGAAATTGCTGGGGTCCTCTAACCTGTAGATTGATAAAATAGGCACAGGATTCAAAAAAATAAAGGAAAAGAAGAAATAAAGAATCAACAGAAGAGAATGAAAAGTGCGAATGAACTGCAAATTTTAAACATCCATATAAATAATCAGACCATAATATAATATAAAAATAAAAAATAAAAATCTTCAAACAGTCAGACTACTTCAAGAAAATCAAATCAACCTACCCCTGTTGGTAGGTTTAGAAGTTGGTAACAAAGCTGCCGCATTGTTGCTTCTTGATCACTAGGGATTTTATCTCCCAAGATATCATCATTTGACATGACTAACTGTGGTTCATGCTTCTCCTGGAAGGCGAATGTTAACATGTTAATGGGGTGAATCAAGAAAGGAAGTTCACAAACATGAACATGAATCAGCCAACACATATGAATCACTTAGCAATTCAGAATGAATATTTGACTTCAAGACTCAATGTATAAATGTGCTGCAAAGACTAGTGTGCAGATAAAGAATGTTTTGTTTTGGAAAAGGAGGCAAGCATACATCTGGAGGAGCTACAGAATCCCCATCATCATCATCGTCATCTGGCATTGCATCACCATTGAGATCAAGATCAGAGGATCTTTTCCACTCTGGAGTCGGTGGACAAACTATCATTTCTGGCTTTGTCTCATGATAAAAAGTGTACAAGGCATCAATGTAATCTGGCTTATATATCCCAGGTGGGCGTGCATCAGAAAATATTTTAATTGCCTGCAAGGAAAGCAGCAATCAGAACAAACATTCTCATTCTCAATTTCAAACTGGTGGTAATTCTGATGCAATAGCAACCACCTGACCTGAGTGACAGATATAGGCAGTGTTCGCATGAGATAGTGGATAATCATATATCCTGTACGATTATGCCCATGCGTGCAGTGAACTAATATATATTTCTTTTGTTGCTTTTGGCGAGACAGAAATTGTGCAACCTGGTAAATATAGATATCATTTCATATTGTGTAGATCTTATGTATCTCCTGGAAAATAACATAAAATAAACCACACACACACTTGCAATTTAAACTGAAAATACATAGTCAAAGAATCCTATGTTCAAAAAACTGGATGTAAGAAAGGATTGGGGGTAAATTTGAGGTATAGAATTATAAAATAAATAAATAAAACGTGATGATCATACGAATAAATTATAGGATTCAATACTGTTGCTTAGGTCAGGTATAGAACAGCAATTCTTCTAAGGTGAAGCTTCTTTAAAACCTCCAAGAAGATCCCACACCAATTGCCAACTGAAAAGCATATTTTTCCAGGATTCTACAATCACCATAGTGAGATAGTTCATTTTTTCCTTTGATGCTATTTATATCTTTGTTGCACTAAATTACCCAACAAATTTAAAATATGTAATTTATCTTTTTCAATAAAAAAAAAAATAAAAAACTTGCTGAGCAAAATACATTAGCATGTGGAGTTTCTCTCAATTTGTTAGGAATTTGGATGTTTAAGCTTGCTTATAAATAGAATAAAAACCAATGTCATTACACATATCAAGCATCAAGCTGATACATAAATTTAAAGTGATACCTATACAGCAGCAGTTTTTACTTTTTTCATTTGGCCACAAGAAAAGGCATTTTCTATTTCAAGTATGTACTCAGTACTGTAGTAAGGTAATTTGAAAAGCCCTTTCAATAACAACATATTTGAAAAGTCCTAAAACTACTTTCTTCAAAAAGGATGTAGAAACCAATCTTAGAAACATTCGCAGATTCCATCAAGAAGGTCTACAGATGCATATACCTCATAGTAAAACTTGTTTACAGCCTCATTTTCAGGAACTGAATCACGCCCCTTGCAAGCAATCTGAATTACAATGCACATTATCAGGAACTGAAGGAAATCAAATCCGAATATAATTGAAAACAATTTGAAAAAAGAAAATATTATCTGAAGCAAATATTAGAAATAACACACCTTCACGTGCTTAATGCCTTCTTTCTTCAATTCAAACTGATTGTAGTATCTACTAGAATTGGTAAGATCAATCACCAAACCAAGCTGAAAGTATTTGGTAGAAAATTCAAATCACGCAATAGGTATTAGAAAAGTCACCTAAAATTACAAAAAGAAGCAACTATTGTACCGTCACTTCTCTAAAACTGCAAAAAGGAGAATCATGAACAGTCCGCAGCAAAGTAATGTTTAGCCTCCACACAAATCGCATGTTACAATTAGAATTCTATTTGACCAATACAGATAGTTCTGTTTTGCGTATACGAGACAATAAGAATAACCATTCTTTAGTTAAAAGCGAGAAATATTTGAAGCAATTATTATAAGCGCAATCACAATTACGATAACTGCTCTCAAATTTCCCTCTTGACACAACCTCCTAAAATCTCCTTCCACCCCCAACCCCTACTATTGAGTTGAGATAACAACTGAAAAGCCTAAATGATTTACAGATATATAAATCATCAGTTTGTAGATGTTCGCAAACCAAGCAAACAAGTCGCACATGCAAATTGCCACCAGTCACTACCATGGCACTTAAACATCATAGCTTGAAATTAGACAAACATGAATATTCATATGTAGCAATGCATTGACTTACCTTTCTGTCTAGAACTCTCTGTAGATGGATCACCTGCCTAAATGAGTATCTCCGACCAGGAGGGACACAGTCATTGAATGCTTCACCTAAAGGAACTTTTGAAGGGATCAAGCCATTGATTTCTTGTCCATGGGAGGGGCAGTCTAACCAACCTAGCACGTGAGGGTCATAAAGGACAATAATTATAACTGATAAATAGCACTCATTGAGTGGCAACCAAACAAAAATGATACACATACATACATCTGTATATATAGAACCCCAAAAACACTAGACCCTCAAGACATATAATGATCGCCGAAAACCAAATATCATGTCACAAGGTGGAAGTACAAACTCCTACAAAATCCATTGGAAAAGGTTATAAAGCTAGGAACTCAGTTATAATATATAACAAGAGCCTCAAACATGCTGATTGAATCAACAATCATAACCTACTTTGGACAGATAATCATATCAAAAACTCAAGTACAACAATCACTGGACCAGGTTAAAAAGTTAAAAAATACTAATAATAAAAAACTCCTAATACTTCATACAAAACTGAGAAAATTAAAAAATAAATAAATAATTAAACTGTAATATCCAGAATGTCTACGGTTACCCATCCCAAGGCAGACCCAAATGCTTCTCCACAAAAAAAAGAAGAAAACTATGTGTTAATGATTAGATAATCTAACCATCCCTATCGACAATTAGACAAACATAAGTGACCAAAAATTTACCTGGAGGTAGTTTACTATTAGGCCGATGTCTTTTTACTTGATACACATCATCACGCTGTCCGGACTGATATCCATAAGATGGTTTATCATCAGGCCGTTGTTTTCGAATCCGTTGAATCCTTTCCTCCCGCTCCTAATGCCAATGAACAAACTAAACACCATTAGGAAGCCAGCAAAACTCATTGTAAACATTATTTAATAATCTATGAAGCCTTTGAAGTGCATCACTTGCATGTGTGGCTTAGATGCTTAAAGGTATTCCTTATTCGCTATATTTATGCTGCATTAATGTCATTATCAAGAGAAAAGCAAATGTTGCCTGAAGTGGACAGACCTCATGTTATTGCGTCTAAGTATGGAAAGTATTTACACTTGGCTGAAGATAAGAGATAAACAGAACCATGGTATAAGGAGGACAGTGACTTGTGCATTGAAGGGGAAAGAGGACTTGTGCATTGAAGAGGAAAAAGGAAAGAAGCAAACAGCACCCCACCCCCCCTCCCTCCCCCCAAAAGTGTAGAGTGGCTGAAGATCTCCCTCCGAAACATGCATGTTATATAGAAGACAAACACCAAAAAAAGCAATTACAATATTGTAATCAGTTTAAATAAAAGAATCAAATAAAGCAAACACATTGTAGGCATCAAAAGCCATCTGAAGTTATATATGACAGCATGTTTCTTTTTCAGCATGTCAAGCAGGCACTTGTATCACTAGTTTACGAAAATTTACTGCATATATCCAAAAGTATATCCAAAATATCTTGAAATTGTGTACTTGCAATCTGCTTAAGTAAATGTTATCAAGTAAATCAAATACATAAGTGCTGGAGCTTCCCCCAAATAATAGGATTGAAAGAATTAGATATATACATGCATATATAGAGAGGAATATTATTCTATTTTAATTGATATATGAACTTTGTAATCTTAATTCGATCCATCCAACAAGCAACTGCTGTCCAACATTATAAGGAGACAAATACAAATTGATAGACTCAACAAGACGAAAGATACCCGGCGTGAAATCTGAACAGCAGACTCCCCATGTTCAGCATGGTCATTATATTCAATATGTTCTTCGGGCACCCGACCTTCTGAATGAACAGGAAATACATCGTCCTCTTCAGGTTCAGGGGAAGCATTCAAGTCCATGCTGGCAATCATTCAAGTCCAATAAGAAGCATTTCCCAGTGCACCTCGGCGGTGCTGCCAAAGAAATTATTATAAAATTTATTCCTAAAATAATGTATTCTAAAGGAACCAACAGGTCATGTATAAGCTACAACAACATATAATGATATTCGTCCAGAAACTGAATAAATTAAAATAGTCATTTAGAACTGACAACTAAATACTTAGAGAAAACATAAGGGTAATAGAAACCCTGACGTATCAAAAGAAGAATACAATTAAACCATTAATTAAAATAGCTCCAATTCTTCCAACATAAACACCATTAAATAAGTAAACAATCTAAACTTGTTTGGTTTCTTGTTTTCTCTAAATTTGTAACAATAAAAACTAAAATAGTCATCCAAAGACTTCCCTCCCATTCGGTTCACTTAGCACCCAAATTACAGGGACAATAAAGATGAAAAAAGAAAAAATTGGCAGAAGGCTTCCTACACTATATCAAAAAAAATGAAGTCAACACATCCATCCCTCAAATAAGATGTAGAAATAAATATAAAGATTCCAAACAAATGAACGAGCTCCAACCTCAAGCACGCACGCCACGAATCAAAACGACTCGAGGTATCAGTAAACCCCCAAGTGCGAATGAAAGAAATTAAGTAAAACGCGTGCCTTGAATTGTGGACGCGACTAAAACCCTAGGATCGAGCAGAAACGAAAATCGGGCTCCAACTTCAACAAAAACCCTAGAGAGAGAGAGAGAGCGCGGGCGGGGCGACAAGTATCCCGTGGTTCCGAAGGAAGCAAGATTGCTAGGGTGGCGGTGCAATTCAATCAACGACGAGGGGAAGAGATGAGAAAAAGGGCGTCGTGCTTAGTTAAAAAAATAAAATAAAAAATAGTGTATATATACATACATACATGAAGTCGTTGAGATATATATATATATATATATAAATAGGGAGTACATAGAGGTATATGTAATGTATGTACTACTCCATGTTTTAATCACGGCATCTGATGGGGTGATTCGGTAATTACAGTGTTACAAATTACAAGGTTGCCTTGCCGCTCACAGGCCCCACGTGGACGGGAAGTTTTAACTTCGTAAAAGATCGCTGTTTGTGTTTGGTTATAAGATAGGAAAATGTGCTTGGGTCGGGAATAATGAATTTTTAAATTTAATACGTAAATAATAGTGATATAAATAACTAGTACTAGTATTTTAATATATTTTTAAATATAATATAATGTAATAAATAAATAAATATTTAATTTAATACTATTTTTTAATAAATTTTTTATTGAGAAATCTTAAGATTTCAAACAAATTAGTATAAATATGTCTATTGTATTTTATTTTAATTTTAAATCAAAATTATTACTGTATTATTATTATTTAAATAAAAAAAGTAAAATTAATATATAGAATGAATAATTATTATGTCTAAACTTTTATTAAAATATATAATTAATATGATAAATAATATATATTTACTAAAGTGATATGCTTTAAGTATAAATTGAATTACAATAAATACAATATATTTTATTTATAAAATATAAACAATAATACCATTCTAATGTATTACTATTTACTAATACGGAGGCACGCAATTCTTCGCATAGAAAATAAGAAATTAATACTATATTTAGTTTTTTAACTAAATTTAATTTTTGAATTTCACCTGAGATTTTTGTAACAAATTTTGATATTTGTTAACAAAATTCAATATATTATAATCAAAATAAAATATGATATCATATCAAAATCATATTTTCAATCGCTTATTTGCAGTCATAATCAATTTTCGGCAATTTTTTCTTCTTTATTGTCTTGTCGCTACAATTTTTCAGTCGTGTCTGTAGTTTAGTTTTCCTCTATTATTTGTCTATGTACATATTTATTTGTCAATGCAAATATTAACCTTGACTTTTCCACCATTTTCCATTTAATTTCTTGAAAAATATATTTTTTTCATTGTTTATGAATTTAACATTGTTCATGAACTTTTCTATTTTTATGAATTTCAATTTATCTATGACACCAAATTTTAAAAAATATATTTTTTTTGTTCCATGAATTTTAACTTTTTCATGAATTTCTTATTTTTTTTTTCCATGAAATTCAACTTTTTTCATAAAAATATGTTTTTTTTTTCTTTTTTCCATGTTACTTGCTTTTTTTTTTCATGGAAACGGTAACATAGATCTTCCTTCCACCCCATATTCATTTTATTTCATAATTATTATTTATATTAACTTACACATTTTGGTGGCCTTTAGAGAGTTGGTCGCTATTAAAATACTTATACGTCTTAACTATTTGAAACGTTCAAACGATTAATTTTAGACCGTAACAAAAATATTCATATAAGTTATCAATATATATATATATATATAATTAAATGTGTATACATCCATAGACATGAGATTGAATGGTAGGTTACTAGAATAGTTAAGCTTAAAATTATTGGCAAAATTTACATATGGTTTTACAAATTGCTCCAAATTTAGTACTTTTAAAATTGTGTGTCAATTTCGCTTGTAATTTCATAAATTTGTGTCCTTATTTAATTATGTTTGTTTCTATTTCTAAATTTTTAAAATTACAAATATATTCATTCTAAAAACAGTAAAAAAAATATTTATTTGTTATATTTACTATTTTTTGAGATTAAATATAAAAATAATAAATATATTTATAATTTTAAAAGTTTAAAATTAGAGATTTGTAAATAAACAAACAAGTGATTGACTAATTACAATATTTTAAAGAGAAATGAATATCTATAAGTTAAATAATTTATAAGTGACGTTAAAAACAACTAGTAAAATCATATTCGCGGGGTTTGAAAAAAAATTGTTTGAATTTGATATTAAAATAATATACAATAAAATGCTTTGTAAAAAGAAAAAAAAATATTTTTTCAAAAACTACATAGTCAAAATAGTAAAAAGTTAGAGTTTGAAGGCAAATGAAACAAACCCTAAATACTATATAAATCATTAAACTTAGTGTATATTTGGTACAGAGAATTGAATGCACATAAATGATAGTAAATAATGAAATTACAGATAAAAAAGAACTAAGTAGATAATGAAAACTGAGGCATAAATAAAATACTACGTCCGTTCCGTAACAAAGTATCTATTTTTCCATTTTAGTCCGTTGTCACGTATTTATTTCTTTTTTTTAACTGTACTATTTACCTAACATTACAAATACCCTTACAATTTACAATATATTACACAGATGACGTTACATTTATATCACACATACTTATTTTAGTCATTTCTACTAATATTTGTGTAAAAAAGTAAATAAATATTTCTTTTTGGGACGGAGGGAGTATGTTATATTGATAGTTGAAAAAAATTATGAATTATTAGAAAATAATAAATTATATAAAAAATATATTAAATATATTATTATATTTTTTAATTACATTTTTAATTTGATAATTTATCTTTGAATTTTGAATTCCGTGTCTCAATTTACAAACATAGTCATACCTTGGGCTTTATAGTTGTGATTTTTTGGCGTTTATTTATTACTATTACTTTTAACAAAAATATTATACTGATAAACAGAAAGGAAGGCAGATACGCGACACGACACCAGTGTTCGTTCCATCGACTTCAGCCACTCATTGTACGGTGCGGCACTTCGTCAAACACTTGGTGGGCATAGCTTCTATGGCCGGCAGCATTTTCTCCAACGTATGCCCGTCTCCCCTGCTCTATATTACCTTCCACTGCACAGCATCATCGCTTAAACAAACAAACTGATGTCTTGATCACTCGACAGAATCCATTCTTCAGCAGCCCAGGAAAAAGATTTTTCGCTAGAATTCAGCTGCCAGAGTAAGGGAGTTTTCGCCAGATGAAGTAAGCACTCGTGAAAGCGTGACAGAAACTCATTGCTTGTTTTGCCTCTACAGGAATGCTGGTGCAGGTTTGCCTGCTGCAATGAAGAAAGTGGAACGGTATTCTGTTCAGAAAGTCACTGGCGATGGACGATGCCTGTTTCGTGCTCTGGTATGCATCAAATCTGCCTCTTCTACCTCAGAGGTTTGAAATTTGTGATGTCTCCCTCCCGCTGTTAAAAGCAAAACTTTGCATCGGCTGCACTGAAATTCAATTGTATTTGTATCCTGGTGGTGCTATCTTTAAGCTTGTGGCAAGCATCATGCCCGCAGTATTGTCGAAGAGAATCACTTTACTTCTTTTAGCTTTGACTCTATTGGTTGGAAACAGGTAAAGGGTATGGCTCGCAATAAGGGCATGGCACTACGCCCCGGTGAAGAAAGAGAAAATGCAGGTATGTCTTTGATGACTTGACAGCGTTTACTGAATATCTGGGGATTGTATTGTCTGCTCAAAGATATACCATGAATAAATGGTAGCCAAAGAACAAACTTATTGTTCACCTAGTTTGGCAAACACCTTCAATTTCTGGGGAGCTTCACATTGATCTCATCTCATCATAATATGTTTCGAGAATTCTAACAACACAGCCCAATCTGCCAAGAGAATTCTTTTACCAACTATCCAATCCCATCCTTAGGATGGTGATTTGGTGGTTGTGAACTTTTGATGTGATCATAGTGTTGGCTGTTGAAGCTAATACACTCTCTCTACATATGCTTTATTTATTTACCTCATGCTTGCCTTGAAACATTAGCAATTTTAAATTATCTCATGAACCATAAATCTTGGATTAATCCACTGATGACTCCAAATATGAGTATATTCATCGCTTGACAAAACTACGTATTACTTGAATTTATGTATAAAAACAATCACAATAACTGATTTATGGCATATTTTATTGGTCTATCTCGCTTGACATGATCCAGAGTTGGTTTGTTGAGCCCTTTTAAGCGGTGTTTTGGATCCGAAAAAGCTAAGACAAAAGAGGCAAGCGACAGCTTTCCCCGCTCACAAGCGATGACTCCATCGCCCAAAAAAGCTATGGCAAGAGAAGCAAGCGGCAGCTTTTACCGCTCACAAGCGACAGCCTCTAGTGCTCAGGCCAGCGACCAGACACCCATCGCAGCGAAGCGACGGAAACTCAACTCAAATATTGCCTAAGTGTCCAAACTGCAGCGGTACAACCATTCCACTACCAGCCAACACAAGCAAACCCGCTTAACTGCGCTGATGTCCTTCAGTTATCCGGCAAGCGAGGAAGATCTGTGCCCATACAAACCCACGCAAGCGAAGGGAGCACCCTGGAAGTTATGGCCAGCAATTGCTTCAATAGAATAACCGTCACCAACTGCCTGACTGCCTAGCGATTGAAATCACTTTGTAACTGCTTGCTGCTGCTACTTCTACCTGCTATAAATAGGGCCAGATATCTGTATGTAAAATATACTTCAAGAGGAGTATACTAGCAATTACTTTTCCTGCATACTAGTTGTCTTCCTGTTTCCCCGAGAGCTCCAACTCTGTAAGTGAGTTCTCCACAGGAATGGCCAAGGGAATTGAGATTCCTCTTCTCCCTTGGCCACCGCTTTACTGCTTACCTCTTGTGAGCAAAATCGAAAGGCCGAAGTTCGCTTGCCCTACCGAATATGGGAAATTTGAAACGAATGGGGCACTAATCCTCACAAGTCCTATCCGTTGTTACTTAGTTTAACATCAATATTTGTATGATTGAAAAGGGTCGAGGAATTATTACTCGGTCTGGTGTTTTAAAGTTATCTAACTTTATTTTAAAACATATCATAAGGCTAAAGCAGCGGGGTATTAAAAGTATCTCGAATAAAAACACATGCATCAGATTATGGTAGGCATACAATAAAAATAAATTTCACTTGTTACCAAAAATTGTTGTATCGTTGATCATTTGTCCTTTGTACAGCTCTTGCCATTTTAAAAAATTATGTACACGGGAGATGACCTTTCTTTATTTTCTTTTCTCGCCCGTGGGTCCTCGTCCCAGAGATAAATTCTTTGTCAGCTGCCGCACTAGCTCTTCCATCCTTTGGAGACTCTTAGCTGTATCAAGCTGTTGTTCCATAAGGATCGCGTTCTGCTGGGTGATGGCCGAAAGTACCTTCAGAATCTCTGTTTGAGATGCACCCAGGCTTGCAGCTTGAGTCTCCAGCGCCTCCACGCGCGCTTCTAGTGTGGAGCTCGCTTTTCTGCCAGTGGTCAGTACCTCAACCAAATTCCTTGCATGTGTATCTATCATTGATTGGAGTAGTAGGTATTGGCTGAGCATGGCTTCGTCGAGTTCGTCCAGTCGCTTCTTTAAAGTGTCAAGTGTAGTGCGGGAGGCTGATGTGCTTGTCTCCGCGGGTGATGGTGACTGTCCCTCAGACTTGGCCGAACTGATGTACACTGGCTCATTCTCCTTTGTGGAATCGGGTGCTGGCTCGGAAGTAACGTCCCTTTGGAATACAAGTTGCCTCGCTTCTTCACACTCCAGCTGTTCTGCTTTCTTTCGCTCCAAGTTCTTCCTGAATCGCAGCTGGATTTGGGTCAGCGGCTTCCAATATTTTAGCAACTTGGCCACCACCTTCATCTTCCTCTTCTTCTGTCACTCGCGCTCCCGCTTTTGTTGTAGTGGTTGCATTGCGGCGAGCGGCTGAGCTTGCTCTTCCGAAATCTCATTTCCTCTTCATCCTCCTCCTTATCGAAGATTGTTTTATTAGATTTTTCTGAGCCCGAAGTCAGAGTTTCTGCAGGTGTTCCAGTTTCTACTGGTGTTCTGGGACTGTATGGCATTGGTTCTCCTTTTGCCGTCCCTGATGTCGTCTCTATCGTTTGTGGAGACACTTGTAGAATGGGAAGAGTTGTTATGACTGCTTCAACCTTTTCGGTTTCATTGGCAACTTCGGCGGTTGTGGCAGCGGGGATCTCGGCGGGGTATTTTTTGTAGGACTAGTTACCGCTTCGCTCACCCCTCTATATAAACGTCCTCTATAAATACCCCAGTTCACAACCATTTTTCACTTTTAACCTACGGTAACTTCCTCAAGAAGCTTCACTAACTGTCATTTCTCCGCGCACAAATATTCAAAAATCTCGATTCTTCATCCAAAATTAGCTCAATCTAAGGTAAGATCTAGGCTAACCTTAGTCAATAACTTCGATTTCATGGTTGATTTTCTCTGATTTGACGCACAATAATACAGAATCAAATATTATTTTCGCGAAAACTGTCTGTTCTTCAACAGTTGCGAAACTTTTTTATATCTTCGATTTTTGTGAATCTAAGTCTCTTATCTGCTAGATTTAGATATAATAACTTATATACTTGCTTTGTATGGATCAATTTTTCAATAATTTGTATGTTTGGCGTTGTTCTGTGATTTTCTCCCTTTTTCGCAACAAAACACATACTGGAGTATTCTGTTTTGTGAGGGGGAGGAGTTAGGGTTCAAATCACTGAGATTTAGGAAATTATTGCCTGTATATGAATATTGTTAGCATTTTGGAACTAAGAAGGCAGGATTCATAAATTTTCCAAATCAAACAATATAGATATAAAAAGAACCCTAGGTTTAGAACAAGCCAGCAAAATAGATCCAAACAAACATAATTTTTCTTTCGTCCGCTTAATATCCTACCTTTCCGTAACGAAGATTTACTTTTATATTAGTCAGTCAATCTTCTTATTCAAATCAGAATTTGAATAAGATATGATATAAATATAACATTTGATTAAATAAAAAAAAGGAAGTGAGAAGCGTCACGCAAGGAGTTCAAGAGGATTGAAGAGAAAATTTAAAAGAGGATTCAACGAATCAAATCTACAGATGGGCGGAAGGTTGTAACTATAACCTCGGGGGCTGAATTTATGGAACCAGCGCCGCCAGAGGCATATTACAGAAGGAGAAGGCTACTGGAATTGACTGAGGACTGTGGGAGCTCAGAAAACTTAAGTCCATTCCATTCATGAAATTCATCCCAGAGTTCCCGGAGGATTACCTCAGATTTGAATACATTGACGAAACTGAACAGAGGTATCCGGTGAACGACTGGTGGTTAGATTACAAGGAACTTAAGGACTTCCAGTCGAAGGAGCTAAGAGAAGAATTTGCTCGCCAAGAGATTGGAGAAATGATGAAAGCCTTCAGGAGAGAGAAGATTTCAAAGAAGAACGCCGCCGATGCTGCCAAGGACGTGTTGAGATCTAAGCAGTTCGACTCTGTCCATTTTGTGAACATTAGGGCAGCGGGGGCGTATGAGAAGGCGAAAGCAATGGAGATCCTCTATGAGAGAGAATTTGACCCCGAAAAGATCTCGGGCCCGCTCGCCAACTGGCTGGGGGAGCGGGGCCTGACCTGGTTGATCAAGAACCCCAATGACCCAGTGGATGTGTCACTGGTGAGGGAATTCTATGCAAATCTGAGCCAAGCTGACAGTCTATGAAATGTATATGTTAGAGGAAGATGGGTAGACTGCACAGCACGAAAAATCAACTTGGTCCTGAACTGGGAACACCACTACCCCACCCAGGAGATGGAGAAGAGGCTTCAGGCATTGAAGGACTGCAGCTCGCTTGAGCTGCAGACACTTTATAGGACCTTCGCCACCACCCTAGAATATGATAAGAGAAACCTGAAATTCGGGTCGGTGGACGAAGAGAAGAAGGAATAGGTCAAGTGGTCGCTTAGCTGAATAATGATTACCGCTCACACCAAAGACATCCGTCTTGATTTTTTTCTTGTCTTGCGCTCAATTTTGGAGGAGACAACTGATATTGATTTGGGCGAAATCATCAGCATAGATATCTAGGCAAGAAGAAAGGTAGAACGAACACTGGGTTATGGGACCCTGATTACGGAACTATGCCGACGTGCGGGCGTCAATCTGCCCACTTCAGCCCCAGATCTACAAATGAAGCCGCTGATCCCAGCGGCCTTTCACAAAGCATTGCCGGAGTCCAAGGGGTTCACCCTTATCCCCAGACAGAAAAAGGGGAAGGCGAAAGCGGTTGTTCCTCCCTCTCCACCAAAAAGAAGAATGAAAGTTGCAGGGAGGAAATAATTTGAGAAGAGGTGGCACCCGAGGTCGATCCAGAAGAGGCCGCTGCAGGACCAGACTCAGAACGAACAGTCTCCAATGAAACTCCCGTTGACAAGGAAGAGGAGTCCCTCCGCTTCGCTCGGGAGATAGAGGAAAACTTATTCAGTGCAGAGAAGGCCATGAGGGATAAGGGACGAAAAGCCCCAGAGGCAGCCGCTGGTGAAAAGAGGTCAAAGCGGAAAGAAGACCCCACTCCGGAGCCTATCGAGAAGAAGCAGAGGGTGAAAGTAGCACTCAGAAAAAATCCAACACCCCCTCGGCGAGTGACAAGGCAGG